TAATAAATATAAGCTATTATTTCTACTTTATATATAAACTTTATCTAGTCTACTAGAGCTCTTTAAAGTTATATAGTAATAGATATAGGCGTTAGTAAGTTATTAGGTTTTTAAATCTTATGAAAAGGGGGCGTGCCGTTTTTTTCGAACATTTACTGTACACCGGAAAAACATTGTTCCTGCAACTCCATCAAAGATCAAAAAGGACAGTTTGTCGTCCCAAAGACAGTCACTCAATTCACAACGTGCTCGCTGACTGTCTCCACCCGGTGCTAAAGGTTGAGCAGGCTTCAAGGAGACTCGCGATGTTCGATCTTATATGCTCTCTATCTCGCGTATTTGGTGGCCATGTTCTGATATAACGCGGGGATAGCATCAGCCAGCCACCATGCATAACCATCTCAGTGCCAGAACGGGTGCTGGCACGTCCTCCGCCCATAATAATTCCTTGAACCATTCGGAAAGATGGTCGCTTTTGCTTCTGGCCGGGGCTTCTTTGGCAATCATTGCAAACACCTTCCAAGGTGACGGCGCGCCCTTGGTCGCTTCTTTGGCATTTTCAACCTTGGCCTTCTCTATGACCTACGCCTTTGTCCGGTGGTCCGGCCCTTCTTTTATCAAAGCCGGCCTCAAGGGCAAGGACATGAGCAAATTGGTCGCGAAGGAAATGTAAGTGACGGGCAAACATGTGTTCGCACCCTCATTCACTGACATTGACCGAGTCCTGAGTCCATGGGCGCCGTGGCTGCTTCGGTGTACATTCTGGCACTCATGGCTTTCATCCCTTTTGCATTCTACAAGGATATTGTCGCAGCAACATCGGGCGGTGGGAACCGAGATGTCGTTATTACCATCAACGAGGTCGAGACCGGACGCTTTTTGCACCGCTTCCCCCACTCAAAACTATCTTCGTACCAATCTGCTCTAAACACCCTCCAAGCAATGACTATCTTGGGCATGGCTGACGATATCCTGGATCTCCGATGGCGACACAAGTTCTTCATTCCCGCCATTGCATCGTTGCCGCTTCTTATTGTCTACTATGTCGATTTCGGGGTGACTTCGGTGGTGGTGCCCAACTTTCTGGTACCATATATGCCCAACCAGGCTCGGCTCATCAACTTGTCATTCTTCTACTACCTGTACATGTCAGCGCTATCAATCTTTGCGCCGAACTCGATCAACATCTTGGCAGGCATCAATGGAATAGAGGTTGGCCAGTCTTTGGTTATTGCAGGATTGCTGATCCTGAATTCCTCGCTCTATCTCGTGCCTTTCCCGGGGAACCCGGTCTTGAGCAATGGCTATGCAACGCGCCCTCACCCTGCAACCGACTCTCACTTGATGACGTTGTACCTACTGCTACCGTTCTTGGCAGTCTCGATCGCGCTGTACGTCCACAACCGATATCCCGCCCGAGTCTTTGTAGGAGACACCTACTGTTATGTTGCCGGAATGACTTTCGCCGTGGTTGCGATTCTGGCACATTTCAGCAAGACACTGCTGCTGCTTCTTATTCCGCAGATTGTCAACTTCGTTTACAGCACTCCGCAGCTTTTCAAGGTCATTCCCTGCCCGAGACACCGGCTGCCCAAGTTCAATGCCAGGACAGGGCTCCTCGAACCCAGTGTAACGACATGGCCCGAGGAACGGCCTCCAAGCAAGTTTTTGACGACCATTTTCTTCATTCTGGAAAAGCTGCACTTGCTTCAAGTGACGGTGGATCCGAAGACGAATAAAATTTCCACCACTTCCAACTTGACCATCATTAATCTGTGGTTGGTCTGGCGAGGGCCCATGAGGGAAGACAAATTGACAAGGGAGCTGTTGATTATGCAAACTGTGTGTGGTCTGCTAGGATTGTTTGCACGACATACAATGGCTCTGCTCATCTTTAGCGTGGACAACCGGGGCAAATATGGCCATGCGTTTCCAGTGTAAAAGCCAGGATAAAATAGGATACATAGACTAATATTAGACTCGGCCCATTAGTACTCGGTGAGACATGATTTTGACTAGAAGTGATGGTCGAATATATTTTGCTATTGCATATCAAGAATGGGTACTGACGTCTCTAGCTTGGACCAATGTCGTGGAAACAACGGATAAAGCCACAGTAAAGTTGATTCCGTATACTTGCCTCAAGGGCAAACATCACTGGAATGGTCAGACGGAGAGAGCTACGGGTGCTTATATTCACTTACTGGCACCGAGCAAGGACACATTTGGTGAAGACTGAGATGTCGTGTTGAAATTCATGGTGACTAAAACACTCTGCCGCAGCCTTGTCCAGGTCAACCGCCGCCGACCTCACCACTCTGAGCTATTCGTACTGCCGTGCAGGAATGGATTTCTCGAGATACCAGAACTCAAGCAGTCTTTCACCATGCCTTCGCCACCATCAAAGCGCGTCAAACTCGATCCCGATGCTGCTGATCCCACGTCTATCCGCAGCAAACGTGCGGCGTTCCTGAACTCAATCTCACGGTCAATTTCACCGCCAGCAGTATCCCGCCACGGTACCCCTACTTCCGCTAACCCAAAGAAACCCCAATCTCTCACCGCAGAAGAAGAGACGGTGTTTCAGGCCAAATCACCGAGAGATGAATCTAATGGGCCGACGACGTCTGGGCGGCGTGCCAACCACGCTTCACAACCAGCCAGCAAACCAACCGCCACGCTCTCCTCCAAGGGCGCACCACCCAACGGACATGCTGCCAGATTGATTGCTTCGCCATTCAGGCTGACCTCGATCCGCGACCTACCATCATCTCAGAACATCGACACCATCTCCCTACACGACATACTAGGCATCCCGTTGATCAAAGAGGCCTGGATTTTCAACTACTGTTTCGACGTGGACTGGCTGATGAGCTACTTCGACGAGGATATCCGCTCACAAGTCAAGGTCAAAGTAGTACATGGGTCATGGAGAGCCGAAGACGGCAACCGACTGGGGATTGAGGACGCGTGCCGTCGCTGGCCCAATGTCGAATCAGTCACGGCGTACATGCCCGACGCCTTTGGGACTCACCACAGCAAGATGTTTATCCTGTTCACGCACGACGACCTGGCTCAAGTGGTGATCCACACTGCCAATATGCTGCATAGGGACTGGACGAATATGACACAGGCGGTCTGGCAGTCTCCGATGCTGCCAGTTTTGCCGCCCACCACCAACAATAACTCAACCGGGGCGAAAGGGAATCAACCCAAGAGTACTTCTACTTCTCCCATTGGATCAATCGGGACCGGGTCGCGCTTCAAGCACGACATGATGGCTTACTTGTCGGCATACGGCACCAAAACCAAATCTCTACGCGAACAACTTGTGCGCTTTGATTTCAGCAGTGTTCGGGGCGCTCTGGTAGCATCTGTACCGTCTCGAATGAAGGAGCCCACAGTATTTTCGTCACAAAGCCTCGGGAACACCACACTCTGGGGCTACCCAAGTCTCTTCCGCACCCTGGAGACCATTTGTCCTAGTCTTGCCATCGAACAGGGTCAGACACCACATCAATCGAATATCAAGTCCAGAACGATCGCTACTCATTCTACCTCGATGTCCACTCCAACTTCTACGTTCACCATCACCACGCCTACTAGTACATTTAATCTTCAACACCAACAGAACAATACCCCTCGCTCTCACCCTGACATAGATTCTATTTCTACCACAACTAGCCAAACCAAACCCAGCGGCAAACCTCACCCCCACGTGGTATGCCAGATCTCCTCGATCGCGACTCTCCCTGCATCCTGGCTCAACCAGTTCTTCTCAGGAATAGTAGGTGGCGGACACAGCCATGAAAACAAGCCATATCCACTCCCACCAGCGACAGCGTCGACATCAGCCAACACAAAAACAAATACCAGGAAACAAAGCCCCAAATCTCCCTCAGTCAAATTCGACCCATCCACCATCTCAATCATCTTCCCAACCCCTCAAAATGTCGCCTCCTCCCTCGACGGCTACGCCTCCGGAGGTTCTATCCACATGAAAGCCCAGGCGGCCAGCCACTTGAACCAGATATCTCTTTTACGGCCATCGCTATGCCAATGGACTAGATCTCAAACTGGAGCATCATCATCGTCGTCGTTGTCCGGAAGACATCTGGCAGCTCCGCACGTCAAGACATATATTCGCTTCAAAAGCAAACCGACCACCCAGCACCCAACTCCCGATATCGACTGGGCGTTGCTGACGAGCGCGAATTTGTCGACGCAGGCTTGGGGCGTTGTGCGTGAACCTAAAGACAAACGAAAAGAAAAAGAAGTGGTCGTGCAGAGTTTTGAAATTGGGGTTTTGGTCTGGCCGGGGTTGTTTGGTCCTGAGTTTGAGGATGAGGGAACAATAAAACAAGATGGTGCCGGGTCTGGACGTGATGCAAGGATGGGGACTGGTGACTACGATATCAAAAACACTACAAACCCCTCGAAAGAGGATCAGAGTCAGAATCTCAACTCTGTGCACTCTGTGCGCATGGCACCTGTTTTTGGCACGGATATGCCGTCACAGTTGCAGCTACAGCCGGCAAACATCGGTACCGGCATCGTCGAAGATGGAACCGCAAGCGGAAACGGCAACGAAAACGGGAACGTGAATGAAAAAGACGTATCAAGTACAACTACCACTCTGGTAGGCATCCGTCTGCCCTACGATCTACCTCTGACACCGTACGTCGAGACCGATATGCCTTGGTCGCCGCAGGGAGTGTACGAGGTTCCAGATCGACATGGGAGACGGTGGCCTCGAGATTTTAGTTGACAGCCTGGCCGCAAACCTAGATTTAAATAGTGATAGGTAGGTAGCTTGCATCATCGCCAAGGCAAAGTACTATACCATGCATACGGTATGGAGCAGCACTGAAGTCTCACTCTTCCGTTATCAGTCAGGCACATGCATAAGAGACCAGCACAAGACACAGGAAAGCAAGAAAAAAAGACAAGGCTATATATTCTTTCTCGCATTATGTTATGCCGGCGTGCAGAATCAATGCTAAGATAAGCTAAGCTGAGATTGATGGCGATCCATCCATGCGTAAGCGGGCATGCATGTCCATGCTCACACACCTCAGCACCTCAAGAGGAGCCCACGGCCTCAGGAGCCTTTGACGGGTCAAAGCCATATTTGCTCTTCAAGGTGTTGACGAGCTCGATGTATCGCTTCTCGGCGTCGGCGGCGGAGGTGCCTGCGTCGACCTCTTTCTGCCATGCCTTGTGTTTCGCTTTGCCCTGTAGAAGAAAACAAAATGTTAGATAGACTGCAGTAAACAGTAGCTGGTTGTGCGATGGTATACTCTAGTCGGCTTGCTTGATCAACGTACCTTTAGATCAAACATGCCGGGCGCAGGGGCCTTTGAGAAATCTTCGCCATTGGCGACTTTGAACAGGGCATATAGCTGGAGAGGACAACAGAACGTTAGCCATCATAATCATCAAAAAATCACCGTCTGGTGAGAGTAAAATGACACTCTGAGGGCGGGCCTGTCCGCAACATCTCATGGTCAGGGCAGTGCTGAGCATGTCAACTCTATCCCAGAAATGAAACCAAAGAGATGCGTATTCAAGCCGAAGATATGGCGTGATGGACCCGAAGTATAGGGGACATTCCTGCTGGAAGCTCCTTGCCGGGACATGGAGATGTACTCCAGTGATAGAGAGCGGACTCCCTGGGCGGAAGACATGGACTGAGCAGAGCTAGACTCATGCGTACCACCAACACGTGCTGGTGAGGCTGGTCTCTGTCTCCCTCTGTCCAGCTCTGTCCAGGTGTCCCGTCCTTCTCCGGTCCCGTTCCATTCGTCTCTCCGTTTTCTGGCCCAGAAGCATCCGGCAGGCATGGTATACCTTCCCACACCACAGGGAGCCGCCGAACTTGGTTCTAACCCTCATACTTATAGCTCGATCCTTGCACACCTTATCACCAACCACTGCTCGAGCCAAACGCCACCATCACAGCCGGACGGACGGGCAATTGATACAACGCACTCGGACAGCTGAGGCAAAAAGTCCTGGAGGACTTGTACTCACCTCCAATAGCTCTTCATTGCTCGGCTTCGCCTTGAGCTGACGGCTCTCCTCGGCAGCCTTTTGGAATTCGGCGGAAGGCATATTCGCTCGATTATTCTTGGTCTAATCCGTACGATATTTGGGTCGGGAGTGGAAATTACGGTTCGAGGTGCGATTCTGTGAGTAGGAGCAAACCTCAATTAGCACGGGCATAAAGAGGTAAATATACCAAGTGGACCGAGGTGATTCTCGCAACCAGCGTCGGGCTTGGGTTGCATTGCATGCGCCGGTCGCGGCGGCGGTGCAGCCACCCACCAAACCCCTCCATGGCTCACCACAGGACAACCATGACAAGTTGTACCGTAGGCAATGCAATGCAGGGAAACACACCTGCTGTACAGTAGGCAGAAAGGTTTGGGATAGGATTACTTACCAAAGTGTAATGCGTAGCTTGTACAAATGGATTTGACGACGGTGATATCGAGTGACGGTGAAGAAGCAAGATGCCAGACTCTGAACTTGAAGCCAACAAAAACACGGCCATATGTCGAATCGAACACGCTCCGCTCCGAGGTCTCAACAAAGACGTCAGAGTTGGTGGGGTTGACCACCCGGACCATGTGACCAGGGAAAAGGGGCCTAGGGAGCCCCAATCCACAGCCTTGACCGTTCAGCTACCAGTTCTCTGCCCAGGTAGTACTAGTAGCAGCCATGCAAGAGGAAAAGGTGTGTGCTACGAGATTTTTTTTATTGCAAGTACAGTAGTAGGCTACTTACGGCTGGCTACGTATCAGGCCTCACCGGAGACAGTGGCTGAGTCGCTCGTGGTTGACATTGTCAAGGCAAGCAAGATAGGAGAGCCAAGCCGTCTATCACTCTTTGATGCGCATCAATTGTACGAAGCAATGGTCTGATTCTCTAAGATATGCTCATGGCTCATGATGGTCATCGAGAAGAAACACAATCTCCCAACGCCGCCCGCTTGAGGTAAGTAGATGCAGGATGCAAGATGACAAAACACAAGACAACCAAAATCACACGGCCCAAGACTCCGCGAGAGGGCCACAGCATGCACCTCTAAGACCAAGAGCACAGTCCAGACTTGCTTGATAATGTCCGCTAACGGACACAATCATCGCCCACCCAAGATACTATACCAGTTCGCTGGAATGTCCAATTCGCGCGTCACCGCATGCAATATCACCAATCGACCGCCCAACCATTCTTTTCCAAAAACTCACTGCACGCATTCTTCAGTGCCACATTCGGAATCAACTGCTCCGGCTTCAAAGGCAACCTAGTCAAAGGATCCAATCCAGTCTGTTTGATATGTTTGAGCAACCCGACACGCTCAAACGAGACACCTGTAGGCGTGATGACGGGGTCATGCATGACTTCAAACGTAATGGGATCGATGAGCCAGTCCGGGACGACCTAACAGAAGCACTGCAGTCAGCATCATTCACCCAGTGAACAACAATCACAACGACCAAACAACAACATCACAACAACCAATCATCCACCATCTCACACACAGGCACAACTCACCCTCTCAACAGAGTCCGGATTCGCCGGATCCTGAAACGCTTTCCGGATAATACTCCGTCTCGACTCCGCCTCCTTTTGCAAATCATCAATCTCTTCCCTCTTCCCCGTCTCGCCAATATCTCCCTTTTTATATCTCTCTTCCACGGCATCAATGTCCCGCTGAAGCTGCTGATCCAACAAATCTTCCACCAGGGCCAACGTCTCATTCAATTGTCTTAGTCGCGCCGTCTCCTTGGCCTGCCATTGCGCCTGTTTGGCCTTGAGGATGAACTGGCTGATCAACTCCGCACTCGAATCTCTGGTTTCCAAACAGATCGCATATGCGGTCTTTGCTTCTTCGAGCGCTTCGCCGACGTGTCGTTGCGGCAGCAGTGCTTGGGCGAGGTAGTAGTGCGATTTCATGGCGGCCTGGTTGTTTTTGGGGCCGTATAGTTCAATCGCCTTGCGGGCGTCGGACTCGGCGCCTTGCCAGTCTTGGAGCTTGAGGCGGGTGAGGGCCCGGTTGGCGAAGACTTTGGGATCGGAGCGTGAGTGTTCGGCGATACTGGCGAAACAAAGTCGCTGTTAGTCCTTGAATGCTCTATTCTGCTGCGATTGCAGTCGCAGTTGAAGGATAAGGGCGGACATAAACTCACGCTTGAGAATAGAGTTCCTCGGCGCCTTTGTAGTCGCCCGCTTTGAAGTGCTCGTTCCCTTGTTCACGGAACGACGACATGGCTGCTGCAGAGGGCTCCGGCGAGCACAACACTCTTGGTCAGACGCAAAGTGAAGGACTGAGAGTTGCGATCGCACTCGATGGGTCTCAGATGTAGCCTCTAGAAGAAGAGATGATCAATGGCTATGACTTCGCGCTTCTGCGACTCAGGTGATACTAGAGGTGTGAGAGTAAGCGGGCCGTACTACGGCCGTTGGCGCAGACGATATAGTAACAATACTCGGAGAGTTGGTAACCCGGGGTTTCGACAAAACGAACGCAGTCGGCATGACTACAGACACACGTTGCACAATCCAATGCGAAAACACACCAGATATTATGGTCGTGTGTAATAAGACGAGTGGCCGGGCGGCTTCAGAATGCGATGGACTCTCTTGGATACTCGTGCCTGTGCTGTGCAGGTTGCCGACCGACGAGGCTTACTTCCGATCGGGCATTAATAATTATGCGCCATCCGATCCCTGCCCGCCAAAGGTGGAGCGACGCATCCCCCCTGCCAGTGCATCTCGTCGGCTTCGTCTGCGGTTAGAACCGCTGCACTGGCTCTTGACGACATTATCGACCCTTTCTAGTCGTCACACAGTTGTATACGTTGGTGGAAAGAATGTGTTATGATGAGCAAGTATGGATAGGAGTGATTTGACTTTTTACAAGAATATCTGGGGTATAGTCTATGCTTGACAGCAAACGCCTGCTTCTATGGCAGCTCCTTCCCCATATCGAGGAAAACAATGAAAACACGCAATCCATGAGTTCATCCTCCCAATCATGTCCATTGCACTCCCAAACGCCAAACAACATTCTCGCTAGGTCGATAGCATTCATACTCGTGACAAAATCGTTCAAGCAGCACCCGCGGTTGGGGTGTTCTGAAGCACCTTGGTGGGCTGAAGGCCTGCTCGAACCACGCGTTCGCCATTGCTGTCACGAGTCTCTCCCTTGGCCTCCATTTGAGAACGCTTCCAGATCTCAACTTCGCAACCGCCACGGATGACACCAACTCTCATGGTAGAGAGCAGGTTGTGGGCTGCGTTGCTGTGCATGTAAACACCTCCGTTGAACATGGCAGTAGCGTCCTTGCCAATGCCAGCTTGGATCATGGCCTTGCCACCGGGGTGATCCTTGATGAAGTCGGTGACATCGTGAACAATGCCGGCAATGGAAATCAAACCACGACCATTCTTAGCCTGGTCAACATAGTCGTCCCACTCCATGACGGGTAGCTGATCCAGAGGCACACCCCAATCAAGCTTGGCACGCTTCTGATCAATCTTCTTCTGGAGCTGTTGCAGACGACCCTTCTCGATTTCATTGGCACGGAACTGCTTGAGATCGTAGGCGAGACCGAGTTGTTTCCAGATCCAGATCGACCATTTGGTGGGATCATACTGATGCCACTCGATGGCGTTGCGGTAATCCGAAGGGAATTCGTGGTGGAAGTTGTGGTAGCCCTCGCCAAGAGTGACCAGAGCGGTGATGACATGGTCACGGGGAGAATTGCGGTCATCGAATGGCTGATCTCCGAGCCAGTGAGCCAGGGAGTTGACGCAGAAGGTGGCCTGTTGGACGAAGAAGATGCGGAGGATTCCAGCATAGACGAATCCACCCCACCAATCGCCCCAGCCCAAACCGGCGACGATTGTGGGAACAATGAGGCCCATTGTGATGACCACCTTCAAGTAGTTCTTGTGTTGCCAGACAACAACCGGGTCTTCGTTCAGATCGGAGATGTCGGTGCGGCCAATTCTCTTCGGGTTTTGCTTCATGACCATCCAGCCGATGTGAGAGTAGAGCAGACCTTTGCGGACGGAGTATGGGTCTTTGTCGGTATCGGTGTATCGGTGATGGGCACGGTGATCACGAGCCCACCATCTGATCGAACCTTCGACAGCACCACCGCCAACAGCGGCCAGGAAGATTCGTAGAGGGAGTGTTGCTGAGTACGAGGTGTGTGCCCAAAGTCTGTGATACCCAGCGGTGATGCCCAGTCCAGTGGCGAAGTAGTAGGCAATGGCCCAGACGGCGGTCTTCCACCGTAGAGGAACCCAGTAGGCCTGAATGCACCCCATGAGAGGGACAAGGACGATCAACGTAACATTCAACCAGTTAACGTGCTTGTACCAGTTGGAAGTGGTTATGGGAGTCTCGGTGATGTGGACTTTCTTGGGATCGTATTTGGTGTTTCGGTTGGGCTCCGTGGTTTTGGCCATGGGCGACGGCTGAGAGGAGAGGTACTCTGGCTTCACGGCCAAGTCACCTGCGGTGGGCTGGGAGGAAGGCATGTTGAAAGGGAGACACGATCAACACAATGCCAGTCGAGGGTGAGATGAGTTAGGTGAAGAGAGGATGAAGACAAGAAAAAGAAATCCCAGGAGGTGCTCCGACGAGCGAGATATATGAAGGGGCTAAGCTTGGTCGGTGTCTGAGATATGTTGAGTCCCTGGTGTGGGGAAGGCAAAGGAAGGCGACAGGGAGATGGGGCGAAGGACAGATCCTGCTCCTGTCGGTTCGCAGGCCAGACCCGGAGCTGGTTGGTAGACGAGGTGCAGACGATGGATCTGTTTGGACAAGGAGCTGCACATCTCATTCCACCTGCGACACGCCGAGTGAGTTGCGTGCGTTTGCTAGAAATGCTTCACCTTTGGGATTTTGTTGGGGAGACACACGTCACTAGCAGCACAAAGCGCAGGGGACACTAACTGTCGCCTAGCCGGAATTGAGTGTGGTGATTGGCCGAAGCTGGGCAGTGCCTTGCGCTAGAAGCAGGCTAGAAGCTGGACCCTGACCTAAACTTGAACTTGGAGCTTTCCGGCTCTGCAGAGCCAGGCAACGACAACCTCAAGTACCAGAACTGCTATTTGTTCTTAATTGGTCGTCTTAACACCACGGTGGCACTGGGAGCTACACGTTCTGGTTCAGGCAGTGCTGATCCTGTTCACAGCGGGAGACGTTAAGTGGCACAGTATTGAGGAGCACAAACTGTTCCAGATTTCCTCCAGGTTATTCACCGGTCCTGGCCCTCCAAAAAATGATGGGGCACCGCCAGTCAGATCGTCCGCCTTTCCAGTCTGATGCCAAAGCGAGTAGCCTGACAGGACAGACCACCCCATACTCGCCACCCCTGCCATGCCTCCCGTAAAGAGCCCTTCCAGCTGTTGGGCCGCCGGAAACCGAGGCCTCGTCTGTCGTAGCTCGTATTCCGTATTATTGCCGCGTTGCTTCGTGTTGCTGTCTTCCTTTCTTCCGGCTTTCGTTGCTGCTGACTCAGACGCAAATTCACAGGCCTCAACGATATTCTGGAGCTTCGAGACAAGATCCCAACTCGAAGTGCCTGGTTGTGTCTCTCATCACATGATAGCCTGCAGTGAGCAGGTACTGTGGTGTCTACATGCATTCCCGTGTGGTGCTTGTTTACACGTGAAACTCTCATCTTCACCAGTCATGATGCTGGTGATAAAATGTTGGGAGACTCTATCACTGCAGGCAGCATTCATGCAGCGGCCCACGCAGTGTATACTTCAAGTTGTCCTGCCCATCCCATCGTTCCGTAGAGATACCCATGCATCTGCTGTCAGCTCCGCTTGCCTTCCACATGCTAACATGTGTTCTTGTCAAGCTGAGGGAGACCTCGGGGCAAGAATAATGGATGCATCGTGATCACTCGAACTTCCCTGGCTGGGTGAGACCAACAGACTTTTCTGCTTTCACCAAGGCGCCGCTCTTGGTCCCATATCGAGGCCATACGATCCGTCCCCTCGAATGTCTCGAGCATCCTCGACTCGCTCTCTGATGGCCTCCCCGGCCTCTCCTCCCTCTTTCTGCCATTTCTTGTGCAAACGACGAGCGGCGTATTTCCCAACACCCCAGATAGAGGCGGCGATAATACTAGCTCCAAAGGTAGGGGGAGCTGCCAGCCAGGCGACTCCAGAGATGGCACCGCCGATAGCAGTCGCTCCAACCGCGGCCACCAATGCCCCAACCGCCACATACTTGGCCCATCTCACCAGTCGCCAGATGATGAATTGACCGATGAATCTGAACGTTCGCAACAGAGCTCTCGTCCGCAACCGCGCCGGTTTCTCGGCTGTAGGCGAGATGAGGTAATCCAGGTTGCGTTTTGCGTTCTTGAGAGCTGATTTTGATTGTTGTTGCACTGCCACTTCTCCTTCGTCTTGTAGCGACTGTACGTGAGCTACACCTCTTGAAGGGGCCATCTTCGACATTGGCTCGTTCAGTTTTCGGGCGGGCTGAATAGTCGTATTTTCTAAGGAATTGATTGCTAGTACCTAGTAGGCGGTATATCTCGTAGTACCTAGGTAATATTGAAATATGTCGATCTTGATTCTGGCCAAATGGCTGTCCTTGGATGATGTCACCGAACCCGGCCAGAACTTCGGGTGATGAACCCCGGGGTCTGATTAGGTATTAGCGGCACAAGGCTACCAGCGGTTTATACAACACTGCGTCGTTCATTCAAGTTGTAGGCACCTGAACATGGACGCGCATAGACCGCAAGACTGAAGTACTACCACTATCATCATTAATAAATAGCATGCTCCTATGTTCCAAGTCACTGTGCAGTAGAGTGCAACCGTATACTAGTAGCGTTGAACGCGGGTACTACTGCATGGATAAATGCACACATCTTCTGGGACGGCGCTAGCGCACTACAGTTCGCGGTGACACTCTTGGGGCTTTGCTTTGTGACGCCAAAGAATTCGTGAACAGGAGCAGCAGACCCAGAACTTGCAAGACTCAATCCATGACAACAAAGGAGCTTGACGTTGAACACTGCCGAATATGTAGAATAAGCGGGCTTCAGCTCTGCGTGTAGGTTACAGCATGATCTCAATCAATAGGTAAAGCAGGATAGTAATACATTTGATGATGCACAGAAAGGCTGCAGGCACCATACCACTCGCCTATATGCTGAAGAGGTGCTAGGCGACTATGTCACTGGCCTTTAGAGACAGATACAGCACCCCTGGTCAACCATCCATGCACCTGGTTGGTAACATGCATCAATGTGCGTCTTCAGCAACGTTGCAACATTTCATGAGCTTTGTACAGGTTCGAACAAGCCTGGGTTGTAGGACGATCCCGATAAAAGACAGTAAATCCATGCACTGCTGCCTTGCAGTGCTCGAACTGTAACTGATCTCGCTTTTTGGTGCTCAGGGGCCACTCACCGGACTGGTCTTGTACCGCAATCATTTTCGATATATGCAACCCATTCGCAAACGTAACATCCTGTCCTCCTCTGCTTTCGAAAACGACTTGTAATCGCTGGGCCACTGCTTTTCAAACCCTTCTCTTTCCCACTTTTGGAATGCGGCGACATCGATCTTGTGGAAGGGGATACCGAGGTCTTTGGACACTCGATCTTTCCAATAGGCTTCATCAAAAGGGCTGAGGTCTTGTGGAACTGTGCCAGGTCGGAAAAATATCTCTGCCATCTTGGCTTTTTCTTGCTCCACCTTCTTCAGATGCCTTTCCATACCTCCGACTATGCTCGACTTGTTGTATGCTTTTGGTTGCATCGCCTCCTTGACTTTCTTGTAGTCGAGCTGGAATCCAGCTTGGTCGTAGGTAGGTGAGCCACGAGGCCCTTTCTTAAGACAAACATACTTGTCATGGAACATGCTGTTGGGGTCTCTGGCTGATTCTTCGATGAGGCGTTCATCCTTCTCCGCCGCGTTCATGCGTTTCTTTGCCGGCGGAGGCAACGGCTGGGGGTTTCTCATCCATTCCGGGTCGGTTTCAGGACGGAATGCATTTGGTGGTTCTCCGCGGGGAGGTACCTTTCTCCCCGGTGTCGGCCGCGGATCACGTATGTCGAGCTCGATTGCTTTGCTCTTTGGTGTGCTGGGCGTAGTGGCAGACTCATTTGCAGTGGCACCATCAGTTGTGTTATTGTCGCGTTTTCGCTTTGCCGCACGGATCGCCTCGAGCTCTCTAAGATTCTTGTCTGCGGAATCCATCAGAGTCATCCCTGTTTTGCGGGGGCCCGACTCGGATGCCCCATCGGGAGGATTATTCTCCTTGTCATTCTCGATCTGGGAAGCCCGTCGCTTCCTGGTTTTGGCTGGGGCCACCGTGCCTTGGGACACTGAGACTTGATTGCCACTGCGTGTTTGGACCATTTTGGCTACTCTTTGCGTTGGATATGTGAAAGGATGGGAATGTTGATGGATGCGGGCTTACTCTGAAGACGCGACTGTTTAGTATCGCGTTTGATACCTACCAGGTACTAGTAGCGCGTAAGGGGACGATCCGGGGGACAGAATGACGTATGAGTGAGTGCTCGTAGTGGTTCTCGGTAAAGCTGCCCAAGCAGCAGAATATGGTCTACATTCTCGCCAGTGCCAGTGATGGGAGGAGTTGAACCGGCCCTCATGTTCATTGCTGTGGTGGCTACCTAGAAGGCAGACCATCACTCGACTCGACTCCTATCACTTTCGTAAAGATGTCGGGTTGCTGAGGAGTCCCCTTCAGCCATTAGCTGGTGGATCTTGGCCAGACAGGTGTTGTACCTGAGCACAACTTCTGCCATTGCCTCACTTGTTGTAACCGATGTAGACCTTAAAAGTATCGAAACTATCAATTTGTAGGCATGCAGTCATTATTCTCACCCCGGCGTCTCGGGCTTGGTTCCAGGTCCTTTCGGCGCTTTGACAGATATGACGGGTCTCTAAACTCCAGCCTGAGGAGCCTGTGATCTGAGTTCGCTAGTTTGACGCCCAGCTTGAGCGGCACGCCTATCGATAGCTACGATAACCAGCAAACCTTAACGCACCGACTCAGCCACAAACCTGAAGCTCCAAAACCGGAGAGCGCACGCTGGAAGTTGGCTTCAAAGTCTAACCAACAGCAACCCTGCTATGCAGTGAATGCTGACTTCATGATGTGGCCCTTGGCTGCCTTCAAGGAGGATCCCCTTTTCTTGACAGTGTCTGAAACCTGAAAGGGATGCCAGCTCTTACAGCAGACGGCGAAACAAATCCCGCAAGCCAGGAGATTATGCACACTTCATTATTATCACAGCAGCTGAGTTCTCCGTAGGCCACGGAGAATTGTGACTCGCTTCAAGAGTTGCGAGCAGACGGCGCCTCGGATCTCATTGATCAACAACTTGAACCCAAACCCTGGCACTACTTGACCTACCCGAACCACCCTCTCTCAGCCCCCACAATCCCACACTTTTCCTGCCAGCGCCCTGGCCTGTCAATCCCGCCGTTCCGAGAGCCTGCCAGTTGTGTGACGACCTTTCGCATGCGAAACGGCTGCGGTCTCAGTTCGATCCGGCACAGCCCAGCGCAACGAATTGTTTCCAAATCATCCATCCTTCATTGCCTTGCCACTCTTTCCTCTTGGCCCTCGCCCAGCTTATCTGCTCTCGGCACGTCTCTTCAAAAGTCGATGATTTGACATTATAGCTGAACTTACCGGATGTCAGCAGCACCGCCCGCCTCCAGTCGCTCGGCACAGTCCTTTGGCAGTGAGCAATGACACTGTGAAGAACCCGCAGGGAGCACATAACCAAGCATATATCCTGCTGGTGTCACGAAGCGGCCCTTTGTTCTTCCCCGGTCGTGTCGGCAGCGTCGATCCTGGAGTACAGATTTGAATAGGGTGTAAAGAGGCTGGACCTACAAGCAGACAGTAATCAAGGCAATCAAATTTGCCAGAATGCAGGTTCCCGCTGTTTGTGGAAGATGGAATGCCATCGCCATCACATGGCTATCATTGATGGCCTCGTTGTCACATGCGCAGACCATCAGTCCTCACAATGGCTCTGTCGGTCTCTATCCCGTTTCGACCTCTCCTCGGTTTATCATGAATGGCTCTGAATTTCCCGACTTACCCGTCGTGAGACTGGCGCCCTTGGGGATCTACGCTGAGATATCGCATAGCGGCTTTCTCCATGTCCATGAGGAAGGGCATCTGGTCAACGTCGACGCCAGTAACGCTAACGACATTGCTGACCAGAAGCAATTCTCCTACATTTCTTGCGACCCGGAAAAGTACACGGGCAATCTGGACGCGAGCGCGGTGTTCCGTATGGTGGTGCAATCGCCCAACGCAAACATTGTGATTCTCTACAGCGAGACCAGTGATCATTGCGTCGCCACGGGGATCAACAGTCTCCCTGACATTGGCGGTATCCTTACGACAACCGATACAATGCTTGCCTCCAGTCTTGCTGCATTGAATCTCGGCCAAAACAGTTCTGGGACTGCCACTATTCTACCCGACCTGAACTCGTATACGAACTCTTCTAGTGGTAGCCACGATGGTGATACCTCCTTGAACCAGTCTCCCACAACTGCCGTGGCCATGATCATCCTCTATTCCATTACTGGCATCATCACTGCTCTATTTGTGGTCATCATTGTGACAGGCGCCATCCGAGCGCACAGACATCCCGAACGCTATGGTCCTCGAAACATCGTCGGACGAGGTCGCCAGAGCAGGGCGAGAGGCATCGCCAGGGCCATGCTCGAGACCCTGCCAATCGTCAAGTTTGGCGATCCAACAGATGCTGCTAAGAAGCCTGCCGAGGGCGCCGACATCGAGTTGGGTGCGGGAACCAGTCCAGCACCGGCTACAGATGAACAAGCCTCAACGGACCAGTCGACACCAGGAGGCAATCCAACCGCCGCTGGTGCTCGAGCGCCGGTAGTCATTGCTACCCAGAATGCAGATGGTACTGACGCAGAGGGACATCTCGGCTGCTCCATTTGTACGGAGGACTTCAAGAAGGGCGAAGAAGTCCGGGTGTTGCCTTGTAACCATAAATTCCACCCTGACTGCGTGGATCCATGGCTGTTGAACGTCAGCGGAACGTGTCCATTGTGCAGGATCGATTTGCGACCACAGACTCAGGATGCTGTGTCTGAAGAAGCGGAGCGCCGGGGTTCCGGCACCAGTATTCCAATTGCTCAAGACGGAGAGACTGCGCCTCCACTTCATGGCTCCGGATCAGCCGAGGAGGGTGCCCGTCAAGGACGTCGAGAGAACGGCCTCCATCTCCGCCATCTTGCACAAGGCTCCAGGGAAGACCGGATTGCAGCTCTCCGACGACTGAGGCAGGAGACGCTTCGCTCGGGGTCGAATCGTCAAACGGATGACGAGAGGACCGGCCTGACGAGAAGATTCAGAGAACGGTTCAGGATCCGCACGGAGAGAAGAGGGACAGTGAGCGATCAATGATGAGACCGCAGACGTCTGTTCCCTGAATATATGACTGCCAGAAACCACCAGGCCAGTGCTAGAATGACGGGATTGTCTTGTTGGTCTGGCCTGCTGGTTTACTGGCACATCAGCATTGTGTACAACGAAACAAGAATATTCTGCTTTGGTAAAACATGGACATGACCCGCTATGCGAAGTTACGATACGAAATCAACAAGGTGATGAGGAGTTTGGGCAAGTGCTTCCAACTTGAGTTAAGAACATGGGGCCAGAACAGCGGACAGCTGGAATGTATAGGTATTTTGGAGATACGATTACATGACTGTGGCATGGATTTTGTTTTTCTGGAATGCAGACACCACATCAGGGGTGGGAGGCAATCGATATGTTCGGCGTCGTCATCATCATCATCATAAGGACCTCTGACTGATAGTGGGGCCGGATATGATGTGGACTTGACCTGATATTTTATATGCTCGAGGAATTGAACAACTTTGGCTGGCCCTAAATAGTCTGGCCTCGTTGAGATCTGCGCGAACAGGTCACCGACTTTTAGTCATACACTTGTCCCTAGTACCAGTAGGCGGACATAGGACAGTAGCTATACTGTAAAGTGGCTATCGGGCAGAAACTTGAACATGGCGCCCATGTTCCGATGGTGCCGCACATTCATCATCTGCCGGTATCGACGCCACTGCTCGTGCCGCGTGCCAATTCCTCAGTGATGTCCCTGGCAGCGGCCCAACCCTTGGAAGCCCTCTGGGACAAATCATCGCCGTCTTTTTCTTTGTGGACGTCTCCACTACCACTTCCGCCAAACCAGCCAGCCACGCCGGTAGGAATCCAGCCGCCACTAGTTGTTCTTCGACCTCCGGCCTTGGGCGGACTAGCTGCCGGACTGGAGGTTGAGGAACTACTACTGCCACTGATAGTAGGGTGTCTTGCATCGTCGTAGTCGACATTTTCAAAAGACTGCTCACTCATAGATTTGTTCTTCAAGCCGGACGCGGAAGCCGAGCCGGAGCTCAAGGACCGGCTGTGAGTTTGCGGGGCACCACCACCACCCCCATAGGCCAGATCAATGTTCTGTTGCTCCTTGTCAAGAGCCTTGAGCAGATTGAGCAGTCGTTCACGCTGGGCCGAGATGTAGTTTGATTTCTCGGCCGAGCTGCCGCCGGCAGGAATGTCTTGAAACAGAGACGGTGGGATAGATGTTGCTGGTTCTTCAGAAGGCGCGGAGCGGGCCGCAAAAGCTGCGCCGGCCAGGTTCGACACCATGCTATAAACACCGGCGGACGTGGTGCCGGGTTGAGTGGGGGCATTTGTTCGTGCACCTGGCATGGCAAAGCGGGAGAGCAGATCTTGTGCATAGCCTGCATAGCTAGTACTGCCTGTCGTTTGTTGTTGTTGTTGCTGCTGCTGTTGTGGACTCTTTTGACCGAGCACCTTGTCTCGAAGGAATTCAATCACAATGTTCAAATACCCCAGTCCCATCTGTTGAAGTCGCTCATGTGCCTCGCCGATGAACCTGTCAATCCGCGTCTCGTGGTGCACGATGTATGGCTCCAGGTAGTCGAGATATAGGACTTTGGCGCCCTGGGTCTGTGGGAGGACAAGATAGAGCAAAAAAATCAGGCGGATCCATGAGTAGAACGGAACCCAGCCGATGATGAATAGAGTCCATGATTCGAAGAGGAGTGTTAGTGACAGAATGGTGAAGTAGATTAGCCATGGGTGCGTTTGGGCTGCATCGTTGGTCCGCAGCGCTTTGTAGGACAGGTAAGCTGGTAGAAGGATCGATGTTACAGATCTGAGATGTAAAAGTACTCAGTATTGGTTTGTGTGCCACTGGCGACTCACCGGAGGGGGCAGTTTTGGTAACTCACGCGATGAGGTCTGCTATGATGCCGAACATTGCGGCGGAGTCGTATACGAGTATGGTTTTGCAAAGGAATCAAAACATAGGCGGAATGGGGGGGATTGATCGATGGGAAGACAGACGAGGAATGCAGTGCGATAGTAGTCAATGAAGTGCTACTAGTAGTAGTAAGCGAGACTGCGGCGTCTTGTAGTGACTGGGGATTGTATGGTCGCTGGGATTGGGGTCAGGCAGCACAGCTACCTAGTATTGCCCTCCGACGTACGGCGTGTCCTGTTCTCTGTCTTGCTGTTACTGTACGTAAAGGATGAACTGGATGGCGGTGTGCCTAATGCAATGGCCTCTCTCCGGCTTCCACAACTTGAAATGGTGCGTGTCTCTTGCGGAGTTGCCCCTCGTCGTCAGTGGCCGCCTTGCCGTGATGAGATCATGTTCCGCAGGTTCAAGTTCAGCCTTGCCGACAAGGGTCCTTATCGCGATAAGAACGCTTAGTCAGTGCCCCGCAACTAGCCGGCGGGTGCTAGGCCAAAAACGGGTGCGAGTATGCTCGCACATCCTACTATACTCGACCGTACTCCGGCTACTGTGAAACAAGAAACAACAAGTCGCCAAATGACGGCAGCGGACCAGCAACTGACTACAACCGACCACTTCTTCTACTTCGATTAGGGGGCTATGGAGAGTGTATTTTTGTTTTCCGTGCCCATTGAATGAATTGTTCGAGATGAAGAAACAAATCTGACAGCACGAAGGTATGGACACCCTCAACAACGTCCTCAGGACTGCAGGTGGACTCCAGGCTTGGCCTGTGTCTGCCTCCAGACAGTCACTAACCTCGGTTGGATGCCTTTGCTGGCCTTGACAGTGAGTAATGATCCGGTCCGTTCTCTACCGTCATCTACAGTACGTCTCTCTCGTCCGTCACGACTCGCCTTGATCTATCCGTTCTGGACACTGCCACGCCAGACCGTCTGTTCAAGTCTCAGCGGTCCAGTGATTCCCTCCTGGACTGCCAGTGGTGGAATGTGAGTTTCCCAAACGGCCACATGTGACACGACACGGCACGACGCGGGCATCAGATAAAAGGCTTGAGATCAATCATCCCGACCACATCCCCCTCTCTAGCCTTGTGGTGTATCTGTCTTGACCACAATCTTAATTCTTTACGCGAAGCACACCTACCATCCGTATATTTGCCATACACACCTGTCCTTGCTCCTCTATCGTGAAAAATATCCAAAACCATGTGCATCGCGCTCATATCTACCGCGCACCCGGCATACTCACTGATCCTGATCGACAACCGGGACGAATACCTGAACCGGCCAACCGACCCAGCCAGATGGTGGCCGGAACCACATTCTCACGTCCTCGGCGGACGAGACATGCAGCGCGAAGTGCACGGGACCTGGCTCGGAGTGACCAAGGACGGCAAGATCGCAGTATTGACCAACTACCGCGAAGACACCATCCCGCCGCCATGCGCTATTAGCCGAGGAGCGATCATCAAGAAATTCTTGGTTGAAGACGTTGGCCCAGTCGAGGAATTTGTGGAAAACGTCGTCGACACGGGGATCGCCAAGGACGCCGGAGGATTTAGTTTGGTATGCGGCTACATCGGCGACAAGCTGGCCGTCATCTCAAACCGGGCCGAATCCCAAAGTCAAGTTCCCTGGATCGCCGGCGACGTCGTGCAGACTGTGGGATTGAGCAATTCCGCCTTTTCCGACCGGTCCTGGAAGAAGGTCCGTCTGGGCGAAGAACTCATGCTACATACGATCCGGCATTGTGTGGAGAACAACGAGACGGAAGACCAGCTCATCCACCGGTTCCTGGATCTTTTGAGTCACGAAACTCTCCCCCGCGAAGGGAAATCAGAGGAGGATGGGCTCGAGGCGTATATCCAGGATCTCCGCGAGACGATATACGTGCCTCCGCTTGGGCGGAAGGACATGAACAGTCCTGTTCTTACGGACGATGAGCTGCGTGCTGCGAGATTGCGTGAGAAACTCGAGGTCATTGAGGAAAAGGATATTGTTGGCGACGATCACAGTCGTCACCATAACAATACCCACACTCACAATCAATCTAATTCCCATTCTCAACCTCAATCTCAACCTCAGATTCCCGGCGTCACTTCTGGAATTTACGGTACGCAGAAGCAAACCGTCGTGCTGGCCGACAAGGCCGGGAACGTCCGATTCTTCGAGAGGACACTATTCGACGAGAACTCGGACCCTATTCCTGCCGGCCAGGGCGACGTCGACGTGACGTTCAAGCTTGAAAGACCACCGAAGTCGAAATCGAATGGAAATGTTGACTGACTGCGGAACCCATGGTACTTGGAACAAACCTGTGTTAGCTAACACCGGGCGCGCGTTGAGTCTCAATCCACAGACTAGCAACCGGCATTCATTTCAAAATACCCTATCCCCAACACCAAGCATCGCGTCCGACGAAATTTGACTGATACCTTATTTATCTATATCTCAGATCTTCTCCATCCCATGTGGCAACCCCTGTTATCTACATCTATCTATCTAATCTGGAACCATTTCAAGGGACCAAACCCAAAAACCGGGTATTATCTGGACTAATCTGGTGATATCAACATCTCAACGGGAACTGCAGCCACAAGATTCTTGCGATGGTCTTCTTGAGCTCAAGCGTTGGTTACCTTGCATAGCGTCGGTTTCGATTCCGATCGTTGTTTTTGTCGACACTTGGCCCTGGAAATGGTACAGTACCATGTTCCTGGGAGCATGGTCCCTTGGGTTGCCATACCATCCAGCATGACTCGAGCATTGGCATTGGCATTGGCATTGGCATTTCTATGAAAGATCACATCACATCACATGGCATGGCCGGAGATAGTCTACTACTGCAGCACGTACCAGGCAAAATAGAGCATGGCAGCATTGTGGGTCTACCAGAGAATCGGCATATTGTCGATTGACGGTGCAAGGTAATATAATGTTTCGAAAAGCTACATCGTACTGTAGGTGCTAACTCTAATCTGATTGGAGCTACCACTGCATGTTCCTGTATGGCACCCACGTGGGATGGATGAAATGCTTCATGTTGATCAACCGGAAACCGAATTTGACGAGACACAGGCCTGTACGATGAAATGAACATATCATCCTTCACCTGGCTAAATCAGCTACCCACTTGACTCTACGGCCCTTTCCTGATGCCCTACTAGTAATGCCTTGAAAGGACTCTGGTACAGCCAAATTGCTTCACGGTCATGCACAACCGAAACGATAGTATATTCACCATGAACGCAAACTAGTTGTACTAACCAAGACGTTCATCTTCATCACGACGTCCCCGAGGCCATCTGATCAATTCCCCGTCTCCAAACAAAAGTTGTTCTTTTCTGGCGAATAACTTGGCCAGCCATGGTCTTCCTGCACCGGGCCAACCCACGCCAGAGTGGGTGCCTCCCCGATGGAGGCTACTGGCGAAGGTGGCCTCGTCGACCATTGAACGCCGAAAAAACCAAAGTCCCCGCCGTACCATCATCTGAACCAAGGTACAATCCTTCTTCACAGCAGTATGCTGCCCATCAACCATACATTTCGGGTCGAAGCAACGCCATGATCTTTCCAATGCCAGAGTGATGATTCGGAGGGCATGGGCGAAATAGGCGGATCGTTCCATCGCGATCAGCGAAGGTTTGTTAAATTGTCGCTTCTGTTTCCATTTTTCCAACCAAGTGCTTCGACTGTTTGGTTTCATGTAGTAGTTGGAATAGAGCTTACTTTGACGTTTGTATCCCTTCATCAGACCACGGCTCAGGTAAGTCAATGCCAGGCCAAGTGATTGAAGGTCTTCGCGGGCAGCAAGGTCCACACCATTGTAATCCAGGCCCATGGAGTGCTCGACAATTCCCTTGTACATCTCCAAGTCGGCCATGAACCGCGCCATGTCGTCGGCCATGCCTCCTCCATAACAACCAGCCTCGGTCCAATTGAACAAGGCGGGAGGACCGTCCTCGTCTCCTTCCGCACCCGGCATGTTGACAAAGACTGAGTCGAAATCGCAGCCTCCATGACTGAAGAACTATTCATCTCTGTGGAGTGGCTGCGTCAAATCGGCCGTAAGAGCCTCACAAATATCGTTGAGTTCGGTGGAATTGGCAAAGAGGCCGGGCCAGTCTTTAAGACGGTCTCTCATCAGCTCAATTTCTGCTAGAATTGTCGTTGTAGCATATTCCGATCTTGCAGGCGTGTCGTCAGGCATCTCTGGCAAGGAACTTTGGATTCGTCGGGATGTTTCGGGGTCATGGATGCTTGCAAGGAATCGACCCAAACTCTTTCCGGCATTCTTTAACAAGGCTTCAGCCAAATCTTCCGACCGCAGAAGCTCCCGGACAGCAGGCTCCCTAGATGGGGGAACTGCATTCGTTGTATCCTTGGAGAGCAGATAGTTGAAAAATGTGGACAGGGGGCAAAGCTCGCCGAGGTATGTCGTGACCAGAACCCCGGCCTCGTCGTACAAAAGTGGCTCTGGAATCTTCACGCCAGTCTTTTTTGCGACTGCATACAGCTGGCCTTCAAGTGGAGGGACGATCTTTCTGTAAGGAGGGAGCTTGCCCAAAGATCGAAAAAACATGTTCGCGGGCGTGTTTCCAGGGAACGGAGGTCTGGTGAACAGAGTCAACGCCGCGCGTTCGAGATCCTATGAGCGTGTCAGCAGTTTTGGAACTAGAGAGGTCCGAGCAGGCTCCAGGCCTATGCCACATACACGAGGACTGTGTGGCTGCTTCTCCCCTGCTGGTGTTTCAGACTGGGCCGCAGGTTCATAGGTGAGGAGAAGATCCTCATGGAAAGGAAACGTCCCAAAGTTATGGGCGATGACTTGACCGAGTACAGTCGAGTGCTGAAGCTCCTTGCGAGCGTGAACGGTGATCCAGGATCGGCCGCGGGCAAAGTCCGTAATAATGTACTTCTGTGCCGGATCTTTCGAACGCAGAAACGCAGCAAAGTCAAAATCCGCCAGAGAAGCACCTTCCGCTTCTGCAGTGGCGTGTGTATTGGCTGGTACTGCAGTGGGCATGTCCAGTTCGAGTGGAGAGATCTGCGTGATTTCTTCGGGCTCGACGCTGCCATTTGCGGGAGCAATTTGAGGATCGAACGTGATCTCTGCAGGGGTAGAATCCGTCTCCGGCTGAGCGGCCTGTGGCTGTGGCTGCGCCATGACTCAAAGCAAAGAGCGATTGATATCGGTAGACAAACGTACACGCAAGATAAAAGAAGCAAATATATATGCCAGATGTGATAGCTGCATCAATGAAGATAACTGATGTCGATGAAATGTGGCCAGTATGAAGAGAGAGAATCAAGGAGTGGAAGAGGAAGAGAGTATTTCAAGGACAGATGCAGCGATTCTCAAAAGGAAACCACTACCATGCAGTGAGTAGGAAGAGAAGGAGCTGAGTCTGACTCGAGCGAAAAGGCGGGGGCACCCCTGATTGATAGTATTTGCGCATTGTTCCTGCCCGACCCTGGAATGAGCAGCTCTTGACCTGAAGTAGTTCCCCGGACGGTTGTGATCGAGATTAGCCGTATTGCCAATCTTGACAAGGGAAGCCATTCATCGCACCGGGAATGATTAGCCGGACCAACGTCGATTCACTGAATCTATTATTCGTAGCCAAGTCGCTGTTCCAAGAGATGAAGTTCCGGGCAGCTAATCACTCCCATGGGAGAAGCATGCTCGTTGACTTCCATCCTCATCGTTCATGGAATGGCTTCGCTGAAGACATTGACTGATTGTACTGTACATTTCTGCAGACCTTGCAGTGCTTTTTCCGAGGCATCCTTCCTATAACGTGCCACGACTGGAACCGTGTCCTGGAAAGGAAACACTCCCCGTGCCGCGCATCCCGGCTTGAATCATGACTTGCGGGAATATTTCGCCTTTCCTATCGAAAATGGAACGTAGCGATACTTGATCATGTGTTGGATTTGTCGTCTCACTAAAGGATCCATTAGCCACCAAACCCCGTCCAAATCCCGTTGTGAACGACTTACTTGTCAGGGAGAAAAGAATCAGCCAGTACATAACCAGAACAGGCCAGAAGACGGGCAAGTTGAAGATCTCAAACCAACTGCAGACGAAGCTGATGGTGACAGCTCGGGTTGCCGCATGCCAGAACTTGAACTCCGGCAACCGTCTGATAAACGGTCGGAACTCATCATCCTGCTTCGTGGGCAGAGTGGACCCTTCACCATCCTCGAGGCCTTCATCTTGAGACAAACTCGGATCGAACTTTGGTTGGAGAAAAGCGAGGAACAGATTCAACAGGTAGATCCCCAGGCAGTAAGCGACGATGTACCAGCCTTGAGCGACGATGATCCGAAGAAAGAAGAGGACGAGCAGCACACCGGTGGCAGTCCAACGGTAGGCGACGTAGGGCGTTGATTTATCGAGATATGCTTGGTATTGCTGCACGGAGACGAGATCGGTTAGCCACAACAAACGCGTATTGGTTCAGATCGGCCATCCTACTCTTAGAAGCTTATTGCCCTGGACGGAAATCGCGTCGAAAGGTGTCGTGTCAGGCTCAGGACTGTCCATGGCGGCAGTGGAAGTGGGAGAGACGGCTGCGGCGTGCGAGGGTAGTGTCGCAGAGAGATAGGGTCCGCGCATGCACTTGTTCAGGCGTCTGGCGGGTTGCAGCCAAGGAGAACAAAGGCAAACAGAGGACGCCGATAAAAGGATCGTAAAATGTCTGATAGAGACGAATGCGAGAGAGGGAGTCAGTTGCTGTGAATTGTTGAGGGACAACAACCGTTAAAGCCACGTCGTTTAATTTTCTTCTCCACGGGCACAGGCATTGCAGTCCGGACCCTGAGGAAGGCTGCCGCTGCGCCTCACTGATAGGGGATTGATTTATTATTTGATGTGTAGGTGTGTGCCACAGCACGCCACATTCTGCTGCACCAGCCACACATTGCACTTCCGCATGTCGGACACAGGTTAATCCGCTCCGAGAAACCAAAGGCGAATCATCGGGCTTGGCCATGATCTGCGGAGCCGCAGCCGAGGATGACGGCTGTTCACGGCGAACATGATCGAGAAACATCGACGCGGAGGGCTGATCAGGTCCATGGAGACGGTCCGCATGTACTTTTTTTTGGCGAGCCACTACGACCTATTGAGGTTCAAGTTTCGAGCGTGCCTATAGTTGTGCTACAAGTCGTTGTCAGGTTGAGTTGAGCTTCACCCCGAAAGATACCTTGCTGTGAGACGAAGCATCTCATCTCCTCCGTCGTTGCTGTGTATCTGTATCCGTTACGAGCCTGAGTCCCAGCCATGGCTTCCCTCCGCCTTCTCTCCCGTCCTGTAGCTACCACTCTGACCGCAGCCGCACCGCGGACCCTCCCTCGACTTGTTCGCTTCCAATCGACGTCGAGCAACAGTTCAAGTTATGAGAACATCCTGGTGTCCAAGCCCCGACCGGGCGTAGGACTGAGTACGTGCTGTCCATTGGAATCAACCTAATCCGTTGCTATATATACAACTGCAGCATTATGCTAACATCTTCTTCTCGTCCCTCCCAAACAGTCACATTGAACCGCCCAAAAGCACTAAACGCGCTATCGAGCGCACTCTTCGCCGAGCTCAACGATGCGCTCAAGAAATACGACGATGACAAGGAGATTGGCGCCATCGTGCTGACGGGAAGCGACAAGGCATTTGCAGGTACGCACAACCCAGCCCAGACCGAGTCCGAATACTAACATAGAACCCAACCCAACAGCCGGCGCCGACATCAAAGAGATGGCCCCCCTCACATTCTCCGACGCCTACGCCAACAACTTCATCGCGCCCTGGTCATTCATGACGACGATCCGCAAACCCATCATTGCCGCGGTCTCTGGCCACGCATTAGGAGGTGGCTGCGAACTAGCAATGATGTGCGACATCCTCTACTGCACCAAGACGGCTAACTTTGGGCAACCCGAAATCAAGTTGGGGACCATCCCGGGCGCCGGCGGGTCTCAACGCTTGACGGCGGCACTTGGCAAGAGTAAAGCCATGGAACTGATTCTGACGGGCAACAATTTCAGCGGCGAGGAGGCCGAGAAGCATGGACTTGCCGCTCGCGCCTTTGACGGTGGAAACAAGGAAGTTCTGGATGGTGCATTGGACACGGCCGCCAAGATCGCCAGTTACTCGCGCATCGCTGTGGTTGCGGCCAAGGAGGTCGTCAATAAGAGTCAGGATCTGGGCGTTCGCGAGGGTGTCGAGTACGAGCGCCGTATCTTCCATGCTCTGTTCGGCAGCAATGATCAAAAGGTCGGTATGAAGGCGTTCGCCGAAAAGAAGAAGCCCGAGTGGACTCACTCGTGAAGAACCGACTATAAAAGTCCAGAAACCGTCCAGTGCATTTGCGTAGTGTGTAGTGTAATGGTCGGAAGAGGATGTCCAAAAGAATATACCATGGGTGACAATATCAAAATATAACCGGACTTGAAAGTGCACAGAATCTACAGGTAGATCTCCAATGTCTCACTCTCGAGCAGAACGTATGCCGGTGTAGACAATACCGCGAACTATCTTTGAGGCGAACGTGAGATGTCGTACATTGGCTCAGCGTCCATACCTAGCCTACGAGTAGTCTTTTAGTGTGTTCTTTCGACACTACAACGTACTATGTTTGTGGAATTTTATCCTGAGGATTTGACATGCCACTACCAAGCACAAAAACATCGCTCCCACAATCTTCAGCAAGAATAGAGTTGCCACATCTTGGTCCTGGACCGTGTTCTGAAATCACAACCGGTTCGGATGGGGTATTGTCCACCTCGAGCAGACCTGCGCCATTTTGCCAACGCCATGGTCTTAATCTACTCCCTCTTCAACCTCATTGTCCTCAAGAACAATGCAGGAGTCAGTTTCATCACCGTCGTACCTATGAGGGATCTTCAGCCCCACACCGTTGGTATATCTGGCCATCGCATCGTTAAGATCCCATGTGGGCACGCGTTCGAGCAAAAACTTCGTCAAGTTTGGAGTCGGAGCTCCTCCAGTTCCCCTCCTTCTGCCACCACCAGCTGCCTTGACGTGGGTTGGGTTCGCACTTGCACTGCTGAAGTCCCCCAAACTGCGGGACTTCTGGATATCTTTCTCATATCTGGCAACCATTTCCTTTGGCATTGCCTTTGTAGCAAACACATTGGACCACATGACCTGTTTGAACCCCAGCTTCTGGACTTCCAAGGCCATGTAACCCGGGGTCACAAGAACGATTTTCTGGTAGGCAAGAGGATCGTTTGAGTACTGCTCCAGCATGCGAGCAAAACCGTTGTCGAGGCAAGCGGCTAGAAAGATAGCATGGCAGTTCGGCGTAGATAGATAGAGGTGGAAGTTTTCTAGGTTTCCGCGGCACGTCAGTTTCAAGAGTCCACCACTTTTGATCCACTTGTCATCACTTTCGCAAAGTGGAAATGGCAATGGAAAAGCTTACCTCTGATCTTGTCGTCCGCTCTCTCTTTCCCCCTTCCAGCATCGAAGTAGTCGAAAAGCGGGATCTTCTCCGTGAATTGGACAGCAAAGTCTCTCAATGCAATCTGAGCTGACCGTGCCCGCTGGCGATTCAGAAACTTCTGTTCATAACCGTAGTTGCAGAAAACGCGGGTAATCACTTTCGATGTGATCGGGATGGTTCCGTCTTGTTTCAGAATATACTTGATGACTTCGGTCCTTATCTGCGAAGCTGCGAGACCGCCTGGGTTACTGGCCTCAGCCCCGCTATTGCCAGGGACGTGACTCGAGTTGAGAAATAGGTCAGGGTGCCACTGTTGACCGGGATGTTAGTTAGCCAGAAGCGTGCAAAGTGCTTAATGATGTAGCCTCACCTTGTATGCATCTCCATCGACAAGGACAACAACAAACGGCTGTGCCGGGAGAGGAACATCTAAGTTCTGAGTGCTGTGGCTGATGTTGCTTTGTTGTTCCGCATCTGTGGTGCATTTGAGATACTCAAGGTCGAATTTCGCGTCGATCAATCGCTGCTCAAGAGTCCGAGCATGTTTGGCCATAGCATGCAGAGAGGTGGTTTCTGTGTTAAGCCTTGCTTGCAGTTGTGTGACCAACACCTTCTGGCTTTTGATCGTGTCCTGGTCCTCCTGAATCTGTGCACGATACCTCATGTTGCGCTCCCTTTCCATGGCCAACTGACACCGCAAGACCTCGTTCTCATTCTGTAACGTAGCCACGGACTGCTTAAGTTCATGCAGGTCCGTACGGTATTTGTCAAATTGTAGGTTGGCTTGCTCGCAGAGATGATGTGCGTACGCCAGTTCCTGCTGAAGAGCCTCCACCCTGTCGGCTATTGTCTCGAAATCCAGCAGTTCATCAGGGGAAGACGTCTCAGTTTTGCCATCCACTTCTTCGCTTCCATCATGGTCGACCTCAGGCTGACCTTTGGATTTGAGAAACCAAGAAGAGAACGGCATCTCGGGCGCGATGAAGAATCAAAATGGTGAGGTGATGATATTCGAAGTGCAGGTTAGTGTGGAACTATCCTTTCGCGTAGCACGGGGTGCACCCGGCCATTGAATCCAACCTCGTTATGACTTTACCGTTGTATTGTCTAGACGCGGGCCTTGGGATAACGGTGGATGGATCAGACAGCGAGGTGCTCTACGAGGTTGCTGCGGAATACTGCAGGCACCGGCAAGTTTTCAATGGAGAGGACGAGTTACGTGCAATACGTACAGGCAAAGAAATTCAACTGACATGATCTTGGGAAAAGGTACATTATCAACAGCAGCAGCATGCAGTGCTGGTGGGATATTTGAAGGCAGTGAACAGCGTCGAGGCTGGTGAGATTGAAGTCCACTGGCAGATGATGAATCACTGGCACCTTCTCGCCTGCGCGGGATGACGGCAGCGTGGGGCAACTTTGGCTGGCGCCACGTGATATCGAATTCCGCTCACACTGGCATCATGCTTCTAGACGTTACCACAGACTACAGTGTACGGACCACAGTGCAGAGATACAAGGTGCACATACAGTTGGTACAATCTTGTGCAGTACATCAAGGACAAGCCTTTCTTGTGTGGAAAGGGTCTTCAGCATTCAGCAGGACGGTACGCATACATGAAGCATAGACACCTCATAAGACCACGACAATCTCGAGCTGCGATAGTTCGTTGTTGTGTTCGTAGCACCAAAGCTCTCATGGACGGATTAGCCAGCGTCCCTTACACCCAGGTGTAATTATCAATAAGAGGAACAGCAGCATCTGGGGGATCAGAAGCCTCTGCCAATGACCGCCATCCTCTCCAGACCGGGAACAGCGTTAAAGTTAGCAGCGCCCATTCCCCCGTTCATCACACCACCGGCCATTCCCCCCATTGCTGCGGCCGGCATGGCCCGGTTTCCCATACTTGGTTGTTCCTCCAAGTCTTCGTACCTCAGGGTGTACACCCGTCGCACCTTCTTCCACAGTTTGGTGTCCCACCATATGTAGTAGCCTTGCTCGCTGACCTTATCATCCAGTAAAACTGGACTAGGCGAGTTCTCATCTCGGGTGAGCCACTGTTTCTCCCTCATATGATACCGCCACTTCCTCGCCACCAGTTCTTGAGCCACCAGCATTTGTGTGTAGTCCCGGGGCATCGTGTAGAAGATGAAGAACAGCGTTTCGTCCATAAAGCCATTGATCCTGCTTGCAAGAGGCGCAATCTTTTTGACCGTGTAACAGTCCGGTATGCTGTATTCCGAGTCTAGCGGTCGCAACGGTTGAGCATTTGCTTCAGCCCACGGACCCGGGTAAGTCATTAGAAGCGGTTCCTGAGAACTCATGTTGATCCCAAGCGTTGTTAAATCCACTCCCCTCATAAGACTCCTAGCCGCAGGGCTGGCATTCTCTTGTTCGGCAATGTACCCTTTCATTCCAAATTTTTCTCGCTCTGACATGCCTGCAAAAATGGCTTCCATAGACTGTTCTGGTCTCGTACCCGAGTCTCGGTCGGAGAAAAGGTCCCTGGACTGCAGTGCGACTGATTGTGACGGGGAATCTTGCGGGTAGTCCTTGGCTTGGGGTCTGATATCCTGGCTTAAGAGCCTATCCTGCCCTATCGCCGCGTTCAGACTCTGTGGAATTGGTGACCGAGCTAGATTAGGGTCAGTATCATGATCTGCTCAAGTTGTCACGGACTTACATGTTTGTGTCTGACCCGAAGGAGACGTTACTCTGCTCAAATCACGGGAGACACCATCATTTTGTTGATTCTGCGGTCGCTGCACCAACCCTGGCGGTCCGCTAGATATCTGATTTGTTCGACGTAGGGTCTGTGATGATTCGGTGGGAAATTCCATGGGCGCATTTCGTGAATAAGTGTCGGTCGGATACAGCCCCTCACGATTGCTGCTCGCTGGCTGTTGTTGCTGTTGCTGCTGCTGCTGTTGCCGCGACGGCGCATGCGAACGCGCAGGTTGCAATTGCTGCCGCTGACTCTGTTCGTTCTGCGGCGGACCGGTCTGCCACGCACTGGAGCCGACATTGTGCGACTGCGAATGCAAACCAGCATTGTTTAGACTAGGAAAGCTAGAGCGGGAAGTCAACACGGGCGGTTCAGATTCGAATTCCCTGAAGGGGCCGTCGGTGGCAGCTTACGAGGAGGCCGAAAGATCGAGTTGATTGTTTGTTCTAGAATTCATGGCTTGTGCCCAGTTCTCAGGAGGGAGGGATTCCCTCGCTGGATGTCCCGTGTTTGAAGCGGTTGAAACACTGGGTTGCGCCCACGAGCCTTGTTACGGGTTAGTGGACGCTTATAAGCACCTTCTTTTCAAAGTCATACCAGTTTTATTCGTGAGCATTCTCCCATTGCTAGCCGTTCGCGGTTGGGGCGTTTGGGTGTTGTTGCTGTTGTTATTCACTGCTGGAAGTGGACGCGGTTGTCCTTCAATGATAGTTAGCAAACCGCAAAACGTGGAGCGCGCAGACATCAAAAAGGGGCTTGAGTGCAAATGTGTCCGGCGCGAACGACTAGTTGTAGCCAGCTCTGGTCCCCGCAGCTGCTGTTCTCCTGATCGTGCCATTGTTGTGATGCGGTGGGCAAGCCTCAGAGCTGCATGTCCAGCGAATGACGACACTCCAGCCCGACCGGCGTATATGCTGTTGCGTAGGCCAGCCCCAGAGTCAACAGATAGCACGAAGCCCGTCCCTTCCAGCCCTCGATCGGGACGCCCAAATGCGTGTTCTTCCCCGCTCGAAAAGGTGGCATGTATATGTAATCTTGTACCAAGTACCAAACGCCCAGCCTTGGGAATCTTGACTTGCGACTTCAACGTCGTCGGATCTGATCATGGCTCATCCGGGTCCCAAGCTGTTTATGAAGTAGGCGGCACTAGATGGTTTGTGATCTCCTTCCACTCGCCACTCACAAGGCCTCGAGGGCAACAGCATCGGGGCTTTGGATCATTGTTAAGAGGGTCATCCTCGCTGGATGCGGTTTGCGGTCGGCGGGGTCGCGCTGGATCATGGCTTGCGGCTTGGGGGATCCCAATGGCCCAATGGGGTTATGTCCACCTCTTAACATCTTGGGCAGATGTGTACAACTCCTGAAGGCGATAGATTGGGTTCATGGAATTCCTTTCGTGTGGTCGATTTGCCCGCGTGCTAGGGTGATGCAAGAAAGCACATGCAGAAATGTGAACGTACCTTGTCGATTCATGCCGAGTGTTTGAGGCCGCCGGCCAATGATCTCTCCGGCGATACAGCGATTATCGTGAATTGTGCGCAGATATGGGTTGTAGTCGTTAGTAGTTGTTGGTAAGGCAGTCCTGGATCAATGCTACGAGCAAGTCGTTGAACTGCGCCCGGAGTTGAGATGCGGAATCCAAGCCTTGGCGCAACGATGAGTCGCGGTCGACGTTGAACACCGATGATCTGCTCTACGGAGGCATTAATATAGATGCTATATTTACTCTACTTCCAAGCAGTCACCATCAACTAACATTGATGGTGTATCTGTTCCGTTGCGTGTCTTCCACTGTATATATGGGTGGTGGGGATGCAAATTATACTGGTCCATCGTCACAGACGACGGTGAATTTAGTCCATCACAATCATGCTATCTACATGCACCTACAGTAGGTACCTGTAGGTACCGTTGGAACTTGAACACTACAGTCGTGAGATAATTCGCATGTCTGGCATAAGATGGATTGTGTGACATTCAATTAATTATCTTAAAGTGTTCCGGATCGCTCCTCCAACTCTAGGCAATCTTGCTTTCTGAACAACACATTTCAGAAAAGTGGTCACTGTCGGCTCGTGCCTTCTTAGATGCTGTTAGCGCCATGCTCCCAGCACAAAATGACTCTGAATGCACCATGCATCAGATCAAGAGCCCGATAGCGAGCTCAACGTTCCCATTGACTTGTCGCAGAGCAGCAATTGCTTCGTCGCGCGAAAATCCCAGCTCGGTAACTTTGGCAATTGATTCGTCTGTGATCGGCTGTGACTGGCCAAAATTGCTGTGTTCGGCTGGTTGTCGTGAGGATGATGGCTGCGATGGTGCACCGGTGTTGCTGGGTCCAGCATTCGACGAGTCGCCGGTGGATTTTGATGTTGCTGGCTCAAGGGTTCCGGTAGTCGCGCCAATGGTGCTTCCGTCGGGTCCTTTGACCTTGGGTTCGTTCTCTAGAATCTCCTCCATCATCTTGGGAATCTCGCTTTCAGGCAAGAACGGTATCTCGTCCTCTTGCACCCGTAGGCAATTTTTCTTCAGGTCAATACACATCTGATGTCGTTTGAGCATGTCAAGGCCGAGCAGTAAGTCCACATCCTTGCCTTCCATGACCGTAAAGCTGCTGGCCAAGTTGTATTGCCCTATCTGGATGTCGGCCGAATGGACACGCCCTAGAATGGTAGCGGTGCCCACGCCTCTCGCAATCCCTCCATAACGTTTGTCGATCAGCCGAAGGATGCCGCATCGCTCTGCAGCAGCCGGGGACATGATCGTGGTCTGCGCGCCAGAATCCACGAATGCCTTGATGGGGACGCTGTTGACGGTGACATCGATGTATAACATCGTAACTCTGCCAAAGGCTGCAAACAAGTCAGCATCGTGCCTATTATTCACCATGGGGTTGCCTTACACTCTGGATTTTCCTCCATGGCCTTCTGCAAGTTCTCTGCCACTCTTTGTTGCCGGATAATCTCTTCAATCTTTTGTTGTGCCTCAACATTGAAAGGATCGGCCTCTAGCAAGGCGAACTGCTCCTCTTTCTCCCGCTGAACCTGCTCGTACTGTCGTTGGCGTTCATTCCACAAGTCCTGGAACTTCTGGGGGTCAGAACAGGCAGCTGCGAGCTCGGGGTCTTGTCTTCGACATTGTTCCATGACGACAGGATCACCCAAGATGCGCAGTCTTGTCTGCTCTGGGTCATTGCCACTCCGTAATCTCTGGGGCGGTTGGCCTGCAGCGTTCTCTGGCGCGGGACGTCTTCTGGGCCTTGAGCTTTGGATGGCCATACCCAAGACGCCGCCTTCCTGAAAGTTCAACTGAGCTAAGCTCTTCGAGGTATCGGTTACCGGCTGTCCATCTTGTAAAAAGTGCTGCGAGGAGGGAGGAACGTTGATTTCGGCTTCAACCAAGGCTTTGATGTCGTTAAGGGTCATGTCAGGTCCGACATCGAGGCTGATAAAATCGGACGGGATCTCTGTATCAGAGGCAATAATGGATATAGAGATACGCCTAGAAAGAGGTCAGTCGAGAGAACAGAGCAATACTCAGGTTGTTGACAACGTACATTGTTGCGAAGGTGAGATGCCGTCAAGGACTCCAGGCTTCAAGTCCAACTCTAGGAAAAAGATGCTGCACGCAGAGCGTAGACACAAAAAGTGGAGGACTAATATCTCTCTGAAGCAGTGAGGACCAGACACTGGATGTAGGGATAATATAACGTTGGTGGCTCGACAGTCTAGGTGATTTCTCATCAATAGACGGTGATGGAAACACGTCTTCAGGCACATGGGAATGACGCGCTTCACTGGGGATCGGAGGACTCCTTAGACCCTGTCACAGCGTGACCGCCGCACTCAGGTGCAGCAGGGCACAACTGGAAGTTTGATTCGGTGTGGTGCCGCCTAGTGCCTTGATTATTTTTAAGCATAAAATTCCCCTCCATGCCCTGGCAAGGCCCTACTACTAGTTCCACTTACTAGTATCGGATCATTGTACAGTGGTCTAGGTAGAGTCGCGCGTTATTACTAGCAGGCAACCACTCCTACCACAGTGCTACTGAACCTGCGGTTAGATAAGGTACCTGGTGGGTATATTCTGCTTGGAACGAGATACAAGAACATTCGAGAGGTAGAGAACTCTCTAGATGCCCATACGATGAAGCTTGCCAATCGGCTTGGAGACGAGGTTGAATCTTTGCGCAGATACCTTACCTTAGGTACTTTAGGTAGATAGGCGCCGATTTTTAGGGGTGACCGCCCCAGGACTTTACCTGAATGGCTATTTAACGTCCCTATAAGCCTCGCTTATCAGCAAGAAAGAAAGTTAACTCCCACGCCTAAAGCAGTTTGCTAGGTGCTGCGTTCCCGGCACCAGGGTGCCTGTAACTGTCGTGTGCTATTTTTCTCCTTTCATGCGCTCCCGTCTGCACCACAGTACTTCTTGATGTAACTCTCCAAAGTATGAATTTTCCAATTCCCACAACTTATCTGTGCAGTGACTATCTGAACAAACTTGCACCTGTTGTCCTCACCAGTCCAACAACGAAACGTGATAAAAGGCTGTACTTGTCGTAAAGGACTACATCCATCGATTGTTGCTCCCTTTCTGGTCCTGAGCCAGGTCCTGGTCAACATACTCCGCAAGTCCGCGAACCTTGCTTGTCTGCAGCGGTCGCAAACTTTTTATCTTTCTTAAGAAACACTGCAAGCCGTGCACTTGTAAGACTGCGAAAGACACCCTTACAAGCCTACAAACCCGGTTGAGCAACGCTTCATTTCAATAACAAATCCGAATACCTTGCGACACACAAAAAGCTCTCTTTTAAGAACCCTGCACGCCTCGCTTCGCGACAGTGCGAAACAGGCAGCATGAGCCAATCAGACCAGACCACCGATGTTAACAGCCCTGCCAAGGACAGATCACAACGACACCAATCTTCGCAAGACGAAGACGGCTTCATCGACATTCAACACGACGACGCTGACTTCGCAATGCAAGATAGCGGTCGTGAAGCCCCGCCGACTTCCTCGAGTCCGCTAGAGTTGCAGAGATACGGCAACAATCTAGAAGACGCCAATGATGTGGTGGAATCCGAGGAGGATTCAGAAGACGACCAAGACCCTATCGCCAACCATCCCTTGTTAAGCATGCTCACGGGTCGTCTGGGCGCTCGCCGGCGAGGCTCGACTCACAAATGGGATCATCTTCACCCAGAGAACCAGGCTTTGTCAGTTGCCAATATCGATCAATGCTCTGCCCTTGAAGAGGCAGCATTTCCACCCGAAGAACGGGCAAGTCGGGAAAAGGTAATGTCTATCCTGGGGTTTAATTCTATGAATATCGTCCAGGTCTCTACCGCGTTATGGCTTTCGGCGTGGATGCTAACAGCGTCGCCTAGTTTGAATATCGTCTCACTCGGTGTCCTGAATTGAGTCTAGGACTGTTCACTCAGCCTACCAAAGCCGAGGCGGAAAAGCTGTCCTCTCCTCCTCAAAGAAAGCTGATGGCACACATTGTCGCCACGAGAACTCCAGCGCCCAGTGTAACAGAGGCCTCAATGGGAATTCCTGCCAACTGGAGAGCACGTCGATCTTCGCTGCCAGAGAGAACCGACGTGGAACCGATCGGCCATCAAGACATCGGTGGCACCATCTGCATCCATTCTCTAGCAGTCGCACCCGAGTTCCAGAGAATGGGATTAGGTAGAGTCCTGATGAAGTCGTACATTCAGCGCATGAAAGACGCCAAAATCGCCGACCGGATAGCCCTTCTCGCACATGATCATCTGGTCCGTTTCTACACGTCACTCGGCTTTGAAAACATGGGACCTAGCTCCGTTACGTCTTGCGGCGGTGATTGGAACAACCTGGTGAGTACATCTTCTCTTGAGCACACAGCTGCTTGTTGCTGACAATCCACCTTCCTCAGATACTTGAGTTCACAGGAGACGACGATGATTAGACCTTATGTCACGCGGTGGGATGATGCCTACCACGCCTTGGAAATATATCCAGGCGTAGAACGAGTGACTACGGTCAAATCGATATGATGAGCATGGCAACGGCCTCCTGCATGGAGCCGGTTGGATTGGCCCAGTGACTCATCGTCAGCGAGGAAGGCAGCTGGTGCTAAGCAGACTACTACTGTATGCTCCAAAGGAACGGGTGGCGAGACATCGCAGAGGGACGCCGATGTCCTAGGCATGCGCCTCTATGGTTTGATGCAGCGCCTTTGATTGTGTCCGACCGCTGACAAAGAGGAATGCGAACAAGCTGAGTCAGGACTTTAGTTGATGAATAAATCAAGCTCCTGATTGGCTTCTCGCGGACGGACTCTGGAGTAGCACTGCACTGGCGCAGTTAAAACTCCCCGTACTAGTAGAGCTGAGGCCTGAGGACAATTCACTCCGAGTCCGAGTCCCCGCCGCCTCGGCAAAAGCAAAATCCCCGCCGTAGTGGAAGTACGGCAACTCTCATTGGTTCCCCAGGCCAGATGGCACCTCGCTTCCGCAACTCGCTGGGTCTGCACGGTCGCTTCGAAATACCCGGTTTTCTCCATCCATCGCCCGATGCAAGAGTGACGACTGCACCTCGCGCAAGTTGAACGCATACAACTGCACTCCTCCACTTCCCCGGCCATGCAAGACGATATCCTCGCGTCACTCAGTCACCTCACGGCTTGGACGGGCTCACAGTGCCCGTGGCGAAAATAACCACATTGCTGGGAAACGCAGACAAGATTGTGCGTCTGCCCGTCGCAGAAGGCCAATAAAGTATAGGCTTGAGACAGGACTGCGCGCAACGGGACTCAGCGGCTACTTTGAGTGCCGGCCATATCTATCTCAGACTTGAACTCCATCCGAGATCTGTCCAAAGTGGACATAACCAGGAACGCCTCACTCCTTCCCCGGCTTCGCTGCCCTCAAGAGGCACCATCGCTATACAAAATGCCTACCAACCGACCTTTTTTCGCCAACTTCTTCTCCGCCTTCCGAGCCCGTACGAATCCAACGTTTCAAGTCAAGTCGAGCACGGCATACGATGCGGGTTCGCCAACCTCGCTGGTAGCGACCGCACATGTCTCGACCACCAACACAACGGTGACTTCATCGGCTGCCAGGACCATCACGACAAAGTCAACCGCTGAGACGTCCACGTCTCCCACACAGCCGCACTCCTCACTCACCTCCAACACGAAACCTAGTACGACGCCGGCCTCTCTGCCATTTTCCTCAAATCCCAGTTCCCACCGATATGCCAGTCCGCTCTCAAGGTCGCCCGGAACGGGTACCCCGGGTGGGCCCCATTCCCAGACACACGCAAGTCACACCCCTAACAACATGTCCATGTCACCGCCAGGGGCCTCGACACCGATGACGAGGGGACGGCAACGGAGGGGAAGTGACAGCTCCAATTCCTCAGGCGGCTTCATTGACGCATTGGGACCGGAAAAATGGTACATTGGTGGACGGAATGCAGCAGGCGAAGAGACGTTCTACAAACTAGGTCTAGTCACAGGAGGAACGGGAAGAAGAGTCCGCAGTTTAGATCGGTTGAGTCTGTGAACTTCAGAACAAGGTTACAGATCAGGGCATCGAGTCTTGAGTGATGATTTTATAAATTCTATGTACAGGGTACATACGAAGAACTAGGAGGGGATTTGGCTGGGAAATTGTCGATGGACCTGCTATCTAAACCGATGACATGGCTTCGAAGAAGCTTCATCGGTGAACTTGAAATTTGGGTTCACTGGCTGGTTTGGGTTTGGGCACTGGACTTCACAATTGGGCAAGGCGTTGGTCGGGTGTCCGTGAAGGTCTGCAACAGCCGTGTATGTAGAAAACAGCTCTATCTTTGAAGCGTGCTATTGCATGCTCGGGCTCTGCATGAAAAGGTCTAGAGTAACGATTTCTCAAAATACAGATTCGGATTCTTGGGCCTACCTAGAAGGGCGGGAAATAGAATCACTGTGAGACGCGAGATTTAACTGTGCCACGCGAGAGTCGACGATGGTCGGCGTCCGGTCGAAACACTTTGGGCTGTACCCTGCTGCTGTGGCTTTGCAGTGGGCGATCGCCGCAAAAGTCCAAGTGATTTACATTAAGGTACCTCATTGATGATTCGATGGCTCTCTTGGAATCCGGATACAGCCTGAACAGCCAGAGGATGCAATTAGCCGACCAGATTGTGCCAGACGGCTTGTGCCGGCCGGTTGAACTCTCACTGATGCCCGGTCTCGCTGGTAAGACGCATATGATGAGACCCGTGCAGTGGCAAGAGGCTGGTCCGCCCAGGTAGTTGTAGAACCGTGGATGGTGACAGAGGCCGGTGGAGATACTGTGGCTGTTCTTCTGCTCCATCGACTACACCAATCTTCATGGTCAGAACTACAACTTTATAACAACGTGCACCGTTGTAGGTAGGTACCTGCTGTGGTAAAGGTACCTTGGATGGTACAGCCCATTTGATTGTCCTCCGTCAACGGCCTGGCCTCCTCTTCCCTCGGATGCATTCTCCACGAAATGTCGCGCAAAGAGTCCACCCAATTTCATCCCCAAGCAACCGACCATCTACGCCCACTATAGCACTCCTACAAGTTGTTTCTGCTGTGGACTTCGGCTCAGTGCCGATACCCCATCAGGGTATACTAGCACGTATAGCAGTGAGTTAGCAGCATCATAGAGCGCTCCTCTACGTTCCATCTCTGTTGTCTGATCCATTATCTCGTGTTTTCTGGGTTTTCGGGGCCTTTTGAACCCTCATCCCGTGACGCATGACGTCCGTGGCGCCCCATGCAGTGTCCAGCATTTCGCCAACTTGACCCGAACTTGGACTCCCTTTGGTTCTAGTTGTACGCCCGTCGCTGTCTTTTCCCTTCTACTGCCGTCCCCCCATAGTTCAGCTGATGCACAGGGACCGCCAATTACATGTGCTCGGTCCCTGCCTACCTGGTACCTACCATTCTTTTCCTTCCCAGGGAAATAGACGCTCACGGACATGTACATCCGTTAAGATTTCTCACAAGAAATCATCGTTCGGGACATAGTCACTTTTGACATACCTTTCACCCTACGATCTCTCGCACCCTCAGGCCTTCGCTCGTTAATTGCCTGCTCAACTACCTGTATTCATCCACCCCGTGTACCCTGCAAAATACCTGCTCGTGGCCGGCCACCATTACTGGCTGCGGCCTCCCCAACATACCCTTCACCTGTCTGCGGCTTCGACCAGGGCCGACCCTAGGTGTTGCGTCTGCCTCAAGGGGCTTCAACTAGCCGGGAAAGGCGCTTGCAACATCCTTGTCGATTACAAGTTCGAGTGGTTGAGTCTGCAACGCACCATTCACCAGGAAGCGGTTTGCTGCATCTTCTGGCAGTCTCACGATTTTCCGAGGCCGACCGACTCGCTCATTGTTGCACACTTCCAACTCGATCGGCGAAGGTAGAGGTACAAGAACAATTGAAGAGATAGCGCAAGAGCACCACGAGGGCCTTGGGGAACCTGACGCCACACCCAGTGCGACGCGCATCCGCGACGGGAGGCTTGCTGCATTGGTGGAAGGTGGCAGGCTGAAGGGGGTCTGTCGACTTGCATCACATTATCGGACGCCGCAGCTGCACCCGGATATCCCTCTCTCCCACTATCAGGATCACGACCAGATCCTCCGTGGCCCGCCCTGGATCGACTTCGGTCTCTGGGACCACCCTCCCGGTCTGGAATCTGGTCCGTTTCCCAATCGCCCCGTGAACCTCCACCCTGGAGCCTTGCTCGCGCAGTTTTCACCGCCAGAATCCATGAGTCGTGGTTTCGACATGTATTGCCGTTCATGCAGCCATTTCTTGAAGTGATAGCCAATTGGGCATTTGGTCTTTGGAGCCCGCTGTTGGTAAGCAAACAATACATGTTGTCCCTCGCCTCCCCCCATTCAATCGGCTGTTTGCTCTTTTCCCTTATTCTTATTTCCCCATCTGCAGCTCCACGTTTGCAATGTCATTCATCTTCCCTTGCGGACATGAACACCTAGTAACGAGCAAAATGAAGTCTCGGAAACGACTCGCTGTGGACGAGCTCAAAGACGCCAAAGGGACCGCTATGGCTGAGCCTTCCCTTGCAGTCTCGCGGCAGAAACCTTTGCCGCCCGAACAGTCCGATTCGCTACATGGCACGCACCCTTCTTCGGCAAGCCAAAGCTCATCGGGCATGGAGCGCATCTTCGCTCTGTCGCCTGTTCCCACCGCTGTCCTTGACAAGGACTTGCGGATCATCACGATTTCGATGTCGGCTCAAAGTATGTATGATCTGGACCTGAACGAGTGTAAAGGCCGTAACTTCCTGGATTTTGTCGATGACATGTCGATGCCAGCAAGCCACGCGACAACAGCCAAACTAATCCAAGATGCGATATCTACTCGCAAAGAGCAGAGATCAGAGCCAATGCCGGGGACAACAGTGCCCGGGTTCTGGCGCCTTCGAGTCCTACCGATCTTTGATGCGGACGAGCTCCTGTATGTCGTCGTTGAGGCTCAAGACGTCACCGAAGACGTGCAGAAGACGCTGAATTATTCGACACAATTAGCATCCGCCGAGACGTACCGCATCCTAGTCAGTACCCTTCGCGACTATGCAATCTTCATGCTTGACCCCAACGGCTGTATAGCGACCTGGAATACAGGAGCTACACTTCTCAAACAATATACGCAGGAAGAAATCATTGGCAAGCACTTTTCAACATTCTACCGCGAGGAGGATCGGAAAGCCCGCAAACCGGAGAAGGAGTTGGAACTGGCACTGCGTGACGGCAAAGTTGAGGATGAAGGATGGCGAGTTCGCAAAGATGGCTCGCGGTTCTGGGCCAATGTCATCATCACACCTGTCTACCGGGACGGCGAGCTCACCGGCTTTAGCAAAGTGACGCGCGATCTCACCGAACGGAAAGCAGCCGAAGCGCGACTAATCTCAGCATACGAAGAAGCCTCCAAATTGAAGTCAGATTTCCTCGCCAACATGAGCCACGAAATTCGCACCCCTATGCATGGCATGCTGTCGGCGCTCTCGCTGCTTACGGACACGGACCTGTCCAAAGAGCAAAAGGAGCTTACCAGAATCATCGACGAATCCGGGGCGATATTGTTACAGGTCATCAACGACATTCTTGATTATTCCAAGTTAAGCTCAGGCTCCTTCTCTATCAGCAAGGATGTTTTGAATATATCCGAGATAGTAGCAGCTGTTAGGAGGGCCTTCAATGTGGGATCGGACAACGACATGAAGTTGGAGGTTGAGCTGGATCCTCGACTGCCCAAGTTTGCTCAAGGAGACGCACTCCGCTACCGCCAGATATTGCAGAATCTTGTATCCAACGCCATTAAATTTACAGATCATGGATACGTACGGGTCAAAGTCATCCTCACCAACGAGGACGAGTCGTCATACGACATCAGGACAGAAGTTATCGATACGGGCATTGGCGTGCCACTTGAATCAGAACATGTTCTGTTTACTCCCTTCACACAGCTGGACAAATTTTCAACCAAACGCTACAAGGGCACTGGACTCGGACTGTCGATTTGCAAAAGTCTGGTTGAACTCATGGGAGGCGAAATAGGATTTGGTCCCAACCCTGACCGGCAAGGTAGCGTTTTCTATTTCAGCCTCAAACTGAACAAATTGGACGCAAAGGTACCAGCGCCTCCCGTCCCAAACGCACCGGATGTGGACCTGAAGAAACTGGCCCCCGAAAAACAAATTCTCTTGGTAGAGGACAATGCCATCAATCAGACCATCATGGTTCGTCTGTTACGAGCGTTTGGTTTCGAGAAGGTTGATGTTGCCAGTGATGGCAAAGAAGGATTGCAATTGGTCAAACAAAAGCCGCTGACATATAGTCTTATCCTCATGGACATCAGCATGCCAGTCATGGACGGAGTGACGGCAACAAAAGAGATCCGGCGACTTGGGCATTCAGTCCCCATCATTGCCATGACTGCCAACGCTTTGAAAGGCGACGAAGAAGCCTATCTGGCCGAAGGAATGAATGATTATGTTGCCAAGCCGGTGGATAGGAAGTTATTAACACAAGCTTTGTTGAGATGGCTCCGGTAGGGCAACACTGGTCTTACACCTGGCATGGCGTAGATGTGATGCAAGTCAGGGCTTCGGCCATTGATGGCAGTTGAATCTGTTTTACGGGTCTCGACCAAGCCCCCCCCATGCCCTGGTCTTCAAGTCACCAGGATTCAAGGTCGTGCTTGGGTGCATTTAGCGTCAATGACGCAAAAACAGTCCTATAAAGCCTGCTCGAGACCCTCGGATATGGCAGGCTTGAACAGTTCTACTGGGACAGACACAAAACGTCCCGGGTCATGAGAATCCCTGACATGGGAAGTATTCTCGTTCCATCGCGGCAAGGCTGATTGCTCGGAAGACAAAAACCACCGCCGGCGTTTTGCCATAAGTCACGCCTGGAAGACTGTTCGGATGCAAGCATGATGTTATGATCTATTGCTTTCAAAATGGAGTGGGATTGGATTGGATTGGACCGGATGAGCTTGTTTGGCGTTCCAGAGGATCTGTGTATTGTCCTAACAGGCAACGCAGCACATTCAGGAAAGCCCTGGCATTTTTGGAAGCAGTGGCCCGGTCACCCTGGTCCAGGTTGTATTTATGACCTGGTGCCGTCCAGTCGGAAGTTACAAATGGAGGCTACTAATGAATTTGACTTAAGAGAGGTCAATTCTAGGCCAGGGTTCCTTAGCCTTGTACTGCAGGCCGAGTACAACACTGCAGTAGGAAGCGGTCGAAGGTTTCCTGCAAAAGGCGGACCACAAATAGAACGAATATACCATGTAATCATGACCTTGCTTCAACCTGGGCCGGTCTAGGCTGTGGCTTGCAGGAAGCAGTACACTGTAGATGCTTACGATCAATAATTCTACCTACACAGTGCTAGGCCCCATGTATCGTTGACCGCTGGACTCAGCTGAATGTAAAATGTAAGGGTGTTGTGGCGCCACTTGATTGGCCGCTTGGTCGCATTGGCTCTGCATCAAATCATGCAGTCAAATTGAACTGGACTCGGAGAGTGGTCGGCACTGGATGAGAGGGCAAGTCGTTGACCGAGAGCACCGTGCGTGTGAATGGTTATAACGATTGATCGAGCCAGTTACTACTGTACCTACCTAGGTAGGTAGCCATGTCCGGTGATGGCGTGTCCCTCGGTAGTAGTGGTACCTGGCAAGAGTTAGGTGGTGAAGAGACTCGAGGTTGACACCTGTGTGACACTTGAACGGGCTGTCCCTCCTGTTGGTCCGGTCAGTGGCTTTACCGTCTTACCTTGTCTTGTGTGACATACTTCCAAAGGTATTCCCTTTCCTTCCATTCCATGGTCTTATTTTGAATCCCGAAGCCACGAAGTTAAAGTCGAAGGCAAAGGGCAAAACCACCGTGTTTGTGGCTTCTGATCAGCCATATCAGGTGGCCACAACTACTAGAGATACCGTACACACCGAAACAACGGAAACATCGACCTAGGAGCCCCCCGTCAACCGTCAAGAGGGCGTGAGTGTGTGTTGCACCAAGCACGATTCTTCTGTTTTCCCAAGGTCCGAACCCTGAGCCTGAGGCTGACCCCGACCCTGGTCGCTGACACTGACATCGGGCCGGCGAATCTCATCGTCCCCATCCCCATCCCCTGATCCCGGATACTAATGGTGATGGTCCTATCACACTGGCAGTCTGGTTCTGGGTATTGGAACACTCAGCAAGGGACCAGCCACAAAGTATTGTACGGGATAAGTGATCCGAGAAACGATGTTCTTCAACTTGAATATCCAGGTACCAGTACCTCAATGGCAGTGGCATCTCCCGCCGCCATCCATATTACAAAAGTACAAGCAGCCGGCAGCTTTGGCACAGACGGTGGCCGTGCTGGTACAACGTGGGCAGCAGAAATTGGCGGAGATAGCTGGCGGTCACTGGCATGGCAATGTCATTGTCGTCTTGATTCTGCTGGGCGTGTCCATTGTGGCTCTGGCGCTTTGGATCTATCATTGCTCGTGGAAGTCGAGCAGCAGCATTGCAACCGAACAGAAGTCGCATCATCAGTCGTCCTGCAATGTGGGCTTGACTGCTGATACCAAGTCGTTGCCATGGGTAGGAAGACCCGAGAAGATCGCTCGTTGGGTTCTTCCCAATACCCGGGCCAGGTTGTGGAATATGATCAATTATGAGAGGGCGTTGAAGGAGGCTTATGAGAAGGTGAGTTTGGATTCTTCATTAAACCCCGAGATGGATTTGGGAGTGCAGTTCTTCGTGTCTCTGCACCGGTCCCCTTTTCGAGGTTGTTCTATCCTTTCGCCTTGTTTGATACCTTCGTCACACGCCTACAGAGTCTTTGGAACATGTTACTTTCAAGGCCTGGATTCGCATTGTGAGGTTGTTTGTTCTGTCTACGCCGTTCCACGTCCTCGGGCTTTCAGTCATGGGAGAGGGGAACGACAATGCTTTGCTTACCAAAAGAAACAGAGAAAGAAGAAATATGACAAGGCATAGACGACGAGCAAGCCAGGGCCTAGGCGGTTTGAATGCTATCCGGCAAGACCTTTTTCTTCTTGTCGGTTTGAAGGATTGTGCTGAGCAATGTTTATGTTCCTTCTTCACCTTGTCGATTTTCCACCGACTCAATTACACTCACTCATCTAATCTATCTTTCATCCACAGTACGCCATCCATGATAAAGCATGTATGCTCGCCACTCTCGACGGCGAAGTCATCCTGCTTCCGCCCTCGTCGATCCCCTGGCTCATATCGCAGCCAGAACACGTCGTCAGCGTCAACGGAGCACACAAACACATCCTTCAGACCAGATACACCTTTCCCCGGCCGGAGATCATGGATCCAACTGTTCATTTCGGTATGTATACAAGGTAGCCTGACTTCCCACCCAATCGATCAACACATGACTTACGAGGGATATCCATCAACTAGACGTGATAAAGTCCGAACTCACTCGTCAAGTGTTCAACGTGACGCCCGAGGTCTGCGATGAACTGGCTGCCGCGGTCGACGAGATCTGGGGCACCGACACGGCCAATTGGACTGAGATCCCGCTCTTTGATTCCCTGACTAAAATCATTGCGAGGACAAGTAATCGTGTCTTTGTGGGGTTGCCTTTCTGTAAGTATTTTTGGATTCATTGGCATCTGTTCTCCTTTCGATACACGTATCTCTTTCGGCTGTGGAACTGACCGACCTGTATGTATCTACAGGCCGCAATGAAGAATACATCCACAACGCCGTCGGATTCGCCGAAGACATTGCCCTATCCGCCACGTTACTGCGTCTGTTCCCGGCCTTTCTGCGGCCTTTGGTGGCGCCCATAATTACACATCCGAACCGGAAACATGCGCGCGGCTTCACTCGAATCTTGACGCCAGAGATTCTACGGCGGCAACGGCAACAGCAACAGCAACAGCAAACAGACGATAAACCAGACTCAAAAAACGATTTCTTGCAGTGGCTGTTGACGCGCTCGCTGAAACGGTCGACTTCAACACGTCCAAGCCAAACTGCCACTGGTCCTGACGAAACAGACCCGCAGATTATATGTGCGCGCCTCTTACACACCAATTTCGCCGCCGTCCACACAACTAGTTTCATCGCGACCAATGCGCTCTTGGATATCTTGTCCGTCCCGCTCGTTCAGGGCGTGGTCGACAAGTTGCGCGCCGAAGCTGTGGAGACGATGGATATGACAAACAACGAGTCGGACGTCCCGCACCAACCAAAATCGGCTGGGTCTGCTGGGCCAATGTGGTCCAGAGCCTCACTTTCCCAAATGCATTACCTCGACTCCGCTCTGCGCGAGAGCTCACGTCGAGCCAGCATCATTGGCGTTGGCATCAATCACAAGGTCGTCGTTGAAGGTGGCGTCACCACGCCTGACGGCACTTATTTGCCTCAGGGGAGTATGGTGGCAGTACATAGTTGGGGCTTGCACAACGATGAAAACATTTACGATATGGCGGGCGAGTATAGACCTTTTAGGTTTGTCGAGTTGAAAGACAGGATTGGGCGGAGCGAGCGCGAGACCCTTGGGTCGAGCGAGACTAATAAAGGTGCTGCAGCGGACGTGGAGAGGGATGAGAAGGGGAAATCAACGGCAACACGCCGTGGTGAGGACGCCACAAAAATCTATCTCGACAAAGCTCATCTCCAATTCATCGCAACGTCGCCGACGTACCTTGGCTTCGGGCACGGTCGGCACGCGTGTCCCGGTCGCTTTTTCGCCGCCAACGAACTCAAGTTGTTGATGGCTTATCTTTTGACGAGATATGATGTGCATATGGTGCTGGATGGTCAGGACTACGGTGGATATGGGAAAGGGAGTGAAAATGGAAATGGTAATGGATTAGGTGTCAGGCCGCAGTGTTATTGGGCTGGGCCGAATCATGTCCCGCCTATGGGTGCGAAAGTTAGAGTGAGACGGAGGAAGACGTGCGTGGATGCGGTGGGTTCTACGGATTGACCGACTAAGGGGAGCTGGTCGGAGGAGGTGGGAGTGGTGTGTGGTGGCCCGGGTGCGAGAGGGAGGAGCGCTGCTGGATGATGGTGCGGAACAGTCATTGACCGGGGGAAAAAGGGGAGAGGAGGTGTTTCCTGTGGTCAATGATGGCTAGTGCAATTCAAGCAGTATTAGATACAGATAGAAGCGGATGTGAATGACCAACGTCCTATTTCTGCGGCAAGATGGTGTGGACTGATGTGGGCTTTTATAGAGAAGAGATGCTCTGCCAGTCTTGACCGTAAGGTGGTTCGAGGGACCTTTTTCATGTTATAGAGGGTAATACACTTGGGGTACTTCCCTATCGTTATTGACTCGGCCCTCAGACCAGGGTAGATATTCCATGGCCTGGCAGTGACCAACATATAGCCAGAGCTTAGCAGAGAGAAACACTTTTCCTGGCAAGAGAGGTTTTGTTTGTAGACCATACCTATGCTGCATTTCGTGGGCGGACGGACCAGGATCCAGGACTGAGGCAGAAGTAGATCGTCTTGATCGACCGGTAATCCCGATTGAGGATGGCCAGCGATATAACAGATAACACCGCACCCCCCTCGACCCCTACCACGATTGCGGAGGCCCGAATCTCTGTCCTGTGCGAGCGTATGCAAGCATGTCCAACGCAGTTCTGGTTCGTCTTCAACGGAGGCTAGGTCCGTCATTTTGCTGCTGGATAGCGCACGAGTACCTGAACGTGTCGCGCACTATCCTCATACAGTTCACACTCACTCCGTCCATGCATATCGAGGCTTCGAAGAGCGCTTTGAACCGGCACCTGCGCCTTGCTCTGCTCCATGGCACAGTCCCACCATGCACAACAGTTCAACCATGTACCGCGGTACCAGCCAGCACCCAGAATCGGTCCAAAAGGCCAAATCAATTCATATCTCCTTTCTGGAGACATTCCCTCTTTCATTCACTCATCCTTCCTCGCATTCCAAAACCCCTTGCCATAACTCACCACAATCTCCTCGCCCTTTCCAATCCCCTTGGCTCTGGGACCGCCATTTTTGCCGGCACTCAGCACAAACACTCCGATTCTTTTCTCCAGCTTGCCAGTGCCAGTCCCCGGGCCGCCAACCTGGACAAGGCAGTCGCGAAACTCGGCATTCGGTCCTGCAGGCCTGATGCCGCGATAGTCGTTGATAAAGCGAGCTTCGTTGCCACATTTAGACGCGTCAATGGCTAGATCTAGATCCCGGTCAAGGCTGAGATCGTAGTTGGACGTAGCATAGGTGGAGTCGGGGCTTGGTGGGGTGGATGTTGAGGAAGAAGAGCTTGCAGTAGCATTCTGGGAAGTTTGAGAGTCGGCTTCATCCGTGGATGTATCCGGAGGCTGAGCTGGACCGTGAAGAGTACCAAGGTACAAGATGACAAAGCTTGACGGTGGTAGTGCACGGGTGGAAAATAGTCCGTACTGTCCTTGTGCGGGATGCGAGGGCGATGTGATCGGTGTGATGCGGACGAGGGGGTTTGGTGAAATGATGGCTTGTGGTTTGATTATGGGAAGTGAGTTTGCAGTGCTGAATCCCGTAGGTGCAGCGATGACCTCAAGAACACTGCTCGACAAGGGTGGTGGTATATGAAGCGTTGTCAGGTAGACGATGTCTGGTGGCCAGTTCTTGGGGAGTTGTGAGGACGATGCTTTCGTCTGTCGTTGGGCTTGACGGGGATGCGCGGACATGACCTGGACGAGCCCTTGTGGTGTAGTTGGCGGTCATTGTGGAAGTTGGGCAACCTGAATATCTATTTGATTCATATAATCGAATGGATGAGGTTGTGCTCGGCGAACCTTCTTTAGACATGAAATGCCACTGATAAATGGTCAAAGCGATCAGCGGAAGACTGTAACACTACACTGTACAACTTATAGGCGCCTCTGTCCTTGAAATCTCGAGTTTCCCACAGGATGCAGAGGTACACTAGTAGTTACTGTCGAGGTATACTGTGTAACATTATGATTTTGCATTATACATATTTGAACACTACTGGTCTCGTACAGTTCCCCCTCACAGCGTAACAACAATCTTTCTGGCGCTCACACCCCCTTTGTGGACATCAAGGGCATGTTGGATCGTCTCCAGGCCATGTCCGACCACTTCAGCGTCCGGTGCGGCCACAAACGTCTTCTCCGCCAATGCTCTGGGAAGAAAGTCCTCATAAATCATTGGTCCCACTTCGTTGTCCACCAGAGTGTCGCCGAAGATGAACTTGGTTCGGACTCCGCCCAGCCTTGCCCGGGCCGACAACGAGACGATGCCCGAGATGTAGTAGAAAGCAGTCTGCAGCGTCACAAGCCGCTTGGGCGGTGATGGCGGCATAGGGTAGGTTGCCATGGACAGAAACTTGTCGCCTTTGCACGAACTGAGAATACTGAGACACATTTCGGCGGCACCCCTGCCAACGGACAGCGCGCCAGCAGTGGTTTTACCTTGGAATGATTGCTTAATGTCCGCAACCACCGTGCTGCTATTGTAGTCGAAGACTTGCGCAGCGCCCAATTTCTTCACGTATTCGAAGTTCCGGGGAGACGCGGTCGTGATGACCTCATACCCGGCGGCCACGGCAAGCTGGATTGCATTGCTGCCCACGCTCGTGGATCCTCCCCAGATCAGCAGTGTCTTGCCTGTTGAGTTCTTGGACGCCGAAACGGTCGGATATTGAAGCGCTAGTTGATCTTTCTGAAACATGGCACATGCCGCGGTGGACAGACCCAAGGGGATCACGGCGGCTTGCTCGTAAGCCAACCAATCCGGAATATGTGACGCCATCTTGGTCAGCAACACTGTATACTCCTGGAAACCGCAGTGAGAGGCGAGATTGTGCTTCTCGGCAAGTCCAATTGAGTTGCCGACCACGCGATCACCGACTTGGAAGTGTGTGACATTGGGCCCGACTTCGACGACCTCCCCAGCAACATCTGTTCCCAGAATTGCCGGATACTTGACCCACGAGTAGAGAAGATTGCCTATATCCTGTTTGATGTGGTCTAGTGGGTTGATTGCCACAGCGTGGTTCTTGATCACAATCTCATCGGCCTGGGGGTGCGTGTATGGTGCCGACCTGACCTCTAGTGGACGCTGCTTTGGACCGATAAGGTAAGCTGCTTTATTTGAGGGATGCATTTGGACTCTTTGATGATGGCCGATAATACCCCAGGCCCGTTACCCTTCAAATATCAGACGGTGTCCTTGGTTTGCAGTTTCTTTTGATGGGTTTCCCTTTTGGATACCTGTCTTGGAGGTCGAATTCATGACTGGGTGATCAATGGGTTGTCGTTTCCTTTTATGCCTCGTCAATGCCTGTACAGTTGAAGACATATGAGAGCCATTCACGGCTCATATTCAAGGCTGAAAGACGGCATTAGGTGCATGGACGTCCGACCATCCGACCGTCCGATGCTCTGGTGACCCCAGGTCCTAAACAGCTCAGCAAGGGGAACGGCCGTATGAGTAAGCCCACCACTATAAGATGACTGAACTAACCCTGGCCGATCTGGATGCCACAATCACACAAGTACAATGGAGGCTGTGCATCGACACCAGCCGTCAATCGATTGGCATTGGACAGGGCTGTGATTCGGGGAGTCTTGGAATAATTATTAGATAGAAAGTGACCTCACCGGAAAGATAGTTCACCCGGGGGGACACGGGACGACTGACATCCATAGCCAGGGACGAGTACATACTGTACAGTACCTGCACGACAGGCAACACACCTACCTGTTGTTGCTAATCCAACAGCAAGGAATTTGGGGACGGCTGAGGCCCAGCTGGGAACCCGACTGTTGTCATGATGTCAAGCGACAAACCCTCATAAATAAGCCTGAGTGCTTCCCCACGGTGCGCCATCCCAGAGAGGCTTAGTGATGTTGTGTGCAGGCGTTGGCGTGGCAGCCTCGGCAGCTTCTTTTATGCTTAAACTCAAGTGTCCGGGGCCAATTCCGACCTCAGGCGCGTCACCAGCTTCAACGAGTCCTCGGTCCTACAAATCAGGCAGAAGGACTGCAACGGCAAGGCTGCATTGTCATCCTGCCATCATGACCCCACGGAACATGCCACCAGAGAAGGAGTTGTTGTTAGATGAGGAAGAGAGCAATGTACCAAGTCCGGTTCGTCCGCGTCGAACCCGGGGCGTAAAGACCGGAACCGTCGCCCTGGTGGCGCTTTTACTTCTCACCACAATCGGTGGTCTTCAATACGGGCTTTTGGGGTCAAAGCAAATCCCGAGCTGCTTCAAAGGTTAGTTTGGATACTTCACAGCCTCTGGTCTTCTGGCGATGTTAAACAACGTAAGGCCACCGCCACAAGAGGCCACATCATGGCAAGGCAGACCTTTGTCTGACACCGGCATGTATACATGCATCCTCGGAATTCCTATACAACCTCTCTCCCAACTATAAGGAGCTTGATCCCTGCACCGATTTCGAGGAACTCGTCTGCGGAGGATGGAGAGATCGTCATGATCTTCGACCGGATCAAGGTGATGCATTTACTGGGACTATAATGGCTGAATCGTCCGAAATGCTGCTGCGCCATATCCTTGAGGCCCCGTATCCAGGAGATTCAAAGGTATAATGCTCCCTCTTACAGCCGGGACGAAGATGCTGACTCGCCCGTTAGCACTCCTCCTTCTCGCCAGCCCAACTCGACTCCAACTCGAATTCTGTGGACAAAGAAAACTTCGACAAACTCAAGGCTGCCTATGATGCTTGCTTAGACGAAGACACCATTCGAAAGATTGGTGTCGCCCCATTGATGGAAATCCTCAATGAGACGTCAAGCCGTTTCCCGAAGTCTAACCAACGCAAGTGCGCTGATGGCGGCGTGCTCTCAGACACAATTGTTTATCTATCTAAGCTGGGAATTTCTGGCCTGATATCTACAGGCACCGGTGCCGACGACAAGGACGCGGATACAGTGGTTGTGTCTATCTCCGCTCCATACCGCATTGGTCTGCCAGCAAAGGAGCTGTATCAAGACAAGAAGATCGTGAAACGATACGAAGAAGTGGCATCGCAAGTTTTCTCTGCCCTTTATCCAGAGTCCGTCCATAATAAGGCTGCCACTCAAGCACTTGTGGAGTTTGAGAAGAAGTTGGCCGCGGCATCACCTGATGCCGAAGATCGTGATGATGTTACAGTAAGTTGACGGAGTTGAGTTCGATGAAATCATTTTAAGCGTGTATCAGAAATACTATAACCCCATGTCTGTGGAAGAAGCCGGCCGTTTGGCTCCACAGCTGCACCTACCGAAGGTTCTGCAAAGTCTGACGCCCTCGGACTACAATCTTAATCGGGTAATCGTCATGGCACCAGAGTACTTGAAGGATCTCTCCAAATTGTTGGATGATACCACAGAGGATGTCATCGAGACCTACTTTCTTTGGAAGGTGATCCAGGCATACGCCGGATACATCGAGGCTGACGCGATCGAGCCTTACCGCCGTTTCACCAACGAGCTACAGGGCAAGGTATTCTTGGCCACCACCGCTCAGGTATACCGACGTTAACGTCTATCCAGGATCCTGACTCGAAGCCAGAACGATGGAGGACCTGCGTGAGACACGTGGACGATGGACTAGGCTGGCTTCTGAGCCGGTTCTTCGTTGAAAAGGCTTTCTCTGCGAAGGCAAAGGAGTTCGGCGACCAGATTGTCTCAGATATCAAGGCTCAATTCATCGAGAAGCTCAAGGTTACCGATTGGATGGAAAAGGAAGTCATTGAGCTGGCAATAAGAAAGGTCCACAATATCGTCCAGAAGATTGGTTATCCAGACAAGGTAGGTCGAATCCGGCAATTATGTGTGACCATTGGTTGACCACATGGACACCAGAGCCCCAACATCTTGGACCCGGAAGCACTCCACAAGTACTACGAACAAGTTCCAATCAACTCTTCTGCCTATTTTGAAAACGCTGTGTCCATGACTGAACTGGAGGTTGTCCGGCAGTGGTCTGCTCTTGGAAAACCAGTCGATAGGGACGAATGGTGCGTTCACCACCAATTTTTCTTGAAGTCTTTATGCTAATGTTCCTTGAAGGGGCATGACAGTGCCAACCGTCAATGCTTGTGTGTTTCGCCATAATCCTCTCTTTGGTCTTTTTGAACAAAACTAACCCACAGCACAGATTACAATCCTCCAGGCAATGAAATTGTCTTCCCGGCCGGGATCATGCAATTCCCCGTCTTTGATGTCGACGTCCCACAATATATCAGCTACGGCGCGTTCGGATCTGTTTCCGGCCATGAACTCTCTCATGCTTTTGACTCGACTGGGCGCCATTATGATCAAAATGGCAACTACACGGACTGGTGGACAAACAAGACGGTCACCGAGTTTAAGAAGCGTGCCGAATGCTTTGTCGACCAATATTCCAACTTTACAGTCGAGGGAGCCGATGGCAAACCCCTGCACGTCAACGGCAAATTGACGCTGGGCGAAAACATTGCCGATGCCGGCGGTCTCTCTGCGGCGTTTGCAGCATGGAAGAAACGGGCCGCCGAAACACCGAACCAGGACCTTCCCGGGCTTGATTTCTTCACCCAAGACCAGTTGTTCTTCGTGTCCTATTCAAACTGGTGGTGCGGGAAGACCAGGAAGGAAACGGCAATTCAACGTATATTCACCGATCCGCATGCGCCAAAGTGGGCGCGCATCTTGGGCACGATGGCCAACTCGCGTGAGTTCAAGGAGAGTTTTCACTGTAAGTCTAAAGAACCGGTTTGTGAGCTGTGGTAGTGGTGTTCGAGGGCAGCGGCCGAATGATGCTCCGATTCAAGATCAGAGGCCTGCACTGGCAGTGCATTGAAATGTAAATTCTGTACTACAATTGCAGCTTGACTGTTGATTATCGAGTCAGTCTTGCGTCCAGTCTGCGTTCGATTCTGACCCCTTTCCCATCGAAACTTATTTCTTTTCCCCGCCTTACCCGGCTTGTTTGCCTCCTGGCATTTCATAACCGCCCAATTCCTTCCTCTACATCCCCAACTCTGGCGCATGATGCCAACGACAGATTCAGCCATACTGGCGAACTTCCACATACCATTGCCGGACGACTCCCTTTGACAAAGATTCGCCACCGTTTTTCCAGATCATTCAGGGGAAAAGAATGGCCTTGAGTTGTATCGCTTTCCTCACCAGCCTCCAGACTTTGAAGCTGCCAATTTTGCTACGCCATGGCTACGATGGTAGGTTCTGGCAATATCCTGCTCGACGTGACAAAGTTCACGTAGCTCGAGTTGATTGCGCTAGAGCAGGTTTTCTAGCCGCCGCGGAGTGGTAGAAAGAGTCACAAGGGTCAGCTGGGCAGGGACGAGGTTCGTGCGTTGGAGTTTGCTCTTGCCGGAAACCCATCGGCAAGTGTGATTCGAGAGTCCAAGCCTTTCGTGTCACCTTCGGAAAGGCCTCAGGCAACTCAACTCACCTGGGCGGCCAGCAGTCTCGCCACGCCTCGCCTCTTGTGGTATTGGTCAACCCGCAGAGCTCAGAGCAGAGAGGCAGCTGCGATCACCGTACAACACCTGAGTCCCACCTGCCTACAGGAAGGAACGCCATCAATCAATTTCAACTCCAGAAACCGTTTACCAACATAAAGGCAGTTCCAGTTCTTATTCTTGCATAAGGTACCTACAGTCAGCACCAGTTCTAGTCCAGGCACCACCACCAGCAACACCAGCAATAAACAGGAACAAAGCAGCGATGTCCAACCGCGACCCCTACACCTTCCTCAACCAATCCAGCATCCCAAAACCCATAATAACCGCAATCCACGGCATCCTGAAGGCATGGGACATGCCTACTAGCAATCCTACTAACCCAACCACGGACGATCACAGTTATCTCAACCACTTCCACCCCGACGGCATCCTACACGTCATCACCGCCGAACCGACAAAGGGCGCCGCGGCAATCAAGAAATTGCATGACACCATGCTCAATCCGCGGACTGGGCCGGTGGTCAAGTTACAGCATTTTTGTGACAAGGTGTTTTTGATGCCAGGCAGAGTCGACAGCTTGCCCCCTGCCTCTGCCTCCGCTTCTGCCTCGGTGCCAAAAGATATTCAGCAAGGCGCGGATCATCACAGTCAGACAGACAAGAGTCACAAGACCGAGGCCATCTTTACGGGCAAGTTGACTTCGACGTTGATCACCGGAGAGGAAATCACTACCGACTTTGCGACTTGGATTGTTTTGGCGCCGGCCACCTCTCTGGACGACACAAATGCAGAGAAAACTGGTGGAGAAGGAGGCAGCAAAAGAGATGCTGATGCCGAGCCGGAACTGAGTCTGCGCGTCGAGTATTTGAGGGTGTTTTCCGATACTTGTGCGTTGACTGCTGCGATTGCTGCGATGGGAAATGGGAAATAATGGGCTCGACTGAAAGAGCAACACTGAACGAATCTTCGATGGTTATGGAATGCTCCGACTTGTATTGTTGTGGGTCGTTCAATTACAGGAAGCTGGCTTCGGCATGCAAAACGGTATTCGAATACCTGTACTAGTAACGAGGTAACTACTCGTATTGATGACGGCCATTCACTTACATGCTGACAGCTCAGTAGTACTGTAACTAGGTATTTTATGATAGCACTGTATTATGGAGAAAATGCTCTCACCGCAGTACCCTTCTAGGTGACCACCTCCTGACCAGTACAGCCTTGTGGCCAAAGTGAAGGAGACGACCCACCAATCCGACATCATTCTGCCTTGTTACGGTACTAACTACTACAAGCGGAGTGGATCGATCAAGCCTTTCTCATTTCGGAGTTCGCTTCTGGCATACATATTTTCATTGGAGCAACACTCCCACAGTAAACTACACAACACGCCTTGCATATGCTATAAAACACCTAGAACGCCTGTCGCCTGTTGGCATCATAAAAACACCCTCCTCATCAAGTCATGCACATGGTCCTAACGCCGTCCACCACGCCCGAAAGCAACCTCAAACCATAGGCCGACGAAACCCTATCCATGACACTGAGTTTGGAATGGATTTCACTCTTGTCCATGGTGCTAGTCCACTCGCCTCCACAGGTACAGTGATCACGGAAGAGGGCGTCATCGCCCTGCAGACTACCGCACTTTTTACACTTCAAATCCTGCATCTGCCAGCTCAAGAGCGCCGCCTGGACGCGGGCAATCAGCTTTTCCTCCAGGGCAATCTTGTTATATTCGCTCTGGCAGCTGGGACATCTCCAGGGCTTATTGGCCGCCTCTTCGGCCGTGGCCTGTGGATCCGGAAGAACATCTTCGTCGCGACACAGATCGAGATCTCGCGTCATCGTGCAAGTATCGCAAACAAGGCCCTCGAATCTAAGGCTTGCGCTGGGATTCTCGAATCGGGCTTCACGGCCAAACTCGCGCACGTCAAATAGGGCCAGTAGCTCCTTTCGAAGCAGCCGCGCTTCAAGTTGTAGGGGTTTCGACAAAGAAACAACTTGCATTAGCGCCTTGACTAGTTCCAACACGGGGTCTCGAGCGTGTCGTGGATCAAATGATTCCAGCGTGCCTCCAGGTAGTGAAGGGAAGGACCAGTCACTGGCAAGCTCCGGATGAAGCAGCTCTTCTCGCTGCCTTCGGATCAGGGCCGTGATTTGTTTCTTCAGAGGTTTTGAGAAGTCGTCTTGTAGAACTGTGGTGACTTCGGTACTGTCAGGGTCCGCGGTCAGACTGAGGAAGGCGGACGGAACCTGCGTGAGTCGGGGAGTGGAAGAATCACTGTTTGAAGGCCTCTTCAGGTTCTGCATGATCTCGATGAATGCGATGACCCAATCTTCGAAAACAGGTTGCAACGAGACCGGAAGGAACTGTGAGATCTGCCAGTGGACGATCGTTTCTAGGCTGTCAAGTCCGGTTGACTCGGTAATTGTCGATGTGCCCTTGCCTCCGTAATTGTATGCGTCATACCAGAGAAGCACGTCCCAATAGTCCCTGACTTCAAGCCCCAGAAAGTGGAAGAGCGGCTTTTGTTGGATCGATTTCAAAATGTACTGCGCGTACGCATATGCGTTCTGAACTTCTTGTTTTGAGGTTTGCAGAAGCAATCGTGTCGAACTGGCAAACACGACTTGCGACCCGACGCGGCGGAAGTCGGTGATGAGTTGTTGAAGCGCTTTCTTTGACATCATGAGGACATAGTAATGGAGGTGGCGGTCATAGAGACACGATGCAGGAGCCTCTACCCATCGTACCAGCTGCTGTACCATCACATCTGCCAGCCGGTTCCCCCGACACGCCTCCGCCCACCATGATTTGACCATCTCGCGAAGAACATCGAGTGCTGCTTGAGCAAAGCCTCCTGTCGAGTTGACCGTGTTGCCATCGCCCGACGTGGCTTCGTCGCCGGCAGGGTTGAATGCCACCGACTCGGCCGAACCTTCCAAGTCATTGATGATGGAAGATGTCAATATCGTATTGATGGTAAGATTCTGCACGGCAACATCCACACACACAGTAGTGTAGGCACCTGGGTTGTTAATCGACGGCATGTCAACCACTTCAGTCAGTGGACCGAGGATATCATCGCGCTCATAGCCAGCATGGTCTGGCCTTGGTTGGTCTGACCACCACAGAACAACATTGCTTCTTTTCAGCCTCCGTGCATAAGCGAGGTCGATAAGGAACCGAGGATCGTCCTTCTCAAGATTGCATAGCGGCACATCACCGTATCGGGCAAGCTCGATCAGGTGGCTCAACCAGCCTCCTACGTTGAAATAGTGGGAGATCAACTGTTTGAATGCGAATCCTTGCCAGCCCAGTGAAGGAAGGTCTGTATCAGCTTGATCTGTAGGCAGACATAATATCGGGTACTCCTTCATAATCCGGATGTCGTGGACCAATTGCCTGTGGGAATTCGTCTGAAGGAGGAGAATCGTGGGCTGGGACTCGTCAGATCGCCACTTCTGGAGCACATCTGCAATTGCCAGGTTTGCTTTTCTTTTCGTTGTGACCTGAGACACTTTGAAGCTCAAATTGGACTGGTATTGAAAGATATCTTGTATCAGGACATCTTCCTCGGCCTTGTGTCGGTACTGCTCGGTATATATCTTGTCGACATTCGGCAGTTGAGAATCACGGCTGCGGCTGAGGACGATAATGTGAGCTTCGGACCTGGCTGTAGAGAATAGAGCGAAAACATTTCTATCTCCTGCCGAGACGTGATAAATGTAGATGTAAGCGAAAGAGGTTGGATCCTCCAGGTACGTAGCCGGCGCGTCGTACCGCAATAATGCTGAAAGGTCGAAGCCATGTTCCAGGCCTTTTCCGAGTACGCCCTTTTGGCTTGCGTCGAACGAGCACATATTCCCCAGTTTGAGCAATGCACGCATGAAAAGGGGCAACTGCCGCTCATAGACTCCTTCCACACTGGGATGATTGCACAGCAACGCAACTGACTCAGCTTCTCGTAGGTAGATGTCTTCTGGCATGGTCAATTGAAATAGATGAACCGAAGGGTGACCGTTTGGTAGGACATGGTTGACTTTTTCGACTTCACATCCCGGCACCTCAACGTTTGGTAGTTCGTTCCCTTTCAGGTTGAGATAGAGGGTCCTAGGCACCTTGATCTTCAAGGCATGGATCTTTTTGCCAATCGATACGAAGGCTATCACTTCACCAGGTGAATCACCTTGGCGTAGTTGAAGGATGTGCCAGGTATTAATATACAGCAGTTCAGCTTGGTTACGGAAGAAGCTGCTGATCGAGTCTGTGGCAACATTTGGCCGCTCTCCAAAAAGCTGTCGACGTCGTGCCCTGGCTTGTTTCTGGATCTTCCATTTCTGTTTCTGATACTGGAGCCACCCGCTATAATCCTCGTCGTTCGCTGGAGGATCAGAAGGCAGCGCTGCAAAAGGATCGACCAGTGACTGCTTCGCATTGTCATCTGCTTTTCTCTTGGCTGGCTTGGAGAGCTGAACCAGAGGCTTGCTTCCGTGGTCCAAAGCATCCTCTATGTCTCCCGAACCAGGGAGCCGGTGGTCGAGTAGATTCACTGAGCGCTCCGCCAAAGGCTGCTTTTCGAACAGATCAGTCACCTTTTTCTGCTTGAATTTGTCGTCCTTGGCCGTGATCCGCTTCTGCAGCCAATCTGGGTGTGCAACTCGGGGAACGGGGTTCCGGATCTTTTGAAGGGCAGCGGGAATAGTGATAAGCTTCTGTATCACAGAACCAAGACGTTCCAGATAGTAATCCCAATCAATCACAGTTCTAGGGTCCATGTCTGCCGGGTCCTCCTTCAACCATTTCCGCAAGAAATATCGCTTAACGCTGTCATCGGCAGAGAAGATCGCCACGGGGATGGCTCGGTCAGTGACCGGTGTGTTTCTAGGCTTCGCGGAAATGATGTACTTGCAGTTTAATCCTTTGTCTTTAATCATTTGATCTCCGAGAAACTCGGCCAGTCTCTTAGCGGTGGTGATGGAGGTGGACTTTTGCGCTCCGTATTCTTCAAGGGTCTTGGTCATACTCTTGTTCTCGCAAATAAGGTCGATCAACTCCTCATCGGCGAGAGTTGAACCTTGTTGATGCAGTACGTCGAGCCATCGATTCGCGACACGAGCAACAGCGCCATAGGTTTCCGCCAATGTTGTCCCTTCCAAGAAGAATTTGAAGATTTGAGTCTGGAAGATTTTGATAAGCTTCAGCTCACCTCTTCGCTTCACCTCGAAACCCTTCAACTCTGCCAGGCTGCCATCGTGGTTGAAGACAGCATATCGCTTTTTCAAATTTTTGTCTTCCTCTTTCGAAGTCGGAAGAATCATTGCTTTGTAGGGACCATCGACCTCGAAAAAAATGGAGTTGTCGCTGTGCGTCTCGTACTTGAAAGTGACAGGGTCAACAAGAGTCTGATATTGGTGGTTGGTAAATCGTCCATGAACGAGATGGTTGAGCATCACACAAGGGTATGAGATTGCCATCTTCTTCCCATTTTTCAGTGTGAAGACAACGTTTTCAGGAAACGTCGCCGGAAGCATGCACCAAATACCGTCGGTATCGAGTTCCAGTGGTCTGCCGATACGTTCGACAAGTTCCCGCGCCATCTGAATAATGTGGGCGCCAGTGAGACAGGTAACACCTGCCATCTCCATTGAGTACCATCTTGATCCCTTGCGCATGACATAACCGTAGAAAGAGTTAAGAATGACCTTGTGGGCCAGCTGAAGGGAGTCGTAGAGCACGATCATCTTTTTCGCTTCTTCAATCTCCTGCGCTGTAGCACCAGACGATTTCAGAGCTTCCGTCTTGCCCTTCCAGACCTTTTGTTGCCCTTTGAAGTCGTACCGTCGGTCTCGGAAATTGCGCACAGTGTCGACGTAAAATGGATTCTCTCGCTGGCAGATAATGGCCTCACGTTCAATAATTTTCGAATCGTGAATCTTGTGATAGATCTTCTTCGAATATTCTTGGAGCCTCCTTTTTACCACTGCAGCTTGCTCGTCAAGGCTCAATTGCTGAAAGGTTCGTTTTTGAGATTTGGGGCCTTTTCCGGGAAAGGTCTCGTTGGCAACGGCTCTTCGTATCATGTTGTACTCGTCTCTTTTCGTGGGTAAGAATTCTCCTCTCCATGACCATGGCAGGCGTCGGTCGCAGGTCTTGCCCGGCCGGTTGAAATCACAAGCAGCACAATCAGATTCCGCCTTCATGGAATCGGGCTGCAGCCGGTTGGTCGTCATGATATTTGGGTACATAGAAGCAACATCCAAATGGTAAATCAGGGGCCGCTCGTTTCTGTTCGGGGTTTGTTTCAAGCTGTTCAGCTTTTCACAGATCTGAGCTCGGACTTCAGCGTAGTTCGTGACGTCGTCCAGGGACTTCTTCTCTTCCACCGTGATGCAAAACTTCAAGGCGGCGTCGAGGTCGCGCAACAGCTCGTCGATGGCTGTCGTGTCGATCGCAAAGTTCACAGGAATGTCCGCACGAAATACTCCTGCTTCGATACTCTCCACATGTCCACCGACGTAAGTTTCTGAATCTAGGAGATGTCCTTCCCAAAACGCTTCTCTTGGATCAGTGTGCTTGTTCGGCAGCACGATGTTCTTCTGGTATGCTTGGACCATCAACAGCATCTCACAGAGGGTGCCCGTACCCTTGCGCAAAGTGTCATCGGGATTGAGGGGGATAATCGTACATAACGAAAAGATGAAAGGATGCACATATTTCATGTACAGATAGTATGTCGCAACCGCATCGGACACTGAATATTCGGCCAGGATCTGTGGGTGTTTTCTTGCGTAGGGTGTCATGAGCTCGGGGTCCAACTCGTCGGGATCGTAACCTAGTTTTGCAACTGTCACCGCCTTCAAACCTCTGCTGCCTTGAGGCAAGTAACTGTCTCTGTTCACCCATGCAAAGCAGTCCATGTGTACGCAATAGTCGCTTTGATAGATGTCTTCGCTACTTTTGCGAAACCCAATCTCTGCATACATATCAATCCCGAGAATACCAGCTCTTGCTTCAACGAAAGGCCAATCGAAGAAATCTCCGTTGTAGGTAGCAATGACATTTGGTCTTGCCTCTTTGATGTGGGAAAAGAATCGTTCAAGAACAGCGCGTTCATTAGGTTCGTTAAAGATGATAAAAGGACCCTCATATTCAGCCTTCGGAGTGTAGTCAAAATCGGCAATGTCCTCGGCCACAATCTCCCTGTTGGTAATGAGGACACCTTGTCCGTCGATCATGTAGGATATCATCATGACCTGATCAATCACCGAGTCGGGAAATTTGAGGGGTAGTTTCGTCGTTTCGATGTCGAAGGCGAGGACAACCGGATCGGCTCTCTGTAAGCGTTCTTCCAGACACGTTAGAGATATGGAGCCGTGTTTTGCCTCCACGGTGTACCACTTTCCAATGCGAATGTCCTTATCAATGGCGATACGGACGTGATATGGCACATCGTACTCTCTGACGTCGACAATGAATTCACTGGCTTCTGCGATTCCGGTCGACCTCCCTTTGCCGCTTTGATCTTCGTCGTAGATGTCGAAGCCAGCGTTGGCACTGGCGACTTCTGCGTAGGTGTCCATGGCGTCAAGCTTCTCTTTGTTTTTCTCGGCAATAGGCATGACTTCTCTGCGGACAGATAGAAGGTCGGAGACATTGGCAAACGTGAGCTTTAGAAACGTCCGTTTGTAACCGAGCAGATGATTGGGCATCTGTAAATCTTCTTTTGCAACTCGTGTTACCGTTTTCACCAGCCCTTCAAACATTCTTTTGCACCATTCTTCCACCTCAGTTTCTCTACCTCGTCGTACCGCCAGCAAGAAGTAAGGATCATACTCTAGCGTTGCTTTGAAATTTTCGCCGTCTTCTCCGATGAAGTAGAAGTCAACGCCTGCGCGACCGCCGGGTACTTTCGGGTCTTCGACTGAGGTGCTGTGCATGTTGTAGAGCCATCCAACTCTTTTCCTGCCGGAATCATAACGCGGGAATCCCATAGCCTCGTCGATGCTGTTGGCCAGCCGCGTTGCCTGCACTTTCTCATCTTGAGAGGTGCCTTCGGTAGCGCGGAGCGACGAGGCATCGACTGTCTTGGTCCGGGGTTGTCGAGAGGAATCTTTGGCGAACCGGACATTGGAGCCATATTTGCTCGGCTTCCTGACCGGCATGGCTGCTCGACGCAAGCGTCAATCGGGACTCTCTGGGTTCATAAGCCTGTCTCAAATTGTGTGTTCATATCGTCGAAATCCCAGCCGGCGTAATCAATACTAGTGCTGCGACTGAAGGTGCGGCGGCGTGGGATGGCTTTGCAAATCCAAGATGCCCTCCTTTGCAGTTATCGAAGTCCAGATGCGTCGCGTCGCGTCTAGTCGCGTGCCACTTTACGCGCCAGAGCCCGGCAAACTTTCTCGAAGTTGTACGGTCAGAAATAGCGTGTCTAATGCCTATGCTCCACCCATCAACCATTGAATGAAATCATCGTTGCAGATGCGCCGCAAGTTCCTCCAGTCCAAACCACCACCAATATGGCGGAAGATACACGAGAATCCGAGGGCGCCCCTCAAGATGACAAGTCAACCTCAGAGTCGCCTCGAATCAGGCGGCCGAAGCCCCGGCAAGACTTCCCCAAATCTCAAGTTGGGAAGATGTGGGAGGCGCTGGGAAATCCTCAAGAACCGGTAAACACGATGCCCGGAGGAACCTACAATTCGGCAGGCGGCAGACCGACCGAAGTATCTTGGAAAGATGCCTTCAACTTTTCGTACGAGGGTAAAGGCCCAGCATGGTATCAGACGCCTTGCGCCAGAGACTCTTTGCTAGTGGGAATAGCTTCGGGAGGGGCCATTGGAGGATTAAGATTTGTCCTCAAAGGTGCATACTCTGCCCTGATGTTTTCCAGAGTGGTCATTTAACATGACAACAGGTCTCTCTTCTATTGCAACCTCGGCCAATATCGCAGTCGGCGGATTTGCTCTCACAGCAAGTGGGATGTACTATTGGTGTGAGCAGAGGAGGAGAGAAGAGGCCCGCGGAATGGCGGCCGCGGTTGTAGGGATGAGGATGCTGCATGAGAAGAAGGCCAGAGAGAAGAAGGAAGCGGAGGAGGCGGCCAAAGCTGCAGCTGCTGCGAAAGCCGAAGAAGAACGGAAACGCAACCAGCGATGGTACAAGTTTTGGTGATCATATATCTGCCTGTGAGCAAGCCTTGGTGGCAGACAGCCCCGAAGGGTGATGGAACAAGCTGTCGAACATGCTTGTGGTCCAGAGTTTGTATCTTTTGGACGCGGCGTGCGGATTGTACATTAGCGGTCATGCCAGACAGCCCATGACAACGAGGGCAAGCTGAGGGTGGTGGCATCATCCGTCCTCGAAACGAAAACGAACAGATTTGCGTGGCGACGATTCAGTGGACGGGGTCTCGTCACTGTCGTCAATGACACGTTTCCTCCTCTCACTTCTCTGTTGCCTGGCATCTCGAGCCTCTCGATTTCTGTACGCTGTCACTTGTTGCTTTCGTCTCTGAGACCTGGACCAGGCAATGGCTGCCGTTGGTCGAAATCCAATGCCATTGATGCCGTAACCATCGTCATCCGGGTCTTTAGGATCGTGACCCGTGATCTCGGAGTCTTGCCAGAAGCTGTCCGAAATCTCTATAGGTAATGGCGGTGACTTTGAACGAGAAGACTTGGCCTCTAGCTTCTTGGATGTCTTTCCAGAAGTCATGGGAACACTTGCGCTTTTCGTTGCCTGGGCATCTTCTGGAGCAGCAGACAATGTCTCATCTTCTGTATGAGTATCGAAGACAGGATGTCGGGTATTGCCTGTGTACTGTGATATTCGTTCGTCCGTATAGTGGGAATGGCCAAAGAGAGGGGCGCTACGGATCTCTAGCCGCTCCAACCTCCTGGCCGTCTTTGCCCTAGGACTCGCATCGCCACTGTCCTCTCGTTCACTGCCCAAAGAGTCCAACTGTTCCAGCTCCTTCGTCGCCGAGCGATCGGGATGGTCCCGCTTCCTCTTGGGCGAACTGAAGGGCATCGGGGCAGTCGCGCCCCCGAAGTTGACTCACAAGCCAGCCAAAACGATTGCCGTTTCCGAGTAATAAATAAACATCTGCCATAAAGTTGAGAGGGTTCGTCATTAATCTTACTTCCTGCATCACAGGATATAGTCCTCTCGTTGGAAGGATGTCAGCCAGGAGCGGCAGGAGCATTCCCAGGAATTCATACGTCGCCGCTTGGTGGGGCCATGCGCGAATCGGGTTCAATTAAAAAGACGGTGTACCCCCATAAAATGCCCATATAATATCTTCAGTACGTGCTCTTCTAGACGAACACTAGATACTTGAGCGGGAAGACAGGTTGAAACATGAATCAAGATGTGGCATAAATTAGTGAACTCAGACTTCATGGATGCGAATTTTCTGCTTCTCGTCGCGGTAGAGAGTACACAGCCTTTCCCAGCCCATATTCTGTTCCAACATAACAAAATCCCCGACCAACGCCATGCACACAACAAGTAATCCAAGATGGACCAATCATTCCTTCACTTTCTTCTTCTTCTTTTTCTCCTCGGCCTCACCATCAACATCGAGAGACTTCCGCTTCTTCTTCTTCTCTGTCACCTCGTCTCCGCCTTGAGACTTGCGCTTTTCTTTCTTGTCCTTCTTATCCTTTTTCTCCTTCTTGTCCTTCTCTCGCTTTTCTTGCTTGGAGGCAGAAGCAGGAGCAGCATCAAACATTTCCTCGTCCAAATCTGCCTTGGAAGGCTCATCAATATCCATGTGCTCAAGGACTTTCTCCATGGCTTCTTTCTGTGTCTGGGGTCAGCTGAGTTGTGCGGATCAGGACATTCAACATACCATAGCAACTTCATTTTTCGTCGGTTGTGTTCCGGAAGCATAAAACTCTAGCCGTTCCTCAACTTGCTTCTTCAGAACCTCACCAAATGCCGTGGTTGGTGACTCGGAGAAATTGTCAATCCTAGACGCGATGGAGCACTTGTTCGCGAGGAAGCGGGAGATGCGCCCTTTGTTTTTCTGGGACGCGCGACCGATGAATGAGGAGTGGTACAGTAGACCATACTTGGGGGTGTTGCCTTTGGTTTTCAGAGCTCGGAAGAGGGCCTTTTCAGCTCCCAATATCTGGACGGTTGAGGCTGGGTACTTTGACAGGTTGGTAAGACTGCCGGCATGCGAGATGAGCCGAGCGCCCACTATCTCCCCGATCAGTGCTGCCAAATTCGGCGCCACTACGCCCATCTTGGACACGAGGTAGCTGTAGAGGGTCTTTCGGTAATTCGCAAGGCTGACTACTCGTTGCGCAAACAATGTAACGTTCTCCATGTCTGATCCTGAGAGTTCCTGACCCATACTCGTCTTCGCAGCCTCGATGATGCTCTTCGCAATTTCCTCGTCATCATCCACGACCGCCGCAAGATCGTGAAGACTGTCTTCGGACAGACTCTTCTTGTCCTTCACGAAAAGTGCGACTTTAGCGTACTTGTGATTGTCCGAGACGATTTTGACCAATTCGGGAAAGTGCCACGAATACCATTCACGCACTCGCATTGAGAAGGTGTTGATCGCCTTATCCAGCTGGTCCAAGATTGCAATCGCTTGGATAATGTGGTTGTCATTTTTCTGGACCGAGAACTTGACTTTAGCTCTGGAGTATGCATGACCAAGTCCGAGCTGAGCAGTGCTAGTGTCGCCTTCGCGGAGCTGTTTCAACAATTTCTCCGAATGCTGACGGATTCCTCGTAGCATGTCCTGGACAATTTCGCTCGTGTCTCCTGTTTCGCACTCGATGTTCGGGAAAGCACTCTTTATACTGCTGGCAAGAATCTTGTCGGACACGCCCAAGGTCACTTTGTTCTTCTTTCCCGGTTTCGGTAGGTTCAGCTCGAGGAATGACTTGAGGTAGTCAGACGCGATGCCTTCTGATATGTCGTGGAGTTCCTCCAAAGCTTGTTTTCCATTCCTTGGATATCATCAGTCATCTGCAAGAAAAGTCACGGTGGTTGCGCATACTCAAATGGTAAGAAACTGACAAGTTCCACCATCTTGCCAAATTTCGCCAGATCTTGAACACTATCCTGGACTTCCTTCAGCCGGTTACCAACAGTGTCCGGCTGGTGAACGGCCTTGAAGAGCGCATAGCCCATGGGGCCTTCGTAGAGGAGAAACTCCATGGTCGACGCGGACTGTGTAATTCCTGGGAAGCCGTTGGCTCTTTTTCAAGTCCCGCAAGGAAAAGAAGTTGCACGAGCCGAGACGAACTTGCAGCGAAGCGGCTTGCGGGAGCAAGCAATTGAGTCTGGTTTAACAGTCACGGTGGTAACGACGCCGGCGCATCCAGCTGCAGCTTCACCATCTCCAAAAAAATTCCCAGTCCGCAAACTTCGAGTAAATTTCCAGAGAAGCTTGGCGTGGTCTGGAAATAGAAAGTTCCGTTTGCTGCTTTAATTCGTCATTTTGGGCTTACGTTGACGCTGCTTTACCCGTTCGCCTTGATGTTCATCGAACACCTTGAAGTTGTGATACGAAGCGATTCAAACAACCTACGTACACACCTAGGTATGTGTGATTCAATTCAAGTCTTGTTTTGCGGGCCTGGATATAAAAGGGAGCTCCAACTACGGCCCACTGCTGGTCAAAGAATATCGCGATTCCAGCACTTGTTCCTGATTCGGCTCCTGCGCCGACCTACACTGTACAAACCGACATGATTCATCCGTTACAGCCTTGGGCCAGGACCAGTGTGCGTCGCCTCAAGATCTAGACATCGGTGCGCTAGGAGCTGCTCAATGCACTCGGCCTCGTTGCAAACGTAACGTCGATACAACATGATCGGCACCAGTGAGGCGAGCTGTGGTGTCCCGCTTTGTTGCCGCAATAGAAACACCACTGGGGCGTCAAGCCCTCCTTTTCAAGCCGCTGCGAAATGCATCTCCGCAGCTTCCCGCCCATGGGTGACATAATGGACTCGAGGACCGATATACTGGTCAACTGGCGGTCCAAACGCGGCATCCACCGAACCCAGCGTACCCAGGGGCCTGCGTTACTCGCCCCCATGACTAGAAAAGTGGCCGCTATGTCCTTGCGCACGAAGATGAAGCTTTCCAGGCCACCGAGGAGGGGCTGACCGCCATCGTCTTCGTCCAGTCCCAAGGATTCGACACGAGTCCTGACGACCTTCCTCAGATGCCGCCCACTGATAATGGACCGGTCAACCCAATGGCCAGGCATGGCCATTTCGAGTACACCCAGTGCCTCGATGAGTGACGGCAGATGTAACGCCTGAGTGACCACGGCTTGCCAATCATGGATCGCCTGTCTCTTCTTCTTGAAACTCCGAATATTCAGCCGCTCTAGGTACGGACCGTGGAAGTTAATTGCTATTCCGTTCGCGCATAGTCCCTGCCCGAAGAAGACAAGGTCAGGTTTGCCAACTACTTTGTACTCGGGTCTCTGATGCGCAAACGGTGCTCCGCATCTCACAGCTGCGACAGTCTCGTCGATCACAAGCATGAGGCCGGCTTCTTTACAAGCTTCTCTCAGCTTTCACACTATTCCGCCGTGGTTTACTCGACCATTGAGCTGATTGTTGACGATTTCAACAATGACACCGATGCAGCCTAGTTTCTTTGCCTCAGCGAGATTGTTGACAAGATCCTTTTGAGACCGGTCTACGATCCTCAAGCTGATGCTTGGGGACCCAGCAGCGTGCGCACGGAACGCTGGCTGGGCACTCAAGTTGGCCTGAACGAAAAGTGAGTCAGCAGTACATCCTTCGTAGGGGCGTCGCTGTCAAGCGCATCAGGTGGGTCACTTACAAGAGGTCCAAAACCTGCAGCAAAAGAGTCCTCAACCGCGACCCATTTTTCCAGGTGCGTCTCGCTCCAGCCGAGCAACGATGCCAACCGTTTCCTATCAACCGAACCAGAATCATGGATAGAATCGACACTATCCGAGACTGAGATGATAGCCAGGCGCAGAATCAAACTCGTCACGGTTGACGGAGTCATAGCATCTGTCACATGGTCATGGGACGAGATTGGCAGTGTGCCACCGAAGAAAGACCTGGAGAGCACTTGTGTCAACAATTGTTATCACCAAGACGGAGAAGACGGCAGGCTGAGGGACACACACTCAAACCTGCCCGTGTATTGAGACAGTATCTTTTCGAATCTCCTCCCTGTCCTGATCGGATCTTCCCAGTACTGTCGCATCAATGAATTGGCAACGGGCCTATTCAGAAGCTACGTTACCCCCAACACCGATCCCCAAACGTTGTTGAAGTCATGGTCCGGAAGAATATCAACCATGGTATATTTCGCATTTCTTCCAGAGATTATATCGTGACGGTCTTGGTATCTGGTGTGATTACCGACTGATAAGCTACAGGTCTGCCCTCTACATGTTGAGACCTAATGCAGCGGCAATGAGTCTCTGCGCTGTCTCCTTTCAAAGCCCTAGCTGATCCCGGGTGTACTTTGCTACCTGGGATTTCATGGCCCCATATGCAACCCTTGAAAGGAACTCCGTTGCCTCTCAGCTGAAAGAAACCTGCAACGCAGATCATTTGCCTACAATAACGTTCTCATATGACCCTCTTGAGCCAGACTAGAGGCCATTGAAGATGCATTATTGTCGGTCCACTACCACCATCTGAATATGCCGGTCGTCCCAGGTATGGTCGGCACGTAGATCCCCCTGTTCAGTCAACTAACCACCAACTTTGACGGCTTTCTTATCAAGAAAGAGGGGATTATAATCCCACTACGTTATTAGTGGCCAGTCTGGCGGGTCGCTTTTTCTCCGAAGGTAAGCTTCGGCAACCGGCCAATATCGTGAATCCACGAAACCTCTCTGTGTAACCAACCTTCGGCCTGGCCGCCATGTCGACGTTGCAATGTTGTAACCCGCTGGCCCGGCTGGCAGACAGCTTTTAAGTTATCCCCCTGCTTCGCAACTTGCATGTGACTGACATGTGGAAAATTGGACGATGTGTCCAGGGAGGACTAATACTACCATGGACACTGAAGAGAGATTTCCATGCAACCAAGTCGTAGTCTCAGCAGAGCCTCAATTCCGATCTCGCCGCAGTCAGATGCCAGAAATAAAAGCAAACCCAATGCATTGCATGAGCACTAGCGAGGTGCCAGTCTCAATAGAGAGCTTTCATCGATTGTTTTCTCTGCAAAACACCCTGCAGTTGTTGTTGGAAATACTTGATCTTTCCCAGCCAAGTCGGATCATGAAACAAAACAACAAGTATTTCAACACCCTCCAAGTTGGGTAGGTTGTCGTCCAACACGTGTACACAATGGAGGATCAAAACATGGCCACCAGCTCGACCTCAAGCTCAAGTCCATACGAAATCATCGACATTGGAGGCAGCAAGTTATGCGAGTACCTCTTGAGGGCACTCCAACGCAATTTCTTCAATCACTCCGAAGGCGAGGTCCCGTACATCAGCGACATTTTCGCGTCGACTGACGAAGGACTGCAACTTTGGAGCACCATCACCTCCCTCCCGACATCGTACCAGACGCGAGAAGAGATGGACCTTCTGCACCGCTGGCGCACCGACATCGCGAAGCATATTCGGCCAGGTTCGTCCCTGTTCGACCTTGGGAGCGGGTGAGTATTGTTATCATATTATATCATAGCATATCGTGTTGTGGCAGGTCATTTCGCATGCCTTACCTTGCCTTGTCTTTTCAAACCTGCCTATCATTTCTTGGAATTATGTGCTTCGCCCCCTTCTTTTCTTCCACTCGACCCGGCTTGGTTCGGGCCAGGCAGACGCTCAGAATTTTTCTGTGCTTTCCTTTTCTTCCTCAGGAGTGCGCCAGGGAAATTTCTCTTGGCCTTTCTTTTCATCCGTCCCGTCGCACCACGCAAAAGAAACAAAGCACATGAAGAGGAAGCCAGGCGAGCAGAAAATAAAACAAATATTCAACCCTTACCCATACCTATCTATACCTTCTTGAGAAAAACGCTGAAACCGCTCTTTTTGCCCTCAAAAAGCGACGTCAAGAAAATCACCCCTCTTCTAGACTGCCTCGAATCTCTCCACTGCGACATAACTTACCACTGCATCGACGTCTCACGAGCATCACTCGCACGCGGATTAGAGACTCTGACGACGCTAAGGTGCCTATCTTAGTTAGATAAGTATAGCGAGCACATTTGACGTAGTAGTCTGGTAGGGTATCGGAGCCGTCTACTACTTATAATCAGCGTTGTCGGGAGACGCCTCTTTGCTTAGTTATAGTGGGTCCATAACCGTTATGGGCCAATCAGGATAAGGACGCCGAAAGAGGCGTCTCTGTCTCCCGACAACGCTGCTTATAATATACCCCCTTTTGGCTATACTCGTCGCTTTATCGTTACGTATTACCTATACGTCGATAAAGGTAGATGTCACGGACAGGGCCACGGCCGCAGGAGATCGCTCCAGAAAGACTTAAGTTCCTTTACTCACGCTACTGTTGGGTCGGAAGCAATCGACCAGTCCTGCGCATCAAACTCTTGCTTGACCGTTGCGGCGAAATCATCATCTAGCAGGACTTGCAACGCCGTCGAAGCCATGGCCTTGCCACAGCGGAGCGTCCGTTCATGAGCATCCAGAGTCCTCGCGGCCGCAGCGTACTCGGATGTATGTATCGAACCTCCTGGACTATGAATCTACCATCTTGTCAGAGAGCCTTTCGGCCATCCGGGGGCAGCGACATACCTCGACTGTAGGATGAATACTGGGCACGACATAAGTCACATTACCCATATCCGTACTGAAGCAGTCCCGATCCACCTTTTGCTCAAAGGCAGTGCGGAACGGCACACCCTGACGCTCCATGTGCTCGACGTACTTCCCTGCAAGTCTGCCGGGTAGGTCGGTCAGTCAATCCCTGAGCATACAGAAACCTCGATCGAGGGTGCTCACGCTTCATTGGTGCGAATGTCCCAGTAGGCGGGTAGCCAGTCAGTCTTCAACTCGCAGCCCGTCGCCAATGCCGCCGCTTCCATACAGTTGATGAATTTCTGCTTCAAGACGCGATACCTCTCCAAGCTGGCGGACCGCACGCAATACCGCGCTTTGGCGTATGCCGGGATCACCCCAGAGCGTTGCCCGGCCTGCAGCACCACGCCTCTTATGCGGTCCGAGGGCATGATCTGCTGCCGAAGCAGCCCAATGCTGGTTTGCAGCAACGTCACTGCATCGAGCGCGTTGATGCCGTCCCAAGGTGCTACCATGGCGTGTGCAGGCTTGCCAATGTACTCGATGGTCAGCTCGGAGCCGCACATTGATGATACGTATGCATTATCCTTGTTCCTGTCCGACGGCGGTCAGTCACCGTGGTCGATCAGAGTAAGTCGGCCAAATACACGGGTCACTATCACTTACATCGGATGGACCATCAAACAGCAGAATATGTCATTGTATGCTCCGGCGCGAATCATCTTGATCTTCCCTCCACCCCCCTCCTCTGCCGGGGTGCCCATGGCGACGACGCGACCATGGATCTTGCCTTGCTTGATGGCCTCTGCGGTACCGATGACGGCAGCCAAACCCGCAGTGGCGATCAGATTGTGACCACATGCGTGCCCTATCTGCTCCAGGGCGTCATATCTATTCACATGCATGTGTCAGATGTCCGGGGGTCACTGTCCAAGGTGTTGCTCGGGGCTTACTCGAGATTGACCGCCACGGCTCGACCACCTTTGGGACGGTATGATGCCCGGAACGCCGTTTTGAGGCCGAACGCTCCTCGCTCAACCTCAAAGCCTCGCTCCTCCAGGAAATCCGTCAAAACCTGGTGTGCATGGTGCTCTTGAAATAGTATCTCTGGGTGCGAGTGGATCTGTCCAATGTCAACTCTTCAGTAGTATCATTTCTCGCCTGAGAATCTGTGATCTAACCACCAGATAATGGCAACGCGTCTACTATGCAGCATTGGGGGTTCGACTTACATCCCAACTTATCTCCCTCAAGAGATCTGAACCTGTCGTGACCGTCTCGTCGGCGACCCTTTGTGCTTCCTCTAATTTCAACACAGCCGCCATATCTTACAAGCCGAGGCGCAAGTGGAATGGCAGGTCCGACTCCTGCGTCGTTCACAACTTACAACAGAAAGTTGCTAAGATATTGACCCCAGCAAGACTTGTTAAGATGTGATTAGGATGGACTACTCCTGATCAATGGAGCGGCATTCTCATCGGGAAAGGTTAATTGACATCGAAAGCCTTGCTGTGGTGGAGGCAGTGAACGGTCACTTCCGGCGTGGATTTCGCCTCGTCGGCGCCGCGGCGCCGAATCGCCTTGACCGCCCCCGGATAAGAGCGAGTGGAGAACAAGCGACTAGATGATATCTAGTATCTACAGGTGTGCACTACGGTCACGAGCCAGCGATGTCAGTACATACCGAGCCTAATCTCTTGTTGGGAGGTGCAAGCGTTATGTCCTAAGACAGACGGTCTAGAGACGAGCGAAATCCTGCGTAACGGTTTATCGCGGACGCCAATGAAGTAACCTCGGGTAAGAGCAGTTTGGCCTGAATCAATGTATCATGCATTCACGCCTTCTGCTCTACCACTACCGTACATATCTCAATGTCTCCAAGACCATCCAAAGTCACCAACTGCCCAGATTTGCAAACCAACCATCTCCTCCTCTGTCTCCCGGTTTCTCCTGCTATTCCTCGAATCCTCGGTCTCTACACTGCGAGTCACTGTCCGACATTTTCAAAAGGTATAAATGAACAGCGGATTCTGCTTGTCGGTCAAGTTTTTGAAATCAAATTCCGTCGTGGCGTGGTCACCAGTCAGTCCCGACATTTCGATCCTGGTCGACTCACGACGTTTATTCTGCCACATCAGATAGAAGCGAAAGCCGATCAGGATGACGATCAACAATGCAAAGGAAACGAGACAAGCGCCAATTCCAAGGCCTGGCAGTAGTTTGTTAGCATCGATAGGTCCTGCATTGCATCCGACTTACCGTAACGAGGTTGTTGAGCTGTCTTGAAGAATTGTGGTCCGATGATACTGGAACACAGACCGTCAGAATCAACACGCCAGAAACATCTGGAACGGAAGCTGCCAGCAAGACTCACTTTCCAACGCTGTAACCAATCATGGCCAAAGAGTTCGTGACGACCTTTTTCGTGTGCCCAGCGGTGTTGGCAGAGATCATGGACAAGAGTAGAATATACCCAGTCGGGAAGGCATAAATCTAGGAATCACCGTCATGTTAGCCGCTGGCTGCTGGCCCTTCCCACTGAATGCATTCCTCCTACCATGTAGTAGCCGGCGAGTAGGGCGGCTTTGTTATGATAGGGAGCTGCGAAGACCATGATCGACCCCACCAGAGCGGTGGTCAAGGCAGTGATCATGCACCAGGCCCGAGTATCTGCAACCTTGAGACAAATATAGGTGATGATGATCATCAGGACAAACTCAAGGGCTCCTGCTGGCATGCCGAGCTGTGTACCAAGATGTCAGTGACTTGTGGGGGCCAATATACGGGCTCACTTACCAATGTCGTCTCGAGCACGCCGTAGTCGAAGTTTTTGATAACCAGACTGCCGAACTATGTCATAGTCAGCGACAATTACTTCTGCAGCATCACTCGGGGTTTGGAAAGATCTCACAGTCGCGATAGAGTTGGGCACGTTCCAGATCAGAGCCATCCAGAAAAAGGCCCATGTCTTGATGTCGCGCAAGGCCTCGACCAACTGCTCGCGCTGGAACTTGTTGTTGTGAATCCCGGTGTGGTTTTGGCGGACCATCTCGACCGAGGCGCGTTTTTCCTCTTGATTCAAGAACCATGCTGTGCCTTGGTTGTCCGGCAGCATGAACCACAAGGCAATAGCCCACAGCACAGAGAGGGCTCCAGTGACCAGAAACATCCATTTCCAAGAGGCAATGCCGACGTGGATATGTCCGAGGCCGTACGACAGCAGGCCTCCCACGATCTGGGCGACGCCGTTGAACGAAAACCAAAACCCCATCCTGAGCGGTTGGTCACGTCTGGCATACCATGCGCTGCTGATCAAAATGAAGGCAGGTGTGACACTATAACGAACCCGATGTGTTAGCGACAATGTGCTTGAAAGGGGCAACGGAGCCTGCTTACATTGCTTCTGCCATACCAAGGAAGAAGCGAACAACCATAAGTTTAGCCCAATTGTTGCACACCACGTGCATGAAGAGTATAACTCCCCAGATAAATCTATAACATATCGGTGAGCATCATCTTTGCTGAGACATAGACGGGAGTGGTATTTACACGCTGACTGCCAGGCACTTTGCAGCGGCAAACTTTTGCAGCAGGTGTGCGGCGAAAGGCTGCGTGATCAGATAACCTGCAAGATATTATGACAGAGGCCACACGATCCATTACGACTTACCGAAGTAGAAGATACTGCCCAACCAAGAGTACTCTGTTCCATGAAGCTCCTAGGCACAAATGTTAGAGAAGCTTCCCAAATCACAGAGAGCACAAACAGTGTCTTCGATGATTCCAAAGATGGCTGCGTAGCTCAGAGTCGATTTGTCCAAGAATTGGAGCATTGTTGTCAACCTGCGTATGTTAGCATCATCAGACATCCGCAACACGCAGGACTGCACCTGAGCCTGAGCTCGATGACTGATCGTCAACTTACGCCAGGAGAGGGAGCACCCAAGTGTCCACTTTGCGCAAGGAACGACGTCTAAGTGCTGGCTCGACACTGACATCACCAGTGGTCTCGTTGATGATACGAAGGCCAACGTCGACATCGGCGGTCTCGACCACACCTTTCTGGGGTGGCATTTCAACTTTTGGCTCCTCGGTAGAGCCCACCGCATCCGTGACTTGTTGCTTTTGACCTTCCATGCTGGACATTGGCAGTCGTGAAGAACATTCAGAAACGTTGAGTTGGGCTTCAAGGCAGGGGGCACTCGAAGGGTTTCATACCTTACCACTCACGCGCCATATTACCCGTTGAGATAAGTGGTGGGACTGGCTGTGTGAAGCTGTCGTTTATCAACATTTCGCAGGTCCGGCGCCGGGGCACCGAGCACGAATCAGAGCCTGGAATACATGAGAAATCCCGGCGAAAAATCGCCGGCCCCTTGCCACTTGTGCGTGACGCGGTAATATCAAGATGGTAGATATAGGAGTACTTGGCTGCTCTCGGAACAGCCTTGGCCTCTCTTATCAGCATTCTCATCCGCGTCCTTCTGCGCTATCTCAGAAGATGGGTTCGATTGACACCAACCAAAGCCCACTAACGCATCTGGCCCAGCAGCTCCGCTTGTCGCCTACCCTGCAAATTAACGAACTTGTTCAGAAGAAGCAAGCAGAAGGGTGTCGCGTTGTACACCTAGGCTTCGGAGAAGCGACGTTTCCCATTGAAAAAAATGTTCTCAAAACGCACCGCGAAGCTTGCGAAGAGACAAGTTACCTGCCTGTTGCCGGATTGATGAAGCTTAGAGAGGTCAGTTGCTTTTGGCCGTCGACACCAGGAAGGCGCTGTGTTCAAGTACTGACCTGCTTCTCATAGTCTATTGCCAGATTTCAGGCACGCCGCCTTGGGGTAGCGATCCGAGCGCATCAGGTCGTGGTGGCGCCGGGCTCAAAGCCCCTTCTGTTCGCCCTCTTTGATATCCTGCAAGGAGATGTTTTGCTTCCTCGGCCGTCCTGGGTCAGTTATGAGCCGCAGGTCATGCATGCCGGCAAGCAGCTCTTTTGGGTCGAAACAGACGAAGAAGACCGACACACCATCACCCGTAGGCGCCTTTTTCCTCGCAAGGGTGTCACATTACTCATTGTTTTTTGTTTCTCCAGAATCTGCGCTGCACTCTGCGTTCGATAAGGCTGTTCGTGCAGGCTCGAATCCCCGAGTAATGCTCATCAACAGTCCGTCGAATCCTACCGGGCAGGCTTTCACCAAAGCAAATTTGCAATTGCTGGCAGATTTCTGCCGTGACCGGGGAATCACATTGATTAGCGACGACATCTATTCAGACGTCTGTTTTGGTGACCAATATGGAGCCAGTGCATGCTCAGGTCCGGGGTTCAACGAAGGAAGAAAGATCTTGACAGGAGGCTTGTCCAAGGTAGGAGTGTCCGTTCTCCATCATGTCCTCTTCGCTAATCATCGCGGGCCTAACAGACTTATTCTGCCGGTGGATGGAGGATAGGCTTCGCAATATTCCCCGACAACGCTTTTGGCGAAGAGGTTAAGCAAAGCATCTTGGCATATGCTTCAGAATGTTGGTCGGCAGCATCAGCCCCAGCGCAGGAAGCGGCGGCTGTGGCCTTCTCGACATCGCCGGAGATGGACCTCTACCGCACCAAGGTGACCCAGTTACACCAACATTGTACCTTGACCTTGTATCGTGCCCTTCAAAAGTGTGGTCTTGCAGTCCCGCAGCCAAAAGGGAGTTTCTATCTTTATCCGTCCTTCCATCCCTACACTGCGCAATTGGAAAAATTGGGCGTGACAACAAGCATGGATCTGTCCCGTTGGTTGATCGAAGAATGCGGCATTGCAACTTTGCCAGGGTCTGCTTTTGGTGAGGATGATCTTGGTTTGACAGGCGGACGGTATCGCTTGCGAATGGCGACAAGCTATCTGTATTTCCAGGGGAAGAGGGATCGGTATGAGCGTGGATACGCCTTGCTGGACAGGGCTTTGGATTTCGGTACCAGCATCGAATTGCCGCTGTTGGATGAAGCCATAGCAGCGATTCAGGCAGCTGTCGCGAAGCTAAAAGCAATTTAATCCATGACAGGTTATAGCAAGGAAATGTGAAGAGCGGACATCTGCACATCGTACAGCAGGTCGACTTTGGCTTGTCGTCATGGAATCATATATGATTCAACTTGCTGCCTCATCGCCAACCGTATGTCATGATCCAAGAAAGATATCCGTCCAGTCCTGAGACCTTGTACTGGTTTGTATGTAGGAGTCTTGCCGGTGACCCTGCTCTGGGCCTAGAGCGTCTAGAAAGTCAAAGCCGGACTGGGAAGGGAATATGTTCCAGAAGGTTTGTCCGTTGTCAAAACCTAGAAGGCCACCAAAAGGGTCCATATATGTACTCTCCTGATTGTCAGGCCATACTGTGTCCTGCGATATGTTCGAGAGAGGCCCCATCGCAGCAAGGTTGGGATCGTCCGTCAACTCGGGCATTTGCGGAGTGGCAGTCGAGGTGTTCCTCGTTGTGAGACTTGCCGCAACAGTTTTGAGTGTATCGTTGGCAAGCACTTCGAATTGCGCGTCCAATTTTGATACCAAATCTTCACTCCACCGCTCATTCATAATAGCCATGCACATGGAGCATTTCCTGGTCCAGTTGGCAAAGTCGACCAGGAAAAATGATGTACCAACGTGTGGAACCAGCTTTGAAACAGTAGTTCTCGCCGTTACAAGCATCGTCAGACCGGCGAATAAGATACCTTGAACAAGCATCCACGTTAGTGGGACGTTGCTGGTGCGTAAGACTGTCAGTAGGTTGTCGATATAAGTCCCGGCTGATCGAATACATTGCTCTGCTGATTCGGCCGAAGGGTGTGGGCATAATGGACTAGATCGATGTAACACGAAAGACGTTCCATGATAAAGCCTTTCCAATAGCTACGCCTAGTCAGCAAATCCATCACCCCGGAGGCTATACAAATACCTGAGCGGATAAGACGAGCTTTGTTCTTGCCGGTATATTTCACCCAGACGCGTTCTCCAATCGTCAAGCTCTGCCTGCAGATCCCGTATGACTCGACATCTACTCTCCTGGTCGGGAGGTTGGGCGGGATTTGTAAAATAGACTGACGATATGATCTTGTTCTGAATCATCCTATGTCTGACGTGGTGCACAGCGAGACCGCCCTCGCCTAGACACACTGGCAACTTGGCGGTGATGTGATCATTCACGATGCTAGGCGGCCTCCCAAGGTTATAGGCAAGCGTGGTCTCAATGACATACGCCGTCCAGAATACTCGATTGCGCCGGTCGATATCATCTTCAGTAATCCGCCAGTTACGGTGGGAACAATGAAGACCAAGTTCCACGGCCATCTAGACGCAGTCAGCTCCACCAGACAGCCATGCTTTCCCCAAGATACGTACCCGCATGGCCAGGCCTGCAAGCTGCCATTGACTCAAGCCACTAGGTCCATAGGAGCTATAAATGGAAATCAACAGGAGTATCTGTATGAGGGACATGCTTGGACGGAGATGTTGTACGTTATGTTCGAACAAATCGAGTGCTGTTCCATAAAGAAGGCTTGCAGATGGCAGAGAGCACCTCGGTGGTGCTGCATTTTGGGATTCTTTGAACGTATTTGTGACATTGGTGGTACCCAAGGCCATCACAAGGTAGAAGATAATAATCTCACGGCTTTGCGCAAAATCTTCCGTCCGAGGGGTGGTTTGAAAGTTCTCGCATCTTCCGACAAGGCTGTTCAGATCAGTATGCGTGAACAGTGGGTAAAGAGGCAATATCCAGAGTTTGAAGGAGCGAGTGAGCAATCGAATAGACTCTGGGGAAAGGATTTGATTCAGGTTGGTCACGTTGACCGCCCTTTCGTTGCTGTTGGAATTATCAGTGGTACTTGAAGGACCACCTCGGTTGTTCTGAGCCGGCACGCACGATCGAGCCAAAGAAGCAGCGTAGCTGGCAAAGAATGAACCGGAAGAGGGGCCAAGATAGCGCAGCTCTCCAGTGGCGTTCAGAGCGAGCAAGCCTGTCTCGGGGGCATCCATATTGAGGGGACTTTCGAGAGTGGTGTCATCTTGCCCGACCTGATGATTCTCTGGAGCAAATGTCTGCACAGGTTGATCTTGTCGGGTGAGCTGGGTGGGTGTCGTGTGGGCCGCCACGATATGGCCATTAGCCCTCCTCAACACAGGTCCTAGAGAAGTACCTGTTTTGAGGGAACGGCAGTCGACATTGAAGACTGAGGCAAGCTCGTCCTCGAGCCATGACAACCTTTTCCTTGTGTGGTTGTACACCCTGGCAACGAGTGAGCAAATCTCCCTTGGGTCAGTTTCATCACCCACTCGATGCGTTTGAGTCTAGTGTATGGTTCACATGGTGTACCAGCTTCTGTACAATTCTGACATTCGGACGTGCCGTCACACTAGAAATGGTCAAACGTGCCGCCATTTGACTCTGACGAGATACTGACCCTGATTTTCTTGAAATGACATCGAGTACAGGCTCTGACGATACCGCTCGCCATGGTCAGGAGAGCATGCAACTCTTCGGAGGTTCAGCGCCGAGTCAAGGAGGAGCAGGGACAAGAAGAAGAAGAAAATCAGACACGGTTGAGGCTAGGTACTGTATCCGCCAATGCCTCAGACGCTTTATCGTAGGTGATCGGTATCATAAATGGTGTTTAGTCACACCAGCATCCACTTCTTGTACCTTCGTTACCAGCCACTAGTCAGTTGGCATCCGGCGTTTTATCGCCGAAGCACGGTTGCCCTAACCCATTGGTGGTATCATGGGTGCAGTAGGTCAACGTTCTACCACATGTTGTCGTGGCCTTCCGAAGAGAGTTCGCAGTGATACAAGCACAAATATTTGTACTATGGGCCGAAGCTGGTGGCGTGCACACATGACCTGCATGCGCCTTTTGTCTAAACGGAGCCATGGAATGGGAGGCAGCCATTCTGAAGAAGAAGGCTCAAAGGACAGCATCGATCCAGAAGTTCTCCAGGCTTGAGAAGAGCGCAGAGAGATCTACATTTGCCGAACATCTTGTAGGCAATGTGGACGTACCGACCTTAACAAAGCTGTATGCGGAAGGCAATATCACTGTTGAAGATATAGTCGTCGCTTTCATTGCACGGTGAGACCGTCTCCTTGTCTCAATCCCGTGAAGCCGGCTGACCGACCTGCGGTTAGGGCAATCTCTGCGCATGAAGAGGTGCGTCCTTCTTCTCACAGATGACACTGCTAACCTCGAGCGAGACCAACTGTTTGACCGAAGTGCTCTTCGAAAATGCCTTGCAACAGGCTCGCGAACTGGACCGCTATCATCGGCAGCACAGAGAGCTTATCGGACCACTTCATGGGGTACCCGTGTCTCTCAAGGACCAATTCGACATCGCTAGCGTCGATACCACGTTTGGCTATGTCGGTCGATCATTTCAGCCGGCCGCGAAGGACGCTACTGTTACCAAGATCCTCAAAGATCTAGGAGCAGTGATTCTCACCAAGACAAATGTGCCGCAGACTATTTTGGTAAGACTTCTGCCACTGGAAGCGCATCCTCTGCTCATACAACGGACCAGTGGGGGGAGACAGAGAATCCAATATGGGGCCTGACCACCCTGCCGCACAAGCCAGCTTTCACCGCTGGAGGCTCATCGGGAGGTGAGGCAGCTCTCTTGGCCCTCGACGGCGCGCTTTGTGGCTGGGGAACGGATATTGGCGGATCAATCCGAGGCCCAAGTCATTTCAATGGTCTCTTCGGCCTGAAACCGACGGTTCGAATGACATTTGAAGAGTATGGCCAACATTCTGACCTTAATACAGAGTAGCCGAATCTCGCATTGGGGCGTCCCCGGGCCCCACGAAGGACAAGAACATGTACCATCGTCAGTGGGACCCATGTCGAAGCGATTGACATCGCTGGTCGCCGTTACCAGAGCAGTCTTGAACGCGCAAGGGTGGCTCAGCGACCCGAAGGTCGTTCCGATACCGTGGCGTGAAGGTCTTTATCTCGAGGTACAGACACGCCGTCTCAAGATCGGACTGATACTCGATGATGGGATAGTAAAGCCGCACCCACCTGTAGAACGCGCAGTGAAGGAAGCCGCTGCTCTCCTGCGCAATGCCGGCCACGAAGTCATCATTTGGGATACGTCGGAGCACATGGGTTTCATCGAAATACAGGTGAGCTGGCTTCAGTCTATGTCCAACGTACCGTTTTAACAGCTTGCATAGGATCAATTCTATAGGGCTGATGGAGGGGAGGACATCCGTCGGGACATCTCTGCAGGAGGCGAACCGATGATACCGCACGTCGAAGCTCTTGTCGAGAGCAGCAAGGCCATCTCGGTGTACGAGTACTGGCAACTGAACAAGGCAAAGATGCTGGCTCAACAAGCGTACAATGAGAAGTGGACCAAGTCAGGTGTCGACGTCTTGTTAAGCCCTGTGGCGGGACATACTGCTTTACCGCATCGATGCTTCCGGTAAGTTTTCTTTCTAGGCCATATCTTGACCAGAGCATGTGTTGACAGCTTTGACCCCCAATAGCTATACAGGGTACACCAAAATCTGGAACTTCCTAGATTATACGGCAATGTCGTTTCCGTTCACGACGGTCTCGGAAGATCTCGACTCGGAGGACATATCCCGTACATCAGGCACAGACACAAGCGCTTTGGACGAGGTCCGTAACCCGCTCGATACCTATAATCAGGGCTTGTGGGATCTTGCCTCCATGAAAGGTCTACCGGTCGGAGTACAGATCATCGGAAGACGGTTTGATGAAGAAAAGGTCCTGGGGGTGGCAAAAGTTCTTGAAAAAGAGATCGAGAAGCAGAAACAAGTATAAGTCCTTAGACCAAGCCTATTTGATATATTTCTTTTGTAATTATAGTGTCACGGAACAAGCCCAATGGTGGTCACCTGACTAGCACGTGACCACCTACACGTTATCGTGATGACGCTAAGCCCCATTTGGTATTTATGGCCAGCGCAACTCTCTTCATAGTCCTTTGTACAACAATTTACTCTTTCAAAAATGCCTCTCTTGCTCCGAGTCGAGCCGAGAGAAATAGATCATCTCTTATCTTAGAGAATTAAGACATATATTAGCGCCCTCAGCTATATCTTATCTTTGTGGACTTACTCTTTATAAAGAAGACTCTTCTAACTTAATTAGACGTACAATATCTTATCATGTAACCTCCTCGACGTCTTTTCTAAACTATTATCGAACGCGCCGAGGCGCTAGACCATTTGGCCCCCCATGACTGGTGAGACACGGGTGATCGCTCACCCCGGCTTGCGCCAAGCGAGGCGAGCCAGGGGTGAGCATAGGGCGGCATCATCTCCGCCCCCAAAGGGGAGAGGTGCATTCGGGGCAGTTTTTACGCATCTTGGCGAATATCATGGTGATGCATGTCCGCCCGTGCCTTGAGAGTCCGCGGAATTTCATGGACCAGACGCCGTAGTAGCCACCATTTGTTCATTTCCGTTTCCCAAGGCACTGAATTGACAAGATGTCTGGTATGTATGCGGAAGCCTGTTTCATGTCTCTTCTTTACTAACACCCTGGCAGCAACACAGCTCTTAAACCCCAAAGCGGACTCCCGACGCCGAGGCGAGGCCCTACGGATCAACATCAACGCAGGCGAAGGACTACAAGATGTGCTGAAATCAAACTTGGGTCCTTCGGGCACACTCAAGATGCTGGTCGACGGATCCGGGCAGATCAAACTGACCAAAGACGGAGCGGTATTGCTGAAAGAGATGTCGATACAAAACCCGACAGCAACCCTAATCGCGCGAGCGGCCACTGCCCAAGACGACATTACGGGCGATGGAACGACGTCGGTAGTTCTCATGATCGGAGAGCTTCTCAAACAAGCGGACCGGTATATTCAAGAAGGCCTGCATCCGCGGGTGATCACGGATGGATTTGAGATTGCGAAGAACGAAACACTCAAATTTTTGGACGAGTTCAAAATCACCCGTCCTATAGACCGGGAACTATTGTTGTCCATTGCCAGAACATCATTATCGACCAAGATCAACTCTGCGCTCGCGGAACAACTTACCCCATCGATAGTCGACGCCGTGCTGGCGATTCACCGACCACCTAACAAGCCTGACCTGCATATGATTGAGATCATGAAACTGCAACACAAACTCAGTTCCGACACGCAACTCATCCGCGGTCTTGTTTTGGACCACGGCGCCCGTCATCCAGACATGCCGAAACGCGTCGAGAACGCCTACATTTTGACTCTGAACGTGTCGCTCGAGTACGAGAAGTCGGAAATCAATTCGGGATTCTACTACAGCAGCGCGGAACAGCGGGACAAGCTAGTCGCGTCGGAGCGACGGTTTGTAGACGAGAAGCTCAAGAAGATCGTGGCACTGAAAAACGAAGTGTGCGGATCAGATCCGAAGAAGGGATTCGTCGTCATCAACCAGAAAGGAATTGACCCTTTGTCGCTGGACGTGTTGGTCAAGAACGGCATTTTGGCCTTGAGGCGTGCCAAGCGCCGCAACATGGAACGGCTCCAACTCGTGTGTGGCGGTCAGGCACAGAACAGCGTGGACGATTTGGATCCTTCCGTGCTGGGCTGGGCAGGGCTAGTGTACGAGCACACATTGGGAGAGGAGAAATACACTTTCGTCGAGGAAGTCAAGGACCCGAAATCCGTGACGCTCCTAATCAAGGGTCCCAACCAGCATAGCATTACGCAGGTCACCGATGCCGTCCGCGACGGCCTGCGCAGCGTCTACAATGCCATTGTGGACGGCTGCGTCGTCCCGGGCGCCGGATCATTCCAGATCGCCGCTGCAGCCCACCTTTCGTCCGAAGCAGTCCGCAAGTCCGTCAAGGGTAAAGCTAAATGGGGTGTTGCTGCTTTCGCTGATGCCCTGCTTATTATTCCAAAGACCCTTGCTGCCAACAGTGGGCATGATATTCAAGATGCTCTCGCTGCCTTGCAGGACGAGTATGCCGAGGGCAATATTGCCGGCTTGGATCTGGTCACTGGAGAACCAATGGATCCTGTCCAGGAAGGCGTCTTTGATAGCTTCCGTGTCTTGCGCAACAGTATCGCCAGCAGTCAAGGCATCGCTAGCAATTTGTTGCTGTGTGACGAGTTGCTCAAGGCCCGTCAGATGGGAAGGCAACCTGGACCCGGTGCAATGGATCAGGAATAAAAAAGGGAAAAGGAAAGAATACCCCCTAGATTTTTGTACAAACAAATCGAATCGAATCGAATCGAATCGATAAGTTGTTGCTGATGACAACGCTCATCACACGGAAACTTGCACGGCTTTTGTGATAATATCACTGCAGCTGGGTTATGGTCCTTCATTTTGTGCTGCCCCTTCAACGCGAAGCAGGAGCCCGCAAAATGGTAGGATTCCAGAAACAAACCGCCCACCAAGTCGACAGACGGACGAAGACACCTGTAAGCCGCATCCTGCCACTCTGCTTGCGACATGATTCTACACAAATCGAGGCAGAGAGAACAGCCCTACCTTTTTGCACTGCCAGTGGCAGCACACTATGCATACATGGCAGACGCGGGATGAGAGAGGAGCGATAGAATAAAAGTCAGAGCCGCATTTAAGTGGACGCTACAAGACCAAAGAGAAGCGCGGCAAAAGCTGTGGAATTGAGTGGTCTGGCTCTTCTCGCCTTGCTTCTAGAGATAACGAAGAAAATGAAGAAGCGAAGCGAAGAGAAGTGGAAAAGCGGAACAGCTTCTCTGCGGTGCCTATACCTATCCTTCCTGGCCAAATCAAAACCACCTTCAACTTGAAGATGGCAAACTAAAAGCTAGTCCGGTTTTTTTTCCTTCCCTTCGACTCATTAACTGATGTCTACAATGTAATGCAATCAGCTCGAAAACCCCCGGTAGGGTAAGCTCGACTAGCTCATGATAGTGCGCACCCATCATTTTCAGGTTCAAGTTGTGATGTTTTGTTCTAGGATCGAAAGGTCAAATAGTCGGCGGCCTAAATTACACAACAATGCAAAATTAGAAAACGTGTCTTCTCTTCCAGGAATATTCCAACCGCAGTGTAAGACATACCTTATCAATATTGTAGTCGAACTTTTCCAAAGCAGCCAAACTCTCTTCACGAGACCATCCCATTGCAGTCAGCCGTTTGAGAATAGGATCGTCGTGTTCGGTCCCCATACTGAGAGCACGCCCTGGTTGAGGCCGTCCGCTGCTCTTGGGTGCCGCCAAATTGGAAGTTGGTGGAGCAGAAGGAGATGTCGTCGGAGTTGCGGCAAATTCAGAGTCTCTCGCCGACGCCGTAGAATCTCCGCCTTGCACTTGCACATTTGGAAACTCCGTCGCTGCTGGTGTGTTCGAACTCAGGGGCGCGAAAAGTGCGTCCCAGTCATGAGATACAGACGAGGCTGATGCAGGTTGCGCACCACCGCCAGTGCTTGTTGCCGCCGCGGGCAGATTAGTCTTGAAAAAATCATCTCCACCAGCAGGTGTCCGAGTCACAGACTCATACGTGGAATGATGAGGAGGAGTGGTCAAAGTTTGAGATTGGGCCGGTGAGTCAAAGGTCGGATCAAAGTCTGTCGAATTCTGAGCCGGATTGAATACATCGGCGTCATTGTCATCGTCATCATCCTCCTCAACGGGAGCAGCGCCCACTCCTTCAAAGGCGGAGTCAAAATCAAAAGGTGCAGCTTTCGTAGGCGGCGGTGTTGTTGCCACTTTCGCCTCTGATGGGTCCCTCTCATGGACTTCCGGACCATAAGAAGGAGGGCTTCCCGGAGGAGGAGGTGCGGGATTTGTAGATCCGCCAGCCGTAGGATGAGTTACAGTAGGATCCTCCCTTTGGGGCAACAGCCCTTCATACTCCCGTGGGAAATGGGTTGGATTGTTCTGCGGTACTGAATCGCCATAACTCGGAGGAGAAGCTTGTCGGTCGGCAGGCGGTAGAGAGCTAGTCGTTGAAGTCGGCCCTGTCAGAGCAGGCCGGGGAGCTAGCGAATCGTTGTTGGGAGGTTGGACTTCTGGTTTCTTCTCCGCTGCGGTATCGGTCTCAGTTGGTCCTCCTCGAGGTGGTGAGGTGGCGTTGAAGTCGTCCTCGAACTTCAGAGGCGTATCCTGGCTGTAGTCGCTACTATCATCATCATCGTCACCTGGATCAAGCTCTTGGATATCCGGAAACTCCTTGTTAGTTGTTCTTTCAGGCCCGTTCGTTGCTGAAGTCTGTGAAATGCCTGCGAACGCAGAGTCAAATTCTGCAGCCTTTTGTGATGCCGTGCGCTGATGTGCGGGACCCCCAAAAAAGTCGTCAAAATTCTGCTCAGAAGGTTTTGGTTGTGTTGTAGACCCAGGGCCAGTTTTAGACCCCACCTCTCCGTTGGCTGTGCTGGCAGCGGGTGTCTGAGCCTGAGAGTCAGTCGGGAACGCGCCAGGAATGTCGTCGGGTCCAGGCTCCTCTGCAGACGGCTTGCCAGAAGCCGCCGGTTGGGGCAAAGTTCGCCGGATAGACTCTTGTTCTTCGTCGGGTCCCGCGGCCGTAAAGGGATCCTCTGTCGAATCCTTGTTTCCCGTTGCACTCGAGGCATCAGTGGTGGGAGTTAGTGCTCGTGGAGTATCAGCCGGACTTAGTCGACTAGCCGGCAAGGCCACTTTGACAGAAGAACTAATCGAGTCCTGTCTGTCTAATGGCTTGCGAAAGGGCAGTGCTGCAGATGTTATCTGCCCGGCCTGGCCTGGTGCGGGCGGGTCCACCATATCCGGTGGTGCAGAAGTGGAACTGGGAGCTCCGGTCTGGGACGTAGTGGCCGAGCCCACAGAAGGCGATTCTGCCCCAGAGAATGAGACAGGAGGCGCAGGTGCGGAAGTGTTGGAAGTAGTGAAAGATGGTCCGAAGATGCTGTCAAAAGCACTCTGATTGTCCTTTGTGTTGTCTCCACTAGATGCGGGTGGGGATGTTGCCTCTGCCGGCCGTCGGAAGAATGGATTCGAACTCGTGGATGGAGTTGGGCTGGCAACAGGAGGGCTAGCAACCGGAGGGCTAGCAACCGGAGGCCTCTTAACCGCAGGAATGGGAACGTTTCGTGCTTGTTCCAGCTCCAACTGCTTCTGTGATTCTTCAACCTGTCGCGCAGACTCCTCGGCCTCCCGGTGAGCGTCTTCAAGTTGTTTCTGGGCCGCCGCAATCTCGGCTTTCAGCCTGTCTCTCTCGGCCTCGTTGGTGGCAAGCTGCTTCTTGTTGATCGCTACCAGGCCCTTCTGCTGCCTTGCTTCAGACTTCAGTTTCTCTAGTTGGGGTTTGAGCTGTTCGATCTCCTGGTTCGTCTGGCGAATTCGCTCCTTCAAAGCCGCATTTTCTCGTTGGTCCGACTCTAGCCCAGCACGCAATTGTTCGTGCTGCGTCGACAGATCTTGATGGGTGCCATCGAGCATTGCCATTTCCTGCTGGATCCTCTTATTTTCATTCTTCACTGCGTTTAATTGCTCTTGCAATGCTTTGACTTCTTGAGCTTCTTTTTCATATAGTGACCTCAGTTGGGCTAATCGCGATTCGAATGCCTGCTTCTGTGCCGTCGTGTGGGACAAATCCTGTTCCGTTTGTTTTCGAGTGCCTTGCAGTTCTGTCATCTGTTTGGACAGACTGCTGACTTGATTCGACAGATTGCCGAGTTCGCTGGTCTCGTGAGTCAGTTTTGCACTGACCTCGGGGTCCGCATCGCCCAGCAAGTCATCGTTGGGCGCCGGTGGTGACTTGGCTTGAACAGGAGCAGGAGACCCGGTTGACTGAGGAAGAATGCTCTGGCCAAATGAGCTGGAGGGTACAAATGGTTTGAAGGTGGATGAAGTTGCTTGTGGCGAGATGGGTGCTGTAAACGCCGGTGTGTGCGCAAACCGGCCATCAGTGCCACCCGTGGATTGAGGAGCCTGCGATGGGGCCGGTAGAGACGGCTGGGTAGCGGCAGGCACACTGGGTGCAGCCTCAAAGGCGTCCAAGCCAAAGAGGTCATCAGCAGCCGACCTCGATTTTGTAGCAGCGGGAGCAGCTTCGAATGATGGCGCAGTCGGCTGCGAGGGAGCTACTGGCTGTTTCCGCATACTCGGCGGAACAAGAGACGCTGGAAGAGCCGGAGGGAGGTTGCCTCGTCCATCTTTCGTACCTCGCTGTTGGCGTATCAAATACATGGCCACAGCAAATTCGTCTCTAGTCAGCTTTCCGTCCGAGTCAATGTCAGCAAGGTCCCAGATCTGGGCCAGTGTCTCTTCAGGTAGCCGGGCATTGCTAAAGAATTCCACTGCCTGGTCCCCATCAATAAACCCTCTTCCCTGGCGGTCGACTGAAGCAAAAACGGTATCAAAGCGGGCTTTTTCAGCAGGTGAAATGGCCCACGCCTCGCCAGTTGATTGCGCTGACAACGGAGTGGCAACTTGCTGTCTGGTGATGGGGCTCTGTGGACGGGCGTTATAACCGGTGAATTGCTGGGTCATCGCGCTGGAGCCTGGTCGTGAGCCACCAGCAACCCGAGGAGGAGGCCGACGAGAGGCAGCTTCGTAAAGACCAGGAGGTAATGTACTGGGCACGCCGCGCATTTGTCCAGACTTGTAGGAAGCCAAGAGGTGCATGGCAATAACGAATTCGGTCACATTCAAGGCTCCCCTATTCTGGGTATCTGCCAGGGCCCATATCTTCCCCAGCACCTCATTTGGCAGTCGTGCCTTTTCAAATATCTGTTTTGCAACCAGTCCAGACAAAAGACCGTTCTCCGCCCCCGACTTGTCGAACATGGCTGAGTACTCTGCGATCTTGTCCGGACTTAATGCTGGTACTCGGATTGGCAAAGCGCCTGCGGGAGTGGGACTGGGCGGAGGACCGGTAGATTGTTGAGGAATGGGTTGCGGTGTCTGTTCGGCATGGATTGGATCGAACCGTGGCAACGGCGCCGCTGCAATCAAGTTAGAAAATGAACCTTCCCAGTCACTGGCAGACATCGATCATACTCTGAGTAGCGAGCTGCGCCGAAGGCGGTCGGCCAGCTTGCGCATGACCGATTAATCGTAGAACAACTCCGAACCCGGCTGGAGTGAGGAAACCTCGATTTTCCGTGTCGGCGATCTGCCAGATCTGTGGATGGTCAACATAGACTCCAGTTGCACATCAAGACCAGTATATGCCTACCTGTCCTAGCACATCTGCCGGGAGCTTCGTCCGCTCGAAGAACTTGACAGCAACATCGCCAGAGACAGCGCCGAATCCCTCTGGATCCGCCTCCTTCAGTAGTTGCGCGTATACTCGTTTCTCTTCAGGCGTCAGGTTGAGATTCGGATGACCTGGAATCATGGAGTCAGTGATGTATGTCCCCCTCCAACTTCTCTACGACACGGACGGACCTGAGCCTGATGAACCAATCGTGTCCGCCATCGCAGTGTATCAATCACCGATTGTTTCGACTGCGCCGTTTGAGGAGATCAAGACTAGACACTACGCGCGCTTGACGAGGGCATTGAAAAAGAAGACGCTGCTAGAAAACGCAATTGCGCTCAATCGAAGCACTTGGGCAAGTCAATATGTGAGGACCAAACGAGGATGAATCGAGTCGAGGCAGAAATGGCTGGGGGACTCGGATTGATGTTCTTCAGGCTGGGGCCTCAAGTCCGCTATGACGAGCGATGCCAGTACCTTGGGAGGGCAGCTCCAACAGCTAAAGTACAGTAGTCACGTCTACCGTAGGCGCTACCCGTGCTAAAGCGGACCTCCTGCTACTGCAACCAATCATGGCTTGCTAGTACGTACCCTAGTCACTACCGAGCAATTTTAAGGGCTTTAGTACCTGGCCTGCGTCTTTCTGTTTACATCCCATAACTGAGCGATCATTTCTCGACACCGTCGGGCGAATTGGCTTCCCTGTTTACCACGAATAATTTGATACGAGGCCAAAGACAGGCAACCCGAGTGCCTGTACCTAGTAGTTCGACAAAATATGTTCGTCTCGCAGAGACCAATTTGAATTCAACAAGGCGCCCGATGCTGTAGAACAAAGCCATCGTTTAGACACGATTGGCTCCTGCGCTCCTGCACTCCTTCCCAAGCCCACAAGGCCAGACCTAACACGCATTACAGACTGAGAACTAGTGCTCAAGCTCAGAACCATCGCCTTCCTCAATAGAATCACTGGCGACCTCCTCGTAGTCACGCTCCAGGGCAGCCAGGTCCTCGCGTGCTTCGGAAAATTCACCTTCCTCCATACCCTCGCCAACGTACCAATGAACAAAGGCACGCTTCGAGTACATCAAGTCGAACTTGTGAGACAGAGCGGACCAAGCCTCGGCAATAGCAGTGGTGTTGGAAAGCATGCAGCTACAATAGACATTAGCCTTGTGTTTTTCTCTGAGGAATGGTGCAGAGGGTACTTACACTGCACGGTTGACCTTAGCCAAGTCGCCATTTGGCACCATCTGAGGAGGTTGGTAGCAGATACCAATCTTAAAGCCAGTGGGGCACCAGTCGACGAACTGAATTGTGCGCTTGGTCTTGAGCGTTGCAACAGCCTGGTGCACGTCGTTGGGGACGACATCACCACGGTACAGCAAGCAGGTTGCCATGTATTTGCCGTTGCGTGGATCACACTTGACCATCTGGTTATTGGGCTCGAAGCAGGACATGGAGATCTCTTGGACCGAATGGGCCTCATGCTGTGCTTTAGCAGCGGACACCACAGGGGCGTAAGCAACTAGAGGGAAGTGGATACGAGGGTAGGGGACAAGGTTGGTTTGGAATTCTGCCAAGTCGACGTTGAGGGAACCGTCGAATCGGAGCGAAGCCGTAATGGAGGACACAACTGGTATCAACAGTTAGCTAAGAACTAACAGGTGTCTGATAGATCGTACCTTGAGCAACCAGTCTGTTCAGGTTCTCGTAATCTGGCCGCTCAATGCCCAGGTTGCGGCGGCAGATGTCGTAGATTGCTTCATTGTCGACCATGAAACTGCAGTCGGAATGTTCCAACGTGGTATGCGTAGTCAGGATCGAGTTATATGGCTCGACAACGGAGGTAGCAACCTGTGGTGCAGGGTACACGCAGAACTCGAGTTTGCACTTCTTGCCGTAGTCCACGGACAGACGCTCCATCAGCAGTGCGCCGAATCCAGAGCCGGTACCGCCGCCGAAAGAGTGAAAGACAAGGAATCCCTGAAGTCCACTGCAGTTGTCGGCAACTCGGCGGACCTTGTCAAGAACCTGATCGATGAGTTCTTTGCCCACGGTGTAGTGTCCTCGTGCGTAGTTGTTGGAAGCATCCTCCTTGCCAGTGATCATCTGCTCGGGGTGAAATAGGTCTCTGTATGGGCCGGTTCGGACCTCGTCGACGACGTTGGGCTCGAGATCGCAGTAGATGGTGCGAGGGACATATTTGCCGTTACCTGGTCGAATTGTCAATCATCGGTACGAAGCATCAAATCCACAGCGGTGTGAACGAACCGGTCTCCGAGAAGAAGGTACTGAAGCCTTGGTCCGGCTCGGCGGCTTTGCGTTCCTCGGTAAGATAACCATCGGGCTGGTTCACGATCAGTACATGGGTCAGCCAGTTGGAGGACAGTACCACTCACCTGGATTCCGTGCTCAAGGCAGTAAAGCTGCGACCAAATCAGTCAATACACGCACACAGGGCAAAAGCTGACGGTAGCTGTACCTCCCAGCATGAGTTGGCAATTTGACAGCCAGCCTGGCCGACTATACACCTCTCAGTTAGTCTATCGTCGAGATCATGGAGTCCGCAGGGAGACAGGGGCTTCGAGGGACTGGGCATCCGACGCGTTGTTTGGATTGGGCCTACCGTTGAGACTGATAACTTCTCTCATCGTGACGAGGTTCGGTGTAGGCGCAAAGATGAACGATTGAACTGAATAATGGAGATGCCACCCGATACTAAGACGGCAAGGACAATGGAATGAAGAATTGGTCGGGATTGTTGACTGCGGTCGAGGATGGATGTGATTATTGTGGGGGTGTTTCTCTTTGGCTGCAGACTACGGCTGGATTTGTTGACAGTGCGCGACTTCTCCTTGAGGTCCCCTTCACCGCCTGTCCCTGCAGTGGTGGCGTCAGAACCAATCAGAAATAAACGGCGGAAACGCGTCGGATCATCACGTGATCGCCCCTTCAGCCCAATCCAGCTTGTGAGTCCAGGTTTCGAGTGACGGCACTGTCGACCGTATCCGAGCCCAGGGATACATTATTTACCTGAGGTACGCCCACCTTATACCAGAACATCAGTCGTTGTATAAGTACCTAGGTATACCGCCAGTGCTCTAAGAACAAAGTTCCCAGTCATGGCACATCAAATAGTCATGCGAGTCATTGCGTGCCTGTTCTGGCTGCAATGCGTACTAGTATACGCCAACGTCGAGAAGATCATCTTCCTTGCACCCTCTGCTGAACCTCCCCCAGCTGACGCCAGCATCGACAACCTGCTGTTAGCACCTCTCTCTGAACAATTTTCCAGCGTGCGCACGCAGGTCAACGCGAGCTTTCCAACCCCAGATTCGCCCAAAGGCACCGAGAATTGGTTTCTCCTCGAGGGCCTAGTTCCAGGCCGACGGTACGAAGTCCGCATCTGCTGGTTGGCCACAGTAAGTCCGGACTATGCACACTGCATCGGTGCATCCTCCTACAAGTACTATGACATTGACCATTACAGCAACCCACTTCCTTCTGGCTCTACACATACAAGGTGGCGGAGGTTTTTGAGGACCCGGCCCTTTTGACCTCTCTGAGTGCATATGCCTATGCTCGCCACGAACAACTCTGGGCGGAAGACATCCAACGACTGCAGTCGCGGAAGGTCGACCGCAATCTTGGGAGCACAGAGTCCACATTTCTTTTCTTACAGGTCTTTGCTGCCGCAGACTATTTTAGTCTCAATCGGACGTTGATGGACTCTGTGCCCCCTGTAGCGGTGGATGTCATCTTGGACCCTTGTTTGCTCAATATCCTGCCAAAGTCGTTACTTCCCACGGGGTTATACCTGCTAGTCATCGCATGTGTGGCGTGGTTCGTTTCAGGCCGAGTGGTCCGCTTCATCAGCAGTTTTAATGCGACGGCGCATGAAACAGCCATTTCGAAGAAATCAGACTAGGTCGGTCCGTCCCCACTTCAGGTCCCAACCATCTGAAAAGGATCCTGCAACTGGTCAAACTCGGTCATCAATGAAAAGAGCGGAAACTCTTCTGCATAGGACGGCAGACTCGGCACGCCCGATCCATCTGGCGAGAGATAGGCAGTATCCGGCGGCATCGTACCAAAATCATGACGCGGCAACGGTGGGATAGGCTGGTCGTTGGAATCTTCACCAGCGTAGGCGAGCGCTCCGGATGTGGTGAGTATTGGACCGCGGCTTTCAGGTGGCATGTCAAAGCGCAATTGCCATGGCGGCGCTGACGGATCCACGTCAGGTTCGGCGGTATCAAAGCGGCCATTGTGCTGCAGTCCGGCCACAGACGGCCCGGCTGGCGTTTGATTGCCTGTGCTCGGGCGGTTCGACCTCACACCATCATCTTTCTCGACAGGATCGCCAAATATGTCATGGATATCTTGTCTCCGCTTCTGCAGCTGCTTCTCGTCCCTCCTTCTGATGTGTTCGAGAGCGGCCAGATGGAGATGCCTTGTGATGGTATCATGCCGGCGCGCGGATAAGTCATCCTTGCTCATGATGGCCAAGATGGACTCCGCCTGTGTAATGCTGCTCAGCAACGGAAAGGACTTGTCGAAGTCACCGAAGATCGCAAAGCCTATCACCATGGCGGAAATGAAGACAATGTTGGCAATCATGAACAATCTCTTGGGCACCCCGGGCATATGCACCAAGTCCGTGGCGATCTCGATACTTCTCAAAGCGGCATCAATGCATGCTTCGCTCAGAGTCATAGTGACGGAGTTACCCGCCATGTCATCGTCGTGCCGGCCTTTGACCTTGGAGGAAACTTTGAAGATGAGGAATGGCCTCGTCAACAGGATGATGGACCAATAGTACGCGCCCTTGAGATGTGTAATGCCGATGGTCTGCCTCAAGGTCGGGGCTTCGGTTCCGGCCTTCTGGTCAAGACTGTCGGCCTGCAGGCCGGCCGGTAACTGGGCCGTCCAGTCACGGTATTGGCGAGATATGCTCTCGACGAGCTGGACGGATACCTCGCGGCGACAATAAACCTCATTCAAGATCCGCTCAAAGATGAAGCAGATCCGGAGGGTAGCCGACTTATTTCGTCCCTTCATCTGAATATCTTCATAGTCTCCAGTGGAACGGTTCCACGAAACGCTGCCACCGTCAACCTCCGACGTGGCAGGCGGCCGCCCGAGCGACCCGCTCATGTACAGGTCAAGCACTCGCAAACTCTTCCACACTCTTTCACGCGCCATCCGTTCGCGTGGCTCGAATAAATTTGATATGTCGCCCCGGTGTAAGCCTAAAGCATAGGCTGCGCGCACCGCGATTCCCATCAGCATGAACGCGCCGTTACGTCGGACCGCCGACAGCATATAGAACGTAATCAGCGCATAAGCCTGGATAGTCAGCACACTAGGGTCCTCGAGGAAGCTCGAGACCCCAATCTCCTGTCCACGCTGGAAATAAAACTCGGCCAATTCTAGATCCGCTTCGGACGAGCTTCTGGTGAGCGCTCCGATCGCCAGGACTAGGTAGTAAATGGAGCTGTTAAAGTCCGTTTCGGCCGCAGCGTCACGAGTCCAGGCACACAGGTGCTCTGTAATCTCATCAGGATCAAATAGATCGATTAGCCCGCTCGAAGCCAATAAGTAGTGTTTGATCAAGTCCAGCGCCTCTGCCTCACTCGGTTTTGGGTGCTGAGCCTGAAAGGCCGTCGGGGGCTTGCGTGGCGGTATGACTTCACACATAGCATGGCGCAAGGGGTCCGAAGTTAATGGACAGTCACCGATTTCCGACTTGACCAGACGGCGAATGTTCTGCACAAAGGCCAAGTTGCTAGAGTCGCCAACAAACAAAAACTTGCCCCGTCCGTCGCGCAGCAATCGGGCCAGTTTCGGCACAGGTGCTTTGGACACAACGCCGTCCATGTCGTAAGGAGTTTCTTGATGGGGGTATTTGTGATGGGTTTTGGCGTAATCGGCAGCAGGATCATCGTCGACAACTCCTTCTCGAGGAGATTTGGCCGCCGCGCTGCGAGTGCCCCCGGACAATGTGAGAAGAGACTCGATGGCAATCTCGGCGTCGTTGTGAGGTGATGTTTCGCCGGTCAGCAGCCCGTTCTGTAGACTCATGTCAGTCGGCGGCTGGGCCTGGAACTGCGGAGCCTGCTGAGCCTGCTGAGCCTGCTGGTTGGAGGTCGAGGTTGGTATTGCCGAAGTCACGCTCAAATTAGTCGTTTGTTGTTCGAGCTGTGGAAAGGACGAGGTGGAAATGGACGTCGGCGAGGGTCCTCCTCCTGCGCGTGCTGCTCCTCGCTTCGAGAAAGCGTCGGTGAAGACGCATTCTGGATCGCGCCCCCGTCGCTTGCATAGCAGACAGGGCTGCTGGCCGTCGCACTTTTCTTTGCGTCGTTTGCATCTGTCACAGGCCCGAGCCACGCGCTTGCGGTCTTCGTCTTTGACTCGTGGGCGAGGCATGAGATAGAAAAACAAGACCCACCACCCCAGGCTTCACTAGAACCGCTGCAGGCCGGGGAGCGGAGGGCGGGGAAGAATAGCCTCGCAGTACTATTAGCTGAGCCGAGGCTGGTACCCCTTGCAGGAAGCACCAGGGCAACACACCCAGCGGGTATTCGACAAGACTCGAATCCGGTAGGAAGGGAACGAGCACCGGGAGTTGTACTGGTTGAATTGAGGTGATAGTGTGGGAGAGATGCGTGGTGTGCGCGAAGTCGGATGTAGCACCTTTTTGACAAGAACAGGGTGAGCGAGAGAGGAGAAAAGCGTCGGAAGTGGGTGCACACATGAACAGTAACTGACACCTGTGACTGGATGCCACTGGCAGCAGGGACAAAGTACGGAGAAGCAGAAGCAATCCCCGGTTTTGTGGGATACGACGGAGCAAAGACGGCCTAGAGCGCCCTTTGACTATTTCAGACTAGACGCCCCCGTGCCTCGGTTCGTGTTTTGTGCTTCCGCTGGCACCAATTGGAGTCTACAGATTTTTAAGCTTCAAGTTGCGTTCAATACCTAGGTACAAAGCAGCATTCAAGATTCATTCCATTCATTTCAATTACCAGCAAACTTGAACAACGGCTCGCTTAAAGCTCGACACTTCATAACCCATCACCTCCGGCACCACAAGACTACATCCAACAGATATACAAACAGAAATCGTGACTTGCCAGCTAGAACCCTTGGCCGGTTTGTACAGTCACCAAGCCGTTCTCAGGGCCAGATTCGCCCTTGGCGCTGATGGGCGCCATGTTGATGTCGTAATGGAGCTCCAACTGCGCTTTGTCGTCGCCCTTTCGTGGCACAAAATCCACGATAAGCGAATCCTTGACCGCAAAAACGGAGTCGTTGTCCAGGTACTTGCTTTTCTTGTCGAAGATCTGCGTGGTAATGGGTTTGTAGCCTTCGACCAAGACCTGTGTGACCTGGAATCAGCCATTGCGGCATATCACAAAACATGGCAGTACTCACAATCAGGTGTATATGGGCCGGCCGATACGGGTGTCGGTCCATCAGCTGCAGTAACTTGCCAGCCGGGCCGTCAAATGGCACCGGGTATGGTGTAGGTCTGATGCAGTAGAAAGCGTATCTCCCCTCCTCGTCCGTGATAAACCTGCCGCGTAGGTTCCTATCGACCTGATTTGGATCTTGCTGTTCATACAAGCCTAGGAAAATGGTCAGCCGACCCGGGACCTGGGTCATGCGGTTGGAGGGCCTGAGACACACCGTTGGTGGAACACTCCCACACATCGATAGCTGCATTGGCCAAAGGCTTCTTGCTGACCGCATCGAATACCTGGCCATACATATATACAGGTTCGGCGTCGTCTGGGGGATTGAATGAAATCGTCTCGCCGTTCTTTCGGATTGGATGGTCTGTTCTGTAAAAGGGGCCCAGGATCGCGCTCTGCGTGGCCAGGTCGGTGGCTTCTGAAGCTTTCTTATAGGTAATCTCATCCACAAGCCTGAAGTGGCAGAGTCAGCAACGTTCAGGCCGCCAGACTGAACGACCAACTCACGATTCCAGACCGACCACATCACACACAAGTTGACCTTCGTTCCTCTTGTCATCGCTCATCTGCCCGGCCCAGTTGATCAGTTTTACCCCCTCCATCCATTCATCCACTGTTAACTCGATCTCTCGAGCGAAGTCGTGTAGGTGTCTGATTAAGGCGGTCATCACTTCGCGCATCCGCGGTGAAGTGTTGGGCCCCATGGCGTCAATGACGCGCTGAGTAAAGGTGGGATCGAAGCGCGAAGCGCCTGACGATGTGTTGCCGTTCATGTCGGATGGGAGAGCTCGGATTGACGGATAGACAAGCAATGCTGACAGGTTCTTCTGTAGAAAGTATAGACATCAACTCCGGCCTGGGAAAGTATTCAGAGGTGGGAAGCAATACTTTTAAATGGCTGAGGACGTGGAGTCCGACGGAGGGCCTCATCCGCAAGGCTTCATAATCTACTAACGGAACGTGCATAAGGTAAGCGGACTTGAAGGTCACCCCACACCTTCAAGTTGGGCATTTCGTCGCCCGCCATGGAGCAGGCAAAACGTTACAGCGCAACAGGGCCGGTACTAGTGGTGAAAGCACATGGAGAGGTGCGGAACTCGGGGGACTGGAGACTGGAATCTGGAGGTCTGGGACTGTATTTGCTGAGAATCAAGCCCCCAAAAGCCACCAAGTCCCCGCGCCGAAAGCCTGCATCGGATCGTGCATCGCTACCAGTACCACCAATAAAATACAGTGTAGTAGTACTAATTAATCGCTAATCGGCTGGTCCAGGGTTGGTGTGATCACGTGGCCCACCGTTGTGCCCACCTATTGTAGGTACCAGTAAAGCTCCCGCGGTCAAACTCAGGCTGACGATTAAAATAACTTGAAGCTGGGAGCCACAAGTCTACCAAACTGCGGGCTGACCCCGAAGCTGCCATCAGTTGCGCCCCGTTTCAGTGGCCTGAGGCTCTCTCGGCAATCGGAAACGTCCCTCGGGTACGTTCAACAGCACTTCACTCTCGGTTGAGTAGTTGTATACAAACTGCTCCTTTATTGACCACGCGTGTGACGCTGTCCATGTCTGTGGTAACTTTAGTGTGCCGCTGATCGACCAGTACATGGAAGATATTTAGCAATCCCGGGGATTTCCCACTCGGGGCGTACTACCAGTCTGCGGCCAACATCATGTCCATCCCTTGGACAGGCCAAGTTTTCTGATCTTCTCAGAACAAGATATCACAAGTTAACTCGATTGGTGTTTCGAGCGCAGACACAGCATCTCCCCGTTTAGCAGAGATGCCGAGACCTGTCTTTGTTGCAATTACAACACCGTCCCTGACATTTTTCTCGAGGCATCCGCTGCGAAGCTCTCTTTGATGACTTCCCTACCTACAGAGACGGGGCCACACAGTCCCGGGGTTTGTTCGGTGCGTTGTTGGACACAATAATGACTGCAAGGAGGAGCTGGTGGCAGGATGCACGGCTCTACTACAGCCACTGGTGGTCCCCAGATCTATCCATTTGATACAGGTAATGGAGCAGTGACACAAATTGGCTGCGTCTGCTTGCCCTTTTTGGTCGCTCCATACCCAAGGTACTGCAGGTCCCGATATTGCATTGCTTTCAAATCCCTTGCATGATTGCTGTATTCACCCAGGCCGAGATTTGCTGCAGAACCACGAGCGAGGACTTATCCCAATGACCATGAAGTCTCCTGTCACGATGTCTTGTACAGCATATTCATCCCGCCAACTGCCAGTCCAGACGACTATCCGGCTATGCACCCTCCCGCGCTCCTCGTGGCACAAACGTCACCGAGTCTAATGCTGTGTGACTGAATCTGGCAATTACTTCGTTGTCTCGTGCGGTACAGAGTTGACTCCCCCACTACCAGTGCCCAACTATCCGTCTCTGGTATATTCGGAGTTCATTATACCATTTTGCTGGCCGTTGTCCTCCCCTTCTATGAAAAGGACTCTGTTTCCTATTCTCCTCATTCTCCTACTCCCCCATCGTCTGAGATCAACACTTAATGGCAGTCTACAGGTTTCTCAGCACACGGTACAGGTACAGAAGACATGAAGCAGGTACTATTTACCTGGTCACGGTTGCAGTCCGAGAGCCGGTCATGTCTTGAGGGGGTTTCTCAGAAACCTCCGTCCACTTTGTCTTCTTCATCTTCGTTAGCGACCACGATAAGCCCCGGTCCAGACCTCGCTTTGAGTCAAACATCTCGAACTGTACCTCCGCCGCGACCGCCGCGACCAAAGACGTCGCTGCCGAATTTGCGACCAACAATCATCTTGTCGCCCCTGACCATTCCGCCGCACGTCTACGAATATTGTCTTTCACGCACAACAGCAACGCCGAGCTATACCAGCTCTCATTCTCCACATTCAGCATTATCCTGCCCAGACAGCCCGCACAAAAGGTCATTCGACAGGTATAGATCCAATCCGAGTCCAATTGGGCACTCGATCCAAGTGGAAGCGAGAGCGAGTGACAACTGTCCACAGCCAAGCCACTGCTGCTCTCCGGCTTTGTCCCAAGATGCACCCCTGATATCTCCCATACCTTCTCTATCGCACGTCCCAGTCCATATTCGGCACCACCACGCACAGCGAGACACGATACCCGATCCGGACCCTACGAGCTCTCTTCACAGATGCAAGAGGACGGTGGCCAATGCATCCGCAATCACTCGCTGGCCCTGTCCAGCTGACGACAACAATAACAACAACAACAACAAGAATGGCGGCGACTGGGCAGCCGTGACGGGCAACCCGGAAGTTGTCTCACCGGAGAAACGAGTCGTTAGGCCGGAACCAAGGAATACGCATCATCATCATCATCCTCCTTCTGCAACGTGGTGGCGCTGCCCTCTGGACCTCGACCTTGAACACAAACATGGTACTGGGACAGATACCCTCGCGACCTCTCCAACAATGACAGATACAGATTCCCCGAATCATGGCTCCCATTCCCGTTTCCTGCCTCACGGGACGCCGTGGGTCGTGGTCCGATACCGCCGGCTTCTCTGGATAGTCGGGACAATTGTCATTGTGGTCGTTGCCACGACGGCCATCACGGCGGGCGTGGTATGGCGGTTGACTTTGCGTAAGTGCTATTTATCCTGCTTGACTGTGGGATTACTACCAAGGTGAACAAACAAGAACTAACCGATTTCTTTACTTCTAGTACGATGAGTCGACGTACTACGCTAGACCCTTGGTTCAACGCGACATGGGGCGCGTTTGCACCTCCACGAGAAACTTGAGAAAGTCGCTCCCAATACCTAGGAGTAGGACAAGAAATGCAAAAATGCAAAAATGCAAAAGTCGAGCATTAGAAAGACCAAGCTATAAGAAATCAAGCGGCGGCAAGCGACCGACGGCATAACCATCGCAGTAAAGACTAGAAACAGCATGACTTGTTACCCATGTGCAGTGGAATATAATGTTCTCATTATTACTCCAACTATGAGATAGTACTCTTTCCCGGCCTGTCAGTGCCTTGAGCCGGTTGAGGCATAGACGGTCGGCAACCTCTTACTTTGAATCTTTCGATTTGCTGCCGGTCGCCATCTTCTCCTTCTTCTTATGTTTCTTCTTGTCTCCTCCACTGGCAGTCGATTTTTCCTTTTGTTTTGGGTCCACTCCATTTTTCTGGCTCTTCTCTTCTTTTGGACCATTGACAGCCACCGCTTTCTTACGATCGGCGACTCTAGGATCCAGGCCTCGAGCCTTCAACCATTTCTTCTCTGAACGCTCAATAATCTCCTTGTCCTCTTCGTCATTGAACCCTCCGAAATCATCAGCTTCCTTCTCTCCATCTTCCACACCATTAGCCCCCGCCTTAGCGTCTCCATTTATACGCGCGGTTTTCGGCTCGGCGTCAGCGGCATCGCCACCGTTCGCCGACCCAACGTTCTTGGGCATGGGCCCGATCTTCTTCAACTTGGCGACGAAAAAACCGTCGACGTTTTCGCGATGCGGGAAATACCGTCTGGTCAGGGACATTTTGTCATCAAACTTCTTGTTCATGTAACTTTTGAAGCCCTCGGAGCCGAAATTGCCGAGACCGGTATCGACAATCTTGACGTTTGGCCGCTTCCTGAGCACATATTGGACGACGGCCTCGTTCTCCTCAACCGTCACCGAACAGGTCGAGTAGACAATATAGCCGCCCGTCTTGCTGCTGTGGTCCGTGGAATCAATGGCAGCCAAGAGCAGCTGTTTCTGCATGTGCGGCAGGGCCAAGAAATCCCGTTCATTCTTGGATGTCTTGACGCTGGGATCTTTGCCGATGACACCCGTGCCCGAACAAGGGGCGTCAAGCAGGACTCGGTCAAAGCCACCCAGAACCTTCGGGAACGCCTTTTGCGCGTCGTAGTTGCAGACAATGGTGTTCTTGCATCCCAGACGGTGAATGTTGCCGATTAGACCCTTTGCTCGCTGCTTGTTGGCATCATTGGCGAAGACGACGCCTGTATTGCGCATCAGAGCTGAAATGTACGTGGTTTTCCCGCCGGGAGCAGCGGCCATGTCGAGAATCCTCTCGTTCGGTTGCGGCGCCAGCGCCATGACGGGTAGGAAAGATGATGCCGCTTGTAGGATGTAGTGGCCGGCGAGATACTCCGGCGTGGCACCCAGGGGCACAGGTGCTTCAAAGACCTGGAGACCGACCTTGGACCACTTGCCTACTGGTTCTAGGACAACACCGCGGTTAATCAAGGCCTGGGCCAGGGTTCGACGGTTGGTCCGTAGAGTGTTGGTTCGCAAAACCACCGGTCGAGGCGTCTCGTTGGCCTCGAAGAAGGCGAAGGCCTCTGCTGGCGTGAAGAGCGAAAACAGTTTCTCCGCGAGGTATGGGGTGTAGCCGTAGTAGACGCAGATATCTGACAGCAATTGATCAATGTATTCGGTCCGTGATTTTGTTTTGTCTGCCAACTGGGAGAAGTTGCCCAGGATGCGAATGGTTTCTGTCATGCGATTCCGTATCATCGCTAGATCTGGCGCCAGACCATGTCCCACTTGTCCGGGGCCGGCCACGGAATCTAATACCCCTTCATCTTTGGCAATGTTTGTCTGCAAAGCCGCATCCTCCAACTCTTGCTGCGCCTCGGCCTCCACTTGGGCTTGTTGTTGATCGAGCTTTCGAGACAGTCCTTCAATATTGGCTGCGGTCAACTGGGCTTCCGCGTCCGAGTCATCCTCATCTTCGGAGAACATGCGTCTAGGCTGTTCATCAGGGTCGGAGTCAAATACAGAGTCATCTGAAACGTCCTCTTGGTCCAAGTCAGCTTGGTCGATTTCATCATCCTCCATGTCCGACGAGGAAATTTCGTCCAACGGCATGTCAACGGCGTCGTCGTCCTCATCGATTTCCTCCTCATCGTCACCCTGCTCCTCTGTCTGTAAAATGGGCATAGCTGGGGGTACCGTGATTTGGGCATCTTTGTTCACTAGTCTCTGCTTTTTCTTCTCTTTTTTGCCCGCCTTGGCCTCGTTCTTCGGCGGCTGCTCGCTGCGGATGGCACGATCGAGTTTCACCAGCTTCTTGGGGCCATGTTCATCCGACCTCCGTCGTTTCTTCGCAGGTTCCTTGGGGCCGTCGAGGTTCGACTTTCGCTTCAGGTTGATGCCGAGTTCCTCTAGGGTTGCGGGAGGGCCCTGCTTTTTCATGCGCCGACCTGGACCCATTGTGCCCAGGATTTGCCGGTAGGAAGTGAGGGAAAGAGTTGATTGAGGTTTGGACTCTTGCCGTTATTGCAACGTTGGTCAGGACCTCAGGCGTACCTCAGGCTACGAAACCAAAACCGTCTTGAATGGACGGGATGAAGGATTGCCCGCTCGTGGCAGCGGCAGTGGCAGTGGCAGTGGCAGTCGGGCTCAAAATTTCTGGACTCCACGGAAAAATTGTTGTCGATAGTTTCGCACCCGCTGGCCGGGATCGCCGATGCGGAGATCTAGCCCGGTAAGTTGTAGTGCGGTGGCTAGTGCAGTCTACAAGTCACTTTTTTAGGCTACTACAACACTGGATAGAGGCACTAAACAAAGCTAAGGCGTTTTAATATCATGTTTCAGTCGATACAGGTTTCGCACCTTCAGGTGCACTCAACCTCCAAAACCTTCCAAGCTTTGCAGAACTGCCGTGATTGATTGCGACTGAGGTTCCTCCTGGTCGATGGGTTGGCAACTCACTCTCAATGGTACCAGGTCACCCTGACCTCCCAGGTGTGGCAATGGGTTATTGACTGGTGATCTCGAAGACGTCTCCCGAAGCCAGAATGCCTGGCCTAGGGGACACCCGTGCAGCTGGTGCTTGCAGATGTCGGGGCCCGAGGGGTCCAGCACCGGCACAAACTGTAAAGGACCATGCTGGCTGTTTGATTCATAGGTACCTTAAGGTAGCCTGGGGCATACATTTATACCCGGGTACCTAGTCCATGCTTTATTAGCATCCCAGCCGGTGGGCTGCCAAACTCTAGTGGACGCAACGGCACTGGGCACGGTACTGGACCCTGTGTATCATTACCGGACCTGGCCTCTTCAAGCCTGTGGCCCATGCAGGGTCTAGATGCGCCGGTTGCCGCCAGCTCGACATCTGCGAGTCCGGAATTACAATCCAGCAACAATCTTGCCCCCATCCAACACCGCGGATCTTTCATCACAACCCTCAACAGGAGGCATCTCGCCCTCGCCCTCGCCCTCGCCTTTGGAACGGCGTCACTGCCCACCGACCTAGGAAGGTACATAGCACACAAGATAGAAATCGTATCACACTTTTCTACACCCGGGTTGTGGCCTCCTGCTCTCTCTTCCCTCTTCATTTCATGCATGTCTACTAGAGCCTTGTGTTGTCTGCTGTGCCGCAGTATGGTCTCGCCGACTCATGCCGCTACTTCACCTCATGTTGACGGCACTCTTTCCATGCACGATGCCTTGAACAGTTCCCCCAGTCATGATCACAGTCACTCTCAAACAGGTTCATTATCTGCTGACCCTCGAAAGTATGTTTCACACGCTTGTGAAGCCTGTCGCTCCAGAAGATCAAAGGTCTGTCTCGCATACACCTGTTACAACTTGTGGCCGAAATCTGATTTCATTCAGTGCGATGGCAAACTGCCAGTCTGTTCGACCTGCCAGAAAAGGCGGACAGCATGCACTTACTCAGCAGTGGATAGACGGAGGGGCAAGCTCAAGAAGCACGAAACGGACGCTCTGGTCCAGCAGGTCGAAACTTTGCAGGGGATTTTATCTGCTTTGCAGATTTCCCCCGAGGAAGATGCCTTGGAGTTGTTGAAGAAAATCCGCCGCCATGAATCATCCCTTGTTGACTTCTGGTCTGCATCGGGGAGGCCGTCCCCGGTCAGCGAAACCCTGGCGGACTATCGCAGATCGCAGGAAAGGGATACGAAGCCCGTGGATCAACATCCTCATGCTTCAGTAAGTCCTGGTGGATCTACCATCCTCGTCTTCAGCCATGGCCTAACATCACCTGGCTTACAGACACCTCAAATATACACTCCCGACAATTTGCCACCCCTAGAAATGGTCAGGCTGGGTATTGCAGCTTATTATAACTGTTGCTTTACCTTGTTCTACCTTTTCCAGGAGCAGCATATCAATGAACTGGTCCGACACATGTACCAATCCGAAGAGCCAGTGGACACTGCGACCCTATGTGAAGTTTGTGCTCTGGCTGCCGTGGGAAGTCAGTACGACGCAGACCACGTTCCACAGCCTGTCATGGAAGCTTTCTACAGGACAGCATCCGTGTATATGCATGACTGTGTCGAGGCCCACTATCTGCGCGGCATGAGAATGCTTCTCTGCCTCAGCATCTATTCATTCATGACAAAAAGGAGCAGTGCTCGTCTTTCCGTTGGTGCGTTCTTGTCCCTGTTCCCCTGATCCTCTTATGCCTTTATTGGTTCAATCATGTGCCCTGTTGATATTCAAAGACATTGGATGAGGAGCATATCACCAAATTACATAGCGGCTAATCGTATCATAGCATCCGGGATACAAATAGCCCGATGGGCACGCCTACATCGACAAGTCACTTCCCATGACTTGCACCTATGGAGACGAGTCTACCGAACTTTGGTATTTATGGAATGGTAAGCAGGAGCTCTGCCATCCTCGGCGATAGTTTGCTCACGGGACTACCACAGTTGGCTCGCTTCGAGCCTTGGCTACCAATTCGATCTCACCGAAGAGGAGTTGAATGTAAGCTTCACTCGGGCTAACGAGTAGCTCATCTCCATGATAGCACAAACTGACCGTTTCTTAGTTCGCACAGTTGGAAATTGCGGAGCCAGTGCCCTCGCTAGAGAATGCAATTCAGGCTCAAATGAGCGCGGTGGGCATTCTCATGGCAAATATCCTACGGGACGTGTACCGGTCGAGTTCTGCTGTTTTCTTAATCGTGGAGAAACACGCGCATATCCTAGACGACTGGCGACGATCACTTCCGGGGTATATGCAGCTTTCGGCTATACTGGATTCGTCCTCGGAAAACTTGGAAGAGAAACATCGACGGTCTCTAGTGCTCGTGCATATCATGGGTTATGGGGCTCAGATTCTGCTACAACGTCGCCTGCTTGTGGCCATGGCGGAATGCAAAATGAACAAACGCTGGACCCTGGACGGCTCCCGAGAAGAAGGTGCTGCTGTCCATCAAGAGTGCGTCACTGCTGCTGTGACTTGCGTTCAGCTTCTCGAATTTCTGAGCTATACAGGGAACATGCTCCGGCGATGCTGGTTATGCATGTAAGTGTTTTTCCATCCGAGCATTAGGTGCCTTGCTAACTTCACGGATTCAGTGGACACGCCTTCAGTGCATGTAGCGTCCTTCTGTTCGAAGCAGCACAATCTCTCCTACACGGTCTTTGGACTGGAGTAGAAGACACCCTCGCACATTCACAAAAGTGCATTCACGTCCTCCAAGATTGCAGCGTCGCCGACCATGTGGCCAAAACAATGGTGGATATCGTCCATCCGCTACACGAGGAACTCGTCACCCTCTCCAAAACCGACTCATGGCAAACTCGTCGAAGTGGTATCTACGACTTGTTGCAGAATCCTCACCCGGAGCATAGTCCGGATCACGCTACGGATCACTCGACCATTGACAGTCAACCCGTTCACCCTGTTGCAATTCCGGCCATGCAGAAGGCGATTGATGTCCTTGGAAACCCTTTTGCACATCCTCGAAGGCTTAATATCGACAGCTTTTCCCCTGCCGACCCAGACGTTCCTAGCTGGTGGAACTGAGTCTCATGGAGCTCAGCCCACGTATAAAGGCGGGCTTTTATTTATCGCTCAAGAGCTTCCAAGTACAGCTACCGGCTAGAAGGAGGAGGTACTCAAAACCACGCCTTATTCAACCCACGCGTACCCCGGAAGCATGACATGGCCAAATGACCGCCGGAGGAGACAACGTTGTAACATCAACATCCACCCGAGCACTCCTCCTTCGCACAATGCTATTGCTATGCTATGTCCACGCCGATCGACGCAGCCAAAGTTGCTGGATTTGCGAGGTCAATAGGATGGTTGGTCCACCAACGAGTTGAGCACAATGCAAATATAAGCATGAATGTAATTGCACAGATCAGCATCTGGGCAGCATAAATCATTACTATGCATAATGCATACACAGCCGGGACGATCGGTGTCACCATTGCGGTCGAGTTAGTCCGGTTTGGCCTTTCGCTCGAACCCGGCGGAAATGAAGCAGCTATTGCACGATTGTCAACTGTGACTCGACACGCCGGCAAATGTTAAGATACGGAAGACCAGTCAACGATAGCTGCAGGAGCTAGCAAGGTTGGATGAAATGTACAAGGACCGTGTGTTCGGAGGGCAAAGTTGGCTTCTCCCTCGCTATGTGGGTTGCGCTTGGGCAATGGACAGCGGGTAGGGCAGTATCTACAGTATCTACAATGCCGCCGGCTCTTCAACATGCTGCTCAGCGGGTTTGCAAACAATGTACACTTGCCCGCGTTGCATTGTCACAATCGAAAATCAAATTCCATCAAGATCAATGCCCTGCAGTCCAATCAAGGCATCGAATCATCCCTCAACTTTCTGATGGCCGCCACAACTCTCTGCGTGTCCCACTCTTGAGCTAAAGCGGTATTCAAAACGTCAAACTCACTTTCCGGCGCCATGCCTCCTGGAGCTGGGGGTCGCTTGTCAAGATTCGTCGGGAAGGGATAACCTTCAGCAACCGCGGCCAAGATGGCCTTGAGGCGTTCGTCGGCGTCAGCCTCTCCCTCACTAGACTGTCCACTTCCACTTCCACTTCCAGCCTGAGACAACAGCTCCTTCCTTAAGGCCATAATATCATCCCAGCACCTTTCGATAATCTTGAGGGTGTCGACGCTCTCCATCGCCCTACCAAAAGCACTACTAACCTGCAACAAATTCGCACTCCTCTGGACATCCGTTGTCAAATTCTCGCCCGCAGCATGGACGAGCGCGGGGTTGAAAAACACGGCATCGCCCATTTTCAGCGCGACACTGACCCAATTCTTATCAAAATAGTCCTGAAACTCAGGCAGTCGATACGTCATGTACCCCTGTTCAAACTGTTGAGAGAACGGCAAGAACCGCGTCGGCCCGCTCTCGAGAATCATGTCGGAATGCGCCACGGCGCCCTGCAGCGTCAAGAATTGGCTTGCGACCTGTGCGGCTTTGGGAAACCGTGCACAGGACTCGGCGGTCTGGAAGCCCAGGTGGTAGTCTCGGTGGCTGACTTGGGGTTTGCCGCCGGGTTTGACGATGTTTACTTGCGCGGTTACTTGGTAGCTGGGGCCCAGCCAGGATTCGCAGACTCGTGAGAGCCAGGGGTTGGAGTAGTATTGGACGAAAGAGGGTGGGTCGTATTCCGCGTGCTTTTGGAACGAGTTCCAGATTCGGGCGTTTTTGCCGGATGCGGCGAAGTGGTCGCCTTTAGTGGAGGTGGTGGAGGATTGTGTTTGTTGGAGTTCGGAGGTGATGATGGTCGAGAAGACGGAGTTGGTGCGTGTTAGCAGGTCGGTGTTGGGTTCGAAGTTCCGGAGGACAACGACTCCAGGGCCGGAGAGGAGGATGTGGTTCCATTCGTCTTGGAGGTGGTCGATATCGTTACTGGTGAATGCGGTGTTCAGGTCGTAAATGGGTATGTTGGAGACTATGGTTGATGCGTGAGGGTAGAGTTTTGGGTCGGTGGTTTGGAAACAGAGTTGTTGGAAGGATGTTAGGGATGGCCGATGGGTGATGGAGTATCGTCGTCTCGGGAGAATGGAAGCCCCCGGTGAGCCATTGGTGCCGTTGGGACGGGCGTCGTGGTTGTCCTGGAGGACTGGGGCCTCGAAGGGTGATGCTGTGGTTGAGGATGGTGCCATGGTTTATTATCTGTCTGAGAAGGGCTAGATGATGCTGATATAGTGTGTGTCCAGTCACCGAGATGATGCTGCCGCTGTGATTATCGTCCAGTCTTTGTCCTTTCTGCTTTTCACGTCAGAAATTACGCTCTTCCACCGATCATCAGCATATATTCATTCATCAATCGGTCTCCCTTGTAGAGGTCCCGCGTTGTAGTCTCTTTTGTTCTGATATGCGGAGAAGTGTGAAACCGGGGTAGCAATATAAATAAATACAACGGTATATTCGCGGAACACTCCGGGGCTACAGTGTACCCGGTGGATGAGCGGATGTTCTTCCTATGCTGGAAAGCTAGCCTTTATCTTCAAAGCCTACCTATTGTACCTTTATTGGATCATCATCAGTCCTCCAACTGAGATGCGCGAGGTAAATAATGTATCATTTTAGCCTGAATATCATCTGAGCATTTCCAAAGCGCTGAAAGTAGCACAGTAGTAGTGGCTATATTGTGCCTTTGAAAAGCCCAGGGCCGATGAAAAGGCCTGGCACGTGCCACCGGGGATCGAGGCTGTAGCTACCCCAGCTCTCAACGATTATGTTGCAACGTACCCAGGTACCTGTAGCCTTTGGTGCTCGCCAAAAACAGGTGCAAAAGGCGAGAGCCCGGCCGTCTACGTTGTATTGATTCAGACTGTAGCAGATTGCAAACTGATACTGCAGTGGCATAATAATGTTACTTATTGTTGTGTCTTGTGCCCCTGAATCAGCAGAAAACGCACCATTAATCGCGACGGAAATGGTCATCCAGATTCAGGCTCGGGATCCGATTGGGCTGCTGCTTTACCCCGGACGCGACCCATGACGCGCGAATTACGTCTTTCCGTCCAACCGTTCGATTCGATTCAGGGCTCAGCTTCAAGTTTCCGGCAACTCGAACTCAGCTCCAACGGCGGTGTGATCGCGAGTATTGCTATTGCTATCGCCGCCAGTGTTGCTGGTTTCTTGTCGTGCAAACTGGTTTGGTCAGCACTGTAGTCGGCCGCCACACCTCCAGGCTCCCAACTCCAGCAAACCCGTTCTACACGTAAGGTTTACGTTGCCGAGGACTGCGGCACCTCCACGGCAGGAGGGGAAGATACAGATACCTACCATGCGTCGTTCCTTTATCACTACTCTATCTAGCGGCACAGTCCGTCGTGGGATGAGCACCAGGGCTCTTTCATCGCAACAAATTGTGTGCAACACACGTGTCCAAAGACGGTCGCTCGCAGCCGTGTCATCCGGAAACCCAGAGCAGAAAGTGCAATCCACCCAAAACGCCGAGGACAAAAGGGCGGCCCAACAGAATCGCCACAATATTGACCGACAGTCAGACGAAGTCTCAAAGTCTGGCACCGATGATGCAGTTGCGGCCCAGGCGTCTGTGGCATTCGACAAGTCCGGAGCCAGCATAGACGAGATCCGGGAAAGGTCCGGACAACAGAATGCTTGGGGCAATCCTCTTGACGCTAGCCCGGCAAACAGGAGCATCAGCGAGGGAACTGATGAAGCCAGAGGCGGTATCAAGGCCAAACAGTTTACTCCCGATAAGACCGTGTCTCGAAGTGATTCCAGGCTGAAGGGGGCCGAGCCGGGATTTGAGAAAAAGGCCTTTGCTGGTTCGACTAAGAAGGAACAGGATGATGAGCGAGGGCCCATGATCAGGCCGGGCTCGAGATAGGCGAGCAGAGCGACTGGGGCCTGCCTCTGCAGTATGATCGGGATGGTTGGTAAGCTTATCAATCATTTCATCACTTTGAACTTGTGGGGGAACGATGCTGCTGGTGCGTTAGGCGAGGTTATCAAAGGTGTCTGTTAGTGTACATTATCGGGGACGAATTTTGAGAATTGAAAACTTATCTTGCTGGCTCCGCGGGCCAGGGAGCGACAGACTCGACGGTTGTCGTTGTTGCAGGACAATATACACTGTTATATCGAGGATATGGCGGATCTCGACGATCAGCACCCTGGCTTCCCGCCCCGAGCGTGCATAGTTACAATAAGACCGATTTCATGCCCCAGACTGGGGATGACAGGGATCCTGCGAGTGTTGGTCAGCGTATGGAGTGCACTAAATCCATCACCGCCGGTCCGATTAGAGCAAGCTCGATATCTATCACACAATCGCAGTCGCCCACGCTTGATTGGCGTACATACATAATCTACCTTACTATTACCAGTAGTACTAATAAGTACGTACCTAATTGCCGGCTTAACAGGTTAGTAGATCCAAAACTCGAGCACCGTGAAGTTGACGATGGCAGTGCGAGGCTGAAAGCTTCCGATTCGTGGAAAACCCATGACTCTTTCGGACTCGGATGGCGGCACAGATCCCGCTCTGGGACAATCCGCTTCGGCAACACTTACAACATTGTAGTTAGATCTGTCCTTGCGTCGAGGCTACGACGGGCAGTCTGTCATTATTATTGATAGGCACTGCTAGTTAGTAATACTTCCTTTCATGGATTCCTCTAATTTAATTGAGGGCATTGTTCTCTGCTTTCCTTGCTGTGCGCTTGACTCCCCAAGCCACAATGTCTACGACCCAAACCATGACCAGATCGCGGCACGAGTCTCAGCCATCCGCGCCGGAGACTTTCGAACTAAGTCTCAAGGCTCCCGGCAGGTCGCTACGAGAACTGTCACGACGGGTGGTGGGAAATACTAGGCGACACGACCGCTCTTCTAGTACTTCTGATGAAGAAGACAATGCGACCACGACCACCGACTATAATGCCACGAACGATGTACCTCTGCCGTCCGAATCGGCCCATTGCACTACTGTACAAAAATGGAACAGACCAAAAGGCAACATTGCCCGGCTTGCATTTGCATGTTTTTCATTTATCATTGCCGGACTGAACGATGCTGCAGTCGGTGTATGTCTTGCTCTACAGTCCTACTATGAGAACCATGGCTGACATGATCTCTTGCAGGCTTTAATCCCATATGTGTGTTCTGCTATGTCCGCGACAGGTCTATCTCTGTCCAGCTAGCTGACATCAGTCTGGACAGCTGGAATCATACTACCACCTTAATTACACCATTGTCTCTTTGATTTTTCTGACCCCCTTCGCCGGCTACTCGGTAGCCGCCTTCACCAATGCATCCATCCATGCCAAATTCGGTCAACGCGGCATTGCAATCATGGCACCAATCTGCCACATCATTACCTACGCTGTCTTGTCCGCCCATCCGCCTTTCCCTCTCCTTGTGGTGGTCAACACCATTTCCGGGTTCGGCAACGGCCTGACCGATGCCTGTTTCTGCGCCTGGGTCGGTGTCATGGACAATGCCAACGCCGTGCAGGGGGTCATGCACTCTTGCTACTCGGTTGGCGCACTTTTGGCACCGTTGATCGCCACGTCCATGGTCGTTAACGCGGGTTTGCCCTGGTGGAATTTCTACTTTTTCATGGTACGTTGCAGGGATATTCTCCGAGCACATCAGGATTACCGCAATATGGCTGTATGCCCGCCATCTACCCATACTGACCTCCGCAGATTGGCGCTGCATTCGTCGAGCTCACCGGCCTCACCGTAAGTTTCTGGCCCAAGACCGGCGAGGTCTATCGGATCGAACATCCGCGGGAGAACGACGCCGGTGGAGGTCGGACGCGAGAAGCCTTGAAATCCAAGATTACATGGTTGTGTTCGGCCTTTTTCTTTATATACATGGGCATTGAAGGTAAGATGAGAAATGCGTCAGCAGTTCGAAAACCAGCGTTCTGGCAAATATGTGTTTCCTCCTCCCTCTTCCTCTACCCCAATATCATTGTCCACCTATCGGTGCTAACATCCCATCTCTCTCCGTCACAGTCGGTCTAGGAGGCTGGATCGTAACCTTCATGCTACGCGTCCGAGGAGCATCACCCTCTGCATCAGGATACTCAGGCACTGGGTTTTGGGCCGGCCAAGCACTAGGCCGGGCATCGTTGGGATTTGTCACCGAGCGCTTTGGCGAGCGGATCTGCATCACTGTGTATTTGGGCATCTGCCTGGCTCTCCAACTCGTCTTCTGGCTCGTGCCGCAGTACATTGTGTCGGCGGTTTCCGTGGCATTCTTGGGCTTCTTTTTGGGTCCCTTGTTCCCCGGATGCGTCATGATGGCCGCCAAGTTGTTGCCCAAACATATCCATGTCAGCGCTATTGGGTTTGGCATGGCCTTTGGCGGCACGGGCGGCACGGTGTTTCCATTTATTATTGGTGCCATTGCCGCCAGCAAGGGCGTCAAGGTGTTGCAGCCTATTATTCTGGCTCTGATCGTGGTGCTGGGTATTATATGGTTGTTGTTCCCACGGGTGAAAAAGAGAGAATGATCCGCGAAGCGGAGTAGGTTCTACAATATCTGCAAATCTTGAAGAATACAAGTATATATAGATATTATCCTACGGAGCGTAGCGAAGTCGGTTCTAGTACATAGTTGACTCACTGACCTGAGCGACTGGCATGGCATGGCATGGTATGGCATTATTGCCCGGATGCAGTGTGTAGTTATTTGAGTCAACTCAACCACCACCAACCGACGAAGTTAGTCAGTCGGTACAGTAGTAATCCCCGAAGCTTGAGCTTGAGCTTGAGCTTGCTTGCCAGAAGCTTGTTTGCCCGCTGGGTCTAGGTCACTTTCCTGTGCCACACACACAAAAAAAAGAGTAACTGACCAGACTGGAGAAATTCACATAATCATGGGGGCTCAACTTCAAGAAGTGCCTGACCACTGCAGTACACGGAACAAAAATTCAAAAAAAGTCGTCAACGACAATTCAGTCGGGTAATGAGAACAAAAAGCAAAAAAGTATATGGAAATGCAGGGAATCGAACCCCGAACCTTTTCCAATCGAGATCACAGTAATCGATTGATGCTAAGGAAACGTCATACCATTAGACCACATTCCCGACCGACCCAAGAGAAATTCTGCTGGGCCTAATTGTTGAGCTGGCAACGTGGGTTTGATTTATGAAAGTAAAAATATTTAGGTAAGCTGGTGTGGATACTTGACGGCCTGGGATAGGTGGACTTGAGTTTGGCATTCAAGTTCGTCACAGACGATTGGACCCTGGGACATAATTAAGCCGCAAAATTGCCGAAATGCACTTCCAAGGTCAGGGATGTCGCGGTCGCCGCATCCAACAGCACGACAAGATGAGATAGGTGTTCAGTGTTCAATGTTTGTTTAAGCCTCTCCGATGTCTGGCACTGTATGTTGAATGCCTTGTACAGCATATTGAATCTCCTATCAGATCATTGGTACAGTACTACTACCTAACTGTTCAGTGTGTTCTTAATGAGGCACTGCACACTCAGTTGTACCGCGACGGTGACTCTCGACATCCATCCATACGTACGTACTACTATCGGTTACCCATTCTATGATTATCATCAGAACACTACTTTGGGTACTACTGTACAATACTGCTCCAGTATGTTCATGTTCACGTTCGCATTCATCAGAGTTAAGATTCCCGAAGCGAAGCAGTCCCCTTGCGTACAGTAGGTACTGTACTACACCGTACTGTGCTCGATCCTTTGCAAAACCGACAGAGTCAAACCTCAGCTACTAGTACACCAGAGGCCATTCTCAACTATAGCAAAAAAAAAAGGATATTTGCCGTAAGAAACAATATCGTTTTCTGTTCCTCTTACCCCGGAAAAAAAAACCAAAACAAAACAACAGTGGCACGACCAAGTGATAAAAAGGCAAAAACAATCGACAGTCAGGATTCCCAAATCGTCACCGACTTTAGTACTAACTGACCGGCATTGAGCTTAAGTACCGCTGAGCGAACGGGAAGCGCTGTATTCTCAATCCTGTGGTCGATTGCGAGGGGAAATGATGTGGATTGAAAATATGTCTGTGCGTTTTGTGCGTGGTAAATGTGCGGTCGGAGCGGGATCCACTTTTCATCCACTTTTCCTCTTCGAAAAAGGGGACGTCACCAAAAAACTTGAACTCTGATAAGTTGGACCTCGGCGCGAAGTGATGTGCGCGGGATATTATTATCCGAGACGAGAGACTTGTGAGATCTACCTGGTACCTCCGGCCAACGATCATATGGATATGCATGGCAGTTGCACATACAACGTTGTCCATACTAGGTATGTCAAGATCACAAGAGTTGGAGTTCAATTCCGGCGATGCATCGCATTGCATGTCCAACACTGTTGGTTCACAATCTTTTGGGTTCATTCCATCCCATCCAATTTCGTCGTTTCGAAACTTGGCGTTATGGCTCCTAATAGGTAGGCAAGGTAGGTAGGTAAGCAGCATACGGTACATGGGAGACATGTACTTGACAAGTCAAGTCATATCATTGATCCGATTCTATCCATCTATTCATCAAAGCCACGCTTTACTTTTCAACGGTAGGCTAAGCTCGGCGACTGTACGGTACGAGGAAGAGAGAGAAGTTGTGAGAGTGAATGGAAATGGAAAGGCGATGAGAATTCATGGTATGGATCTACCCGGTATGCGGTCTCAAGAGGTGGAAAAGGGGTCCTGGACTGGAGCGGAGTGGAGGGATTGTCAGAAGAGCAGAGCATCGACTCTTTCTATCAGAGACGTTGGCAGTGGTAAGTGAGGAGCAGGAGGTACTTCTGTTTCTTGTGTACGGTACATACTGTGCCTCAGTCACTGTTCCCGTCTGGTCTTTGGGTCAGGGGCAGATAGGCCAGTCCAGTCGAGGTCTGCCTGATGAGCTTTGCTCAAGATTCATCCCGTGATAGGGAATTGATGGATGCGATGCACAAGTGCACCTGGTTGTCCATAGTGTTTCTCCTTTCCTAACCAGGAGGATGACAAGAGAAGGAATATGAAATCCATCTAATCAACGGAAACCAAAACAAGACGGTGACACACACAACTCCTGGCCTACCTACCTCAGGTGAACAAAGTGGTTACACACAGTGTCACACACTAGTGTACGTAGGTTAGGTGTCCGGGAGAGAACCAGTGAGTGTCGATTGATGGCATCGGATCCCGAGACTAAATAGCGAATAGCGACAGTAAGTGAAGCATCCCTCTTTTCTCTAAACATGTTCGGAGCATCCAGCAGCCCCAGCCTACATTGTATACAATCCATCTGCCTTCCTCCATGCCCATTTACAATCAATCCTACGTACACTACTTCTGCGCCTCCCAGAACCTTGAGTGGATTCGTGTCTTTCGAGCAGCCCGGTGCCCGCAGCGCATCGCCCACTGCTGCCGTTTGCTTATACCAATTATAGCCTTTACCATATCACTTCGTGTGTCCTATGAGGATAGTACAGGTACTTGCTGAGGTCCTTATTGGGATTATCGAGTTTGCAATTTGGAGGTGTACAATCTACAGGTCACCTAACAGCCACAGATAAGTCCATATTATATACTATACAACAGTTATATCACAAGGAAGCAATCTCTCCGCAGTATAAATATGCCATACCGCTGTGTACTGTACATTCTTAGTAATAGCAAAGTAATTGTTTACACGGAAAACCCAAAAGGTGGGAAACTTCAGCTGCATAAATGTATCAAATGATACCCGTCCACGGTGCCCTGCGAACACTGAACAGTCCGTCCCCTGTTAACACTCCGTCCTGACTTACCAGACTATCCAGACAATGGATCATTGATTGACATCTCTCTTCCCCAGTACCCCTACCCGATCCTCCTTTTCTTCGGCTGCCTGCTCAGCTCAGCTCTCTGCCGCGTAGCAGAGCTGCAATAGTAGCCCCCGTCGTTGACATTGTCGAGTTTTTTGCTGTCGCTGTTCCTGCTGGTGCTGCTGCTGCTGCTGGTGGTGCTGCTGGTGCTGCTGCTGTTGTCGCAGCTTCCGTCGCAGCTGCGCCAGTCATCGAGTTACTAGTATCAGGGGCCTTCATTGAAGATCTCGCCTTCTGTCTTTTCACACACGTCGGACACCTCCAGATAGTAACAGGGAGATCAACACTTTTAGCAGCCTTATCTTTGCCTTTCGCCTTGTTGTGACTCAGGCTCTGTTTGTTGCCAGTAGCAATGGCAACACCAGAACCAGAATTAGTACTAGTGCTCGGACCGAAAGCGGTACCACTGCCGCCTCCGACACCGCCACAAGTGGCCAGACCCTTCCCTTCGATTTGGTCCAATTTTGACGCACATCGACGATGGTATATGAGACGAGGGGTCTGGCATTTGAAATCAGCGCACATGATTGCATTCTGCAGAGGCGACTTGATCTTCTTGTGGCAATGGCCGCACACAAATGGCGGAGTGGAAGAAGTCACGTTGACTATTTCGATTTTATCACTTCCGCCCACGGTGGCTGCTGGTGTTTGTTCTGACGAAGCAGGTTTTGCAGAATCTGATAGTGATTTTGACTCGAGGAAATTTTCTCTTAGTGTTGGTGTTGCGGTACCACTTGTCCGCGGCGTTGCCGAACCCAAATCAGTGTCCGGCTCGATTTCGCGTCGTCGACCACGTCTCCTAGTCATCATGGTAAACGGTGGCACTTCTGTGGGACTGCTTTTCAAAGACTGTTTCAACGGGGAAGCAGCGGGAGGAGGAGTAGTCATGGACGTCGGTTTAGGCGAGTCTTGGAAAACAAGCTCGTTCACATCACAGACAACATTGTCGTCGATGGCATTCTGGTCCCTCAGTCTGCCGAGAAACTCGAAAAAGGTCGTGAGCAACTCGTCCTCTCCCTTCTTGATCCAGTGGCGATGCTTGCGCACAAACCGAATCAGGCTGTTAGACAAGTAGTGAGAATGTTCCAGCTGCTCTTCCATTCGATGCTTGTCCCACCGTTTCCGCAGTTCGCGCTCGTAGTCACTCCACCCTTCACGTTTGGCCGCCAGGTCTAACCTTTCCATATGCAACTGAATTTGCCAGTCATTGTCGATCTCGTCATCAGTCTCACTGCGAGGCTCTTCGCTCGGCGATACTGGTCGATGGCTGACCGAAGTATACATCGGTTCCTCTTCCTCATATTTGGACTCGAGTCGGATGGCTCGATATTTTTTGCGCTGAGGCTTCCGGAAATCTGGAACGTTTCGCACCGGAAGGACTCCTGATTTAGATTTCTTGACACCGGTAGGTGTCGGTACTGGAGATTCGACAGGCGCGCATTTCTTTAAGCTCTCTTCACCAATCCAGCTGTGGTCGCCTTCAACATAGGCTGTCAGATCAAATGGTCTAGCTGGCGCGTGCCATTCAAAATCCATGGTGTCCTTTTCCGGTTTCTTCAGAGGCTGTATCCCCGGCTCGACTTTGATTTGAATATGAGCCGAACTGGCTGTGGTAGGGTCTGGTCGTGGCCTCTGTACCGAGAAATTGTACTTTGAATGCATCGTGGATAGATGAAACTGTAGATTTTGTAGCTTAGACGTCTTCCACACCGTACATAATGGGCATCGGTAACCCTTGACTGTTGCGTTTCGGAAATCCTGTGTCTGACCTGTGAGTAGCGGAGAGAAGTTGTAACATACTTCCGGTTGATGTGTCTCGATCACCGTCGTATGTTTTACGTCCTTCTTATACCCCAACGACGGTTCTGCACCATTCGGTTTCTGGTCGCGAAACGAATCGAGATCAAGGCCATTTGTCCTAGGTCTAGTCGTTTTCTTTGGCGTGGTCGATTTTTGCCATGTCGCCAACACCTGCAGGCCGTATTTCGTCCTGTATGTTCGTCCTTCATAGAGAAAAAACACACTCAGAGGCACATCGGGATCCGGGGCTTGTGGCAGATGTGTATACCTTGCAACCACCGCACCTTGCAGGTCCTCGGCCCCCGTTTTCCTAGCATCCGGTGCAAAATGGTCACCGTCACTCTTGCCCAGGAGCGGAATTGGTGGCCATAGACTTCCATTCCGACATGGGATGATTTTGATCTCGAGAAAGTACTTGTCAGTAAAGCCCAGCATAGACCCATCCTTGATAGGAATGGAAACTTTGAGGTCATCAGCCTTTATAACAAACGGCTTATCCAGCTCGGTGTCGACAAAATATCCGTTGGATTCTGTTTCTGTCGATGTTACCCGACAGTACGTCGACTTTGTGATCAAGACGGCCTCATGACCAACTCGATTATCCCATATAGTCAAGTGACACTGGCATTTTATAGTGTCACGCTTTTGACGTTTCGCAGGTCTCGAACTCTCGTCCAAGATGTTGGTCTTGAAATTGAGCTTTTTTCGGATATTGTTAAAGTCCAAAACGAGCTCTGCTTCCGGTTCTTCATGGGCTTTTTCAAGAAGCCCACGTATGCTTCGCCGAGTAGACCTCTCGGGACGCGGCTTTGAATCCATGTTCGGAGGTGCTCTTTCACGCGCGAGGTGAGATTCTGAAGTTGTCGAATCGCCGCCGCCAAAAATCCTCCCGGTAGCACCAACACCAGCCACACTGGCAGCTGTTACTGCCTCCCCAACCGATCTGCCCCGGTCGCGCGACACAGAAAATATGCCCCCCGTGATGTCTATAGGCGGCGCTCCCACTTCACTCCGCTTTTGGTGATGGGTTAAAACCTGGTCGAGGTTCCTCTGCAAAAATAATTTCTGGCGAATCCGGGCTCGCTCTTTTGCAAAAGTAAAGTCTCCCACCAGGTGCCTGCTAAATCTCCTTTCTGATCGTGACGAGTTCAAATTGTAGTCGAGATTAAGCATGCTGGGCAGGTGGACCTGACGCGTTTCTCGGTTTGATGTTCAAGACCCATGGTCCGTGGCTGACTTCCACGCCGTGCGCGCAACGAATGATCTGGCTCGGAGCAAACAAAAGCTGGACCACCACTAATACTGGCGATGGATAAGATAGCGGTTCCAAAGAAAGGCAAACCGAGTATGACGCTCGACAGCGTGTCTTGTCTCACTGCACTCCGAGTCTGCTGTTTGACGCGTGAGGAACCTGCCTGGTGTGGTTATGAGAAACAATATGATGCGAGGTTTAAGGAGGGAGATGACTGGCCGCCATGTCAAGAGCCCAACTTGAGGCAGAAGTAAAATTATAGTGAGGATTGGAGGGTGAATAATGGCGGCGGAGAGAGTGGCTCGCTGGGTAACTGTAGGCAGTTGTAGCAAGAAGCAGGGGTTCGGGGCGTTTCCTGTCACTAACACGGGCCTACAATAATGGGGGTTGTCTGACAAGGTTTGAAGTTGCATAGCACGCAGGGTTTCATGGATGGAAATCTCAACTTTTAGTCTGACGTGTAAATTAAGCCACCGGCCAACCAGAATCAGGCAGGCTCCGTCGCGCGCCGATCGAGAAACAACATCAACTTGAACTTCTATTACTAGTGCTAGTGTAGGACGGCTGGGATCTGTGCTCTCTTATCTAGCCAAACTCAATAAACATCGGTCAGGCCTGAACTCCGAACTAAACGCTCCTTCACGGGTGGTTCGCATAAATTCACTGTATAGATCAGCCCCGGAGGGCCCTTCAGCATGTTCGGCGAGAGCAGTTGAAAGGTACAGTGACTTCACGTACAGTCCCCAATACTGATCAAAGAAAGAATAGGTTGGCCTCTTCTCTCCAAGGGGATTTTCGTGATTAAGGGCAAGGGGAAAGCTGCTGCAAGAATGATCAATGATCAGCAAACCGCGAGGGTGAATGCCTGCCTTCAGCTTACAGAGCCCGAAGTCTTTGCAGTCGATATGTTGAATTGAACCCTGTTTGTACAATCAAGAAACCCTTATGCCAGTCACAAAAAGGCTTGCGAGGTTGCTTTGTTTTCGTGTTTTTAGGTTGGGGAGAGGGATCGACTATTTCAAGTTGCTGATCAGGTCTGAAATGTGTCCCGTGGTTCCCGAGCGAGGCGTGAATCAAGGCGGTTTCCACATGGTCTCAGCTGAGCAGCGCACCTGTTGATACATTATATCACTTATCCCTCTGTTTCTGTCATGCCTCCCCTGCCAAGAGAATTCTGGGGCTAAAGGCACGCCGGACGTGGATCTCGAGCGAGGCGGACTGGAGGCTGGAGCTGGGATAGAAATTCCCCAAACCTTCTGGGAGAGGACGAATTAGACTCAGTCCCTTCCTCAACACTGTGTTAGCTGCCAGGTTGCTCTGCTCAGGCGATCTGCCTTAGGGCTAAAAATCTCTCCTGCTTGAACGTCGATAGGGCCTCTCAATATAGAGCGCTGTTGCAGAGAGCGAAAATGCTGCCACTGATAAAAGACTGCCTTAGGTTTACCTTGTGCCCCATTGACTGCTGGGGAGCATAGGATGAAGACTTCAACGTAAGAAAAATCTCTCTGGGAAGACAAAGGTGTCGTAACGGAAAGCACCCACGTGAAGGCACCGTCGAGCAGGAGGCAACTCAGCTTTGGGTGATTCCCAAGGTCCAGTCTTTGCCAGGCCGGCAACAATATGCAAACCATCAATAGATGTCCTCTGACTGCAGAGGGAAAGAGAAATGAAGCATCCATACGGTTCCCAGAGCACTTTCTGCTGCGTCCATTGTGCATTCCGTTTCACGCTGCTAGTGTTCTTGACCTTGAAGGAGGTAACGATCAGCTGCGGCCCTGCTCCTCGGAATCGCCATGTCACAAGCGGCGCCTGGGCATAAGGTCTCGGATAGCGGCACTGAATGTCCTTGTCGATCGTATGCAGTTGTTGAAGTCGGAGACGTTCGATCCCAACTGTGTCAATTGCTGTAACATTGACGTGAATGACAGCTCTTTCCCAATAGTTCGGCTTGTATGATATGCATCACAACTCGGGACGAAGTGAAGTGGCTTCATTCATCCATCCACGACCATTGCATCTTCATGTTCATTTTCAACCCGCGTACCATTTTCCTTGGTTGATCGTTGGTTACCAGACCCGCCATCAGCTTGGGTCTCGGTCTCACCCATCAAACTCGTCTGCATCCGCACACTTTGACATCCGGGACAATTGTGGACAACCTCATGTGCAAAAAGGTCGCAGTCGATGCAAAAGTGGTGGTGGCATACCGGGCATTCATACCTCCCGCTTGTCGTTGTCTTCGCTGCTGTCCACTGTTCTCGCGGTGGCACAACAGGAAATTGTTTGAGGCAGGCGAAACATGCCTTGCTGCGATACGCTTGTGACCAAGGCACTTCAAGCCAGTTTACCAGAGGAAACAAATGATGATAACTTCGAGCGAGGTGTGTCGAGAGAATCAAGGTGAGGCCACACACTGGACATTCACTCGGCAGGCCACATACTTTCGTACTGCACCGCGAGCATAAATATCCATCGCGAGAGGGATTAGTATGACAAGCGCAGAGAGAAGGGTAGTCTTCCACGGTCCGCGAAGGAAAGCCCATCATCAGTAAGGAGCTTGCTGATTTCGTTGACTCGCTAGTCACGGGCGGCGTGGTCACTGCCATCAACAATTCACGGTAGTGTTGCTCGTGCAGTACGACGCCATAGTTCGACAAATCACCGTTGTTGGTCTTGGAGACCAGTTCGGCGCATACAGCGACCTGCGCTGCAAGCCCAATCACCGTGGCTCGGATCTTGTCCGTCACAAGGTTGTCGATCGTACGGTGGATATCTCCAGGGTCGGAAGTGTGAAGAGCACCGAAGATAAGCAACACCTCGCGGGTGCCGTGACTGGGTGCGTGGAACAAGGCTGCCCGAGCCATCTCGAGGGCGTTCTCCAGCGACGGTTGTCCCTTTGGCTCCTGCTTGCGGATTTTCTGAATGGCGGCAAGGTGGGCGGTTGGATTGCCGGACATGTCGCTCACCCGTACAGCGATGCCATCGCGCATGCCCACGATTCCTAGCTGCGAAATGGGGTTTTGTTCGAAGAATTCCCTAATAAAAGACTCGGTGTACATCAAAGTCAGGAGGTAGCGGGTCGGACGCAGGTCTTTTTCCATCATAGCAATTGACATGTCGATTATGAGGATGAGATGGCGTATGATCCCTCGCTGCAGCGGTGTCGTGTCTTTCAAGAGTCTGTACCACTGACTGTTAGAGTCGTCTGCTCACTGGCATACCAGTAGTTTTGCCTCCGCTGCGACTGCAACTTGAACCTCTCCGTTGTAAACCACGTACCTCTTCCTCTTTCCGGCCTCGAGTAGGCCTTCCACAGCGCCCGTGATGGTTCCATCGGCACCCTCAGTCAATAAATCCCATGTCCTGGTCACCTCGAAATTTTGAGCAGATTCCCGCGCAGCCGCTTTCCGTGCCTGCGACCGGCCCGACGCTCTGGGAAGGTCATCGTCAGATCCGTCCGCAACATAGTCATCCTCTTTAGCCGGCATCCCCTGCACGGAACGGTGTGAACGGACGGGTAGACGAAAGGGTGAGCGGCAGGCTGGGTGCGGTCGACAGGCTCAGACACTAATAATAAGGCTGCCAGCCAATGTTGTAGCGCAGTCCGAGTCTGTTGGAGAGGACGTGGAATAGGCAAATAGATACCTAGTACTACTGCTAGTAGTTGTTAGGTACCTATACTTTTCGGTCGTGGTTCGGGGTCGTCACGGTCTGGGGTCGTTCAAGTTGATGGGCTGCCAGAGGTTACAAGTTGTAGTCGTGCCGGTTCCATCATCGAATGCGGGACACACGCCATTGACTTTGCTGTTGGAGAAGCGTGCAGGTGACTTGTCGTGAAGTTACAAATACCTCCAGATACCGATCAACAAGCTCTTCCTGGGCCTCAGTCCCAGATCAACAGGTTGATGCTGGAGTTAAGGTTCTCTACCTCAGTGTTCACGCTCTGTTCCGCGCTGAAGGCTGGCCCTACTTCCTTCTGTTCTAGACGAACCCTCTGCACTGTCTCCTTCTCGGCTTGTCCAAGCCCGATCTTCCCTAAACGCAGTCCCACCCAGCTCTCGTCAGTACGATTCTGTTCTGCAGAAGTCCGAAGAACCATGGCTCCTCCCACCGACCGAGACATCTTGCCCGATACGATCAAGCCCGTAAACTATAGCCTGTCCCTGTTCAACCTCGAACTCGGAGGGCACTGGTCCTACGATGGCGTGGTCAAGATCGATTCCAAGGTCAAGCATGAAACCCAGGAGCTGGTGATCAACTCCAAAGAGCTGGAAATCAATGGCGCGGATGTTTTTGGTAAAGATGGCGGGTGTACGTCGACCGGAAGACCATGCCTGTTTGAACATACATACTAAGTTACTATCCAGCTCCTGTTGCATCCATGACCGACGTTTCCTACGACACGACCAGTGAACGGGCGACAATCAAGTTCTCCTCTACAATCCCCTCTGGCGATGCTGTGATTGCCATCAAGTACAGAGGCACCATCAACAATGCAATGGCGGGGTTCTATCGGTCCAAGTATAAGCCAGCCGTCACACCAGGTCCAGATACACCCACAGATGGGGAGCATTACTACATGCTTAGCACTCAATTTGAAGCCTGCGACGCCCGGCGAGCCTATCCCTGCTTTGACGAGCCGAACTTGAAGGCGTCTTTTGATTTCGAGGTCGAGATCCCAGAGGGCCTGGTTGCTCTGAGTAACATGCCAGAGAAAAGCGTGACCAAGGGCAGCAAGGATGGACTGAAGAAAGTTTCCTTTGAGAGGACCCCGACTATGAGCACCTATTTGGCCGCTTGGGCTATTGGCGACTTCGAGTATGTTGAAGCCTTCACCGAGCGCAAATATAACGGAAAGAATCTGCCCGTCCGAGTGTATACTACTCGCGGCCTCAAAGAGCAAGGTAGCTTTGCTTTGGAACATGCCCATAAAACTATCGATTACTTCTCGGAGGTCTTTGGGTTCGACTATCCCCTCCCGAAGTCTGATTTACTGGCGGTGCATGAGTTCGCCATGGGTGCCATGGAAAACTGGGGTCTGGTGACCTATCGGACAACCGCTGTACTTTTCGACGAGGAAAAATCAGATGCCCGGTTCAAGAACAGGGTCGCGTATGTGGTTGCTCACGAACTTGCACATCAATGGTTCGGCAACTTGGTGACTATGGACTGGTGGAATGAGCTTTGGCTGAACGAGGGTTTCGCAACCTGGGTCGGATGGCTTGCAGTGGACCACTTACATCCCGAGTGGAAGGTGTGGAGTCAGTTTGTGGTACGTAGAATGTCCAAAGGTAATTTGATGCGGTCCTTGTTGACATTGGTGAATCCAGGCTGAAGCTGTACAAACAGCACTTGAACTCGACTCTCTGCGCGCCTCGCACCCCATCGAAGTTCCTGTTCGCAATGCTTTGGAGGTCGACCAGATCTTCGATACAATCTCCTACCTGAAGGGAAGTTCTGTCATCCGAATGTTGAGCAATCATCTCGGCCAGGAGATATTCTTGAAAGGTGTTGGAGACTATCTCAGAATTCATGCATATGGCAATGCAAGAACCAACGATCTATGGGCGGCTCTTAGCGCCGCTGCAGACCAAGATGTCCAGGCTTTCATGGACCCATGGATCCGCAAAATCGGATTTCCAGTTGTTACTGTGGCCGAAGAGCCAGGGCAGATATCTTTGCGCCAATCCCGCTTCCTGGCTACAGGTGATGCGAAGCCGGAGGAAGATGAGACTACCTGGTGGATTCCCGTGGGACTCAAGACCGGCACCCCTGCAAAAGTTGTCCACAGTGCATTGACTGTCAAGGAAGACACGATTCGGGATGTCGACGATGATTTTTACAAGATCAATGCCGACCAGAGCGGCTTCTACCGCACAAACTACCCGCCCCAGCGCTTGTTGAAGCTTGGTCAAGCTCCTGATCGTCTATCAACAGAGGACAAAATCGGCCTGCTAGGTGATGCCACGGCCCTAGCTGTCTCAGGAAATGGCACGACTGCCGCTCTCTTGTCCTTGTTGGAAGGCTTCAAGAATGAGACGAGCTATTTGGTGTGGTCGCAGATCGCGGCCTCGTTATCGAAAGTCCGCGCCGTTTTCTCCGAGAACAAGAAAGTCTCCGATGGGCTCAAGAAGTTCTCGCTTAAGCTGTTCTCACCTGCAGCGGAAGCGATAGGTTGGGAGTTTCCCAAAGACGAAGAATGGCTAACAGGCCAATTACGCAAGCTCCTCCTTGCGTATGCAGCAGGAGCGGGCCATGAGGGCATCATTGCAGAAGGAAAAAAGAAGTTTGCAGCTTGGAAAGCTGGGGATGAGAAGGCTATTCACCAGAATCTTCGGGGCGTGATATTCAACCTGACGGTTGCCAACGGTGGCCAAGAGGAATACGATGCCATCAAGGCCGAATTCAGAAAGACATCGTCTGTGGATGGCAGGGAAATCTGCATTCAAGCGCTAGGTCGTTCCAAAAATCCTGAGCATGCTTGGGATCTGCTACAGTTTGTGACTTCCGAGGAGGTTCCAGTTCAAGATGCGCACGGAGGGGTTGCGGCGGTGTCAAACAACAATGAAACTCGACGTGTGGCCTGGGAGTTCACCAAGAAGGAGTGGAAGCGGATCGAGGAGAGACTCAAGGGGACGAATATCGTGCTGGACCGCTGGATCAAGATGGCACTACCCAAGTTCTCGGATATTGCGATTCGGGATGATATCGCCGATTTCTTCAAAGACAAGAACACGGCGGCATTCAGCCGGAGCCTGGTGATTACGCACGACTCCATTACGAGCAATGCCAACTACAAGCAACGTGATGAAGCTCAGCTGTTGGAATGGCTCAAGACACATGGCTATGCTTGAGCCGAGTGAGGCCCATAGTGGCATCAGCAGATAGCATGGCCGGTGGAAGATTCCACCAGATATATGCTGCCTGAATGTTTGGCAGCTGGCAATAAAATACTAGTACTACAATCGTAGCTCGAACTGGACGTCTGTCAGCTGGTGGAAGTGAGTCTCGAGGTGCAACAATGGTCAGTAGCATCAGTTCAGGGGTCAAGCAGGCACCAGATCTGGCACGTGACCATCTTTCCCAACGCAGCCTCTCAGGAGCCTGGCACATGACAAAGTCGCCTGTCGCGTCGAGTGGCCTGTGTTTCCCCGTTTCACTCACTCGCCCGTCACATCCCATGCCAGCGCCAGTGAGTGCCTGCGCCCAAAGTCCACAGCCTGTAAAGTGACCTCCGACACCTCCCTACTACTGCCACTGTACTCTGCTACCGCCTACTACCGACCACTACCTACAACCTGGTAACTTTCTCAACTGTCCAACTTGGCCGCAGACGCAAAGCCTCCTCCAGACCACTGCATCTACATCCTTGCTTCGCCTTCATCATTCTCACCTGGCTTCGACTTCCCGTCGTTTAGACTACGTTCGAAGCACCAAATCTTCTGATCCCAGCGAACATTGCCTTTTGTCCTTTGTCTGCTACTTCAGCCCCCGTTTCTGACGTCTCCTTCGCGCATCCGCCACCATGAATCCCGAGTGGTAAGTCATCATGGCCGAAACCGTCGTTGCAGCCGGCGGACTGTAAATGTTGCACCTTGCTAACATCTGTCAGAGTGCCATTCCCACCGACGCGCCGTGATACTCCGTTGCGCTGCTTGCTCGTTCGCACCCGACGAAACTAACCCTCGCCTCGTTAGATACGACTACCTCTTCAAGCTGTTGCTTATCGGTGATTCCGGCGTTGGTAAATCTTGCCTGCTGTTGCGATTCGCCGACGACACATACACCGAGTCTTACATCTCCACCATCGGTGTCGATTTCGTACGTTTGTCGCTATCTCAGGCTCGCAGTCTGGGGGATCTGGATGCAGGAGTTGGCTGACGCGGTTGCAGAAAATCCGCACCATTGAACTCGATGGCAAGACTGTCAAACTCCAAATTGTACGTGTTCAGGATGCTGCTACAGTGACGGGACTTCTAACAAGAAAAAGTGGGATACGGCCGGACAGGAACGCTTCCGAACCATCACATCCTCGTACTACCGAGGCGCACATGGCATCTGTGTGGTGTACGACGTGACGGACATGGATTCCTTCAACAATGTAAAGCAATGGTTGCAAGAGATTGATCGTTACGCCACCGAAGGTGTCAACAAGCTGCTGGTCGGCAACAAGAGCGATATGGCAGACAAGAAGGTGGTTGAATACACTATGGCAAAGGTCAGTCTTTTCATGTTTTCAGTGGAGGTCCATGACGTGCGGTATCTGATCGTTTAACAGGAGTTCGCCGACAGCCTTGGAATTCCGTTTTTGGAGACTTCGGCAAAGAACGCGTCCAATGTCGAGCAAGCATTCTTGACCATGGCTCGCCAGATCAAGGAACGTATGGGAACTACTACCGTCAACAACAAACCCACTGTCCAAGTCGGTCAAGGCCAGGGCGTTCAATCAGGATCTGCTGGTGGTTGCTGCTAAGTCAACTACGACCGACATCCGGCGCCGTATGTACACAGCCAGCATGATACAGTTTTCTTGGCCATAGTGTGAGGAGGATTCGGCCATGAGACGACAAGAGCATTATGCAGAATGCTTCCTCATGTCGAGCCATGAGCTCCACTGAGTTGGAAGGCGTTGGAGGCGTATCGGTGGAATTCAGACGTGTCTAGACTGTTTGCTCCAACGGCCATCCACTTCCCAGGGTGAGAGCATTATTTTCCATTGAAATCTTCGGGTTGACTGCATTGGCAGGGTAATGATGGAACGTTGCGGGTTTTTTGTGGACGAAGATGGGCTGAGGGCATGAAACAATAGCCAAATCCCTATTACGTCGTACGTCAAACTCAACATCTTGGTCCTCTTTGTTGTCTTCACTATGGCCTCCCTCGTCATCTTCTGTGATCTGTATTGTCTTCTGGTTCCATCATCACGATGTGGGCATCTCAGGCTTTTGGGTCTACGAAGTCCGTCTGTCCATTTCTGTTTGTTCCCAGCATGGAGTGGCCTAGCATTATTGAGCACAGTGAGTACAGGGGGCTGGTCAGAGTCACCTATGCACAATTGATATTGAGCTTTTTGTTCTTCACAGTGACAAAATGAAGGTCAGTCTTGTTACTTCCTTAAGATGCTCTATTATCATGTTCCTTTGAGCGAAGTGAGTTCCAGGAGGCTTATATGAACATCTGCTTGCCCTTTCTGTTGACCTGGGTTCCCTTCCTGTTTCTATCTTGCCACATCAATGTTGGGGATAGTGGGCTCCTAGACTCTATGACTATATCCTGTCTTACTTACCTGAAGCCCTCCATATCCAGATTACTATATCTATCTTCTACCCTCTTCTTGAATAGTGGCCCCCCCAGCATCATCACCCTCCCTCATGCTTGTCCCTCTGTCGCCCTCCATATCCAGATATCCCTATCCGTTTTCTTGCCTTATCTTGAACAGTGGCCTCCCCGATATCATCACTCTCCATAGTACTTGTCTCTTTTACTCCCGCCATAACACTATACTCCCTGAACACAGTGAAGCACATCACGCGCTGTGTTAATCCTCCCTAGCGCGTTTGTTCACCTCTTCACCTCAGTGTTTGCCTCACTCTTCTTTCTCTTCGCGCCTCTCTTCCTCCTCTTCTCTTTCTTCTCTTTCTTCTCTACCAACAACACCAACAACACCACCACCATCACCATCCCGCGCCCTTTGAGAGCGCGATGTCTTCCTCTTCCTCTTCGTCGTCCTGGACGACTTTCCCATCAATTCATATCACGGCAACAGTGACGCAGGGACAGTCGGGCGTCAGCGACAGCTTCACCTTCCAAGGTGACCCGGCCTGGACAGAAACAGCAACAACAATAACAACCACACCGACTGGTCCTGCGTCTGTGTCTGTGTCTGTGCCGCGTGCTTCTTCTTTTTCTTCTTCTTCTTCTTCTTCTTCCTCTTCTGCCGCGCCTCCTGATGTTGCGACCAAGACGACCGTGGCCGTGACCACGATCTCGCTGCCCCCCTCGTCCTCCTCCTCTTCTTCTTCTGTGTTGTCTTCTCCATCTCCAACACCGACCCCTTCTGGCGTCAAAAATGGCCATTCACACGCCTCTGTCCCTGTGTTCATGATCGCAATTCCCACGATCATCGTGGCTCTTCTTCTTTTGTTTGCTGGCTGTGTCCTTCTTTGGCGCCGTCTGTCTCCTCGATCTTTTGATCGATTCTGGGTTTCCTACATCAAAATGCCTCGATTCCGGCTCCGTTCTCGGTTCCCTTGGCTCGTTGTTCGTCGTCGATCTGGCGACGCAGACGACGACGACAGCGAAGCCGACGACCGCGGCCTGCTTGCCTCCCTGTCTCTGCCCCTGCGCGCCGTGCGCCGTGTCCGAAGCTTTTTCAGCCGCCGATCAAACACCAGCACCACAACAGACCCCTTCGCCGATCCCTTGCCGCCTACCTTCAACGACAGGTACGAACACCACCTGCGCAAGTACGAGGCGGAGGCGGCCCGCACACGGGAAAAATACAGTTTCGACACGGAGCCGTTGCCGTTGACGCCTGCTTCGAAGAGAAGACAACAACGGAGAAGAAAGACTAGTTTGTTTACAAATACAAGTTCTCCGAGTTCTTCGACTCCATGGCGCACTGGCGGCGGACACAATGCAAACACAGACAGCCCATCTGGTAGCGGTGGCGGAATCAAACTGTCGAGACTGATTCCACGGACACCAAAGACACCGACTCGAAAAGGCAGAGGCAAAGGCAAAAACAAGAACACTGATGCCGATGATGCTGAGGAGGAGGCTCGGCGGGAGAAGAGGCGTCAGAATGTCCATGACAGGATTCATGGCCGTTATGACCCTGATAATGATGACGATCATATCAGTCTCGAGAGTTGGGAAGAGATCTGGTTCAATTTGGGGAATGATAGGCCTGCAACGACCAATGCCAATGCGAGTGCGAGTACGGCGGGACCGAGTGGGACTACGAATGCGGACCCAGAGAGGAACAACACTGGCAGAAACAACAACACCAACGGTGATGATGACAGTGGCAATGACAATATCCGCACTATTGAGAGATTGGCTTCGGTTGATGAAACACAAGAACCAGCAGAAGAAGAAGAACCGCATACACCACGGGCACGACAGATGCCGCCACGGATTGAAGAAGAAGGAGAGGAAAAAGGAGAGGATGTTGATGCTGACAATACCACTACTACTAATACTACCGATGCACCTACGCCACCTCCTACTTCTCCTGCTACTGTGAGCGGTGATGATACCACTTCTCAGGACGAGGGCCAAATCCAAGATTTCAATGCCAATATCACGACTGGGCCGGGCCAGTCGTGGCGGAAACTGGTTTGATTGCACCATACATAAACCCAAAAAGGGGAAATGTGATACGAAACGAGAAGAAACGAAAGAATACGACGTGGGACGACATGATACCAGACCAAACGAGACGAGAGACGAATTGAATTGAATTGAGTGCATTGGGCTGAATTGGATGACTCGAATGAACAGCAATGCATTGCGAGACGAATGGAACAGCAGAACAGCACAATCGATGGATAGATCGATTGACAGATCAACTGATCAACCATTGAAATCAATGGTATTATTGTACAGAAAACAGCATTTGCTTCAAGGCCAGCAGGATTACCAGCTGCTACTATTGCCAGTGCAGATTGAAAAGGAAAGCGAGAGCGCAAAACAGAGCGCAAACGAGAGCGAGACTAGGAGCCCATGAGATGAAATGCTCTGAGATGCTCTGTTATGAGATGAGATGATGCGCTTCCTTGACTGCATGTGGCTCACATTGCTGGAGGTAGTAATAAGTAGCTGAGAACAGAGCTGAATGATCAAGATCCATTGCTTGAGAATTATTTACCTTACACGCCGTGCAGTGAACCTACTTTTGCCATGACAAGAGAAACAGGGGCATGCATATCGGTTGGGAGGAGCTCGGACTCCCTCAATATGTATCGGCATTGTGCAAACCATGTGAGTATCCTGTTTGTCTGTCGACCTCCGAGACTCCCAGAAAAGTAACATATCCTATGGCCTGTCCTGATTTGCTCCTGAACGCCTACCGTCCGCCGCCGTTTTGTGACCAGGAATGCCATGCTTCTAGAGCTGAATGCGCCGAGCCGTGCCATGCCTTGTCGTGCCAGGTCGTGTCGTGCCAGTGCATGCCATCCATAATGCTAAGCTAAGCAACGCAGCTTCAAGAATCCGACAGACTTCAACCCTTCATCTCTTCGTCGTCATCCTCGGCCTCGAAATCCTCATCGTCATCATCGTCCTCGTCTTCGTCCAAGTCACCTCCCTCCTTCAGCTTCTGCTCGGCCTCGGCCCAGTCGATCTGCTTGCGGCGAGTGCGGCCTTGAACAATGTTGCTGGGGTCGATCTCTTCCATGTCTTCGTCTTCTGGTTGTTAGGTTAGTGGAGAATGGTAGGGAGTGTAATCACGAATAAATTGTCGTGGGTAAACAAGGCCAGGAGGATCTCTACCTTCTTCTTCAGGTTCAGGTTGCTGTCGCATTTAGTCAGTATATGTACCACAAATGTGCGCTGTGCGCTGTTCAAAAAGAGATGTATGTACCTCTTCAGCTGCGCTCTCTTCTTCGGATTCTTCTTCCTCTTCCATCACATCTGGCTGCTCGACGGCCTTGCCTTTGCCCTTCCCCTTGTCGGTAACTTCGTTCGTGCCCTGAGGCACAGTTTCGCCGTTTGCAGACATGGTGAAGGTGTATGAATCGAGGGTTGTCAGTGCGTATGGAAACTGGAATTGCAAGTGTGTAGGGTTGTTGATCGGAAGCAAATAGTTTGTCTAGCAAAGCAACCACCAAAAACACAGGTCAATGAAGTTCCCAACTTGAAGTTCGCGAGACCGCGCGCCGCTTCAAAGTCGCGCCAAGGGTAAATCTTGCACTAGCCAGGATTGTTCTAGCGTTGTTATCACGTGTATGTAGAATTCGTCGGAAGTGATTTCCGTCGTCCAGATCAGTTTCCTCTGCGCTATCAACGAAACAGATCTGAAGGGAAGTGAGGGAGAGGTCATGGACGTCCCCGTGGCAGCAAATGTCCTGGGTGTGCTGGGAGCAATATGTTGGTCGGTACAGGTAGGTCACTTCAATAGTTCGAAGATAAACCTGAAGTCTTATGTTGTATATCCAGCTCATTCCCCAAATCATCATAAACTACCGCCGGCATGACACGACAGGGCTGCAACCAACCATGATGCTCCTCTGGGCCTGTGCAGGAGTGCCATTAGGGGTGTACAACATTGTCCAAAATTTCAACATTGCATTGCGCATCCAGCCGCAGATTCTGACATTCCTGAGCCTCGTCACGTGGATCCAGTGCAAGTACTATGGGAACAAATGGCCATGGCCCAAGTCGGCCGCCATCATGACCCCGATTGCGGCTGTCATGGGAGGGATTGAATGTGGCCTGGTGTTCGCATTGAGGACGGCGAAGCACAACCACGTAGAATGGCCTGTTACCTTCATGGCGGTGTTGTCTGCTTGTTTCCTCTGTGCCGGCGTCCTGCGCCACTACTGGGACATCTATACAGAGAGAACAGTCAGGGGCATCTCGTTTATCTTTGTTGGAATCGATGCGATGGGCGATTTGACCTCGTTGATCTCTGTCTTCTTTCAGCCGGAACTGGATATACTAGGAATGGTCATCTATGGATCAGAACTGGCATTGTGGCTCGGGGTGTTTGCTTGCGGGGGATACTGTAAGGAACAACAATCCCGCGACTGTTTCGCATGGCATTATTTGCTGATCATTTCTTGCAGTCAATCTTCGGCCTTGGCTGCATAGACGTCTGGAAAAACGCGGAAGTGAAACTGCGCGAAGAGAAGTCAGTGTGAGAGAAGGAAGCCGAGACGAACCGGTTGAGCTCCAACCGATCTCGTCAAGGAACTCAGTGCGATCTTCGAGCAGCGTGTTCCGAACTGCGTCCGCAACGGATGACTGTAGTAGTAGAGCAGACACGTCGATTCCGCATGGGCTGGTCAGGCTACGGAGGATCGCTTCGGATCCAGCTGCGTGAGGTTTGTAGGAGCCAAATCGCAGGTGATGAGAAAGGTAGCCGAGTACTATAGCACAGCAGAATGTCCCAGGCTCTACATGAACAAGCACTTCCGTTGCCGTGGAGGGATTGCACCATGGAGTGACCATAACACGTAGCGCACTGGCAGTGTGTACAATGTTGTCGTAGTAGTAGTAGAATAATGTGGATAAGGCCTTTGCTGCCAGGCAATTGCTAGACGGTTCAAGTTCAGCCTCGTTGGGAGAGAAACCAGACGAATACGGGCGAGTGGTATGACGTATGACGTGGGAGCGAGCGGACTCGGAGGGGCAGCCATCGACTTCCGCCGCCGACTGTGTTGACTGCACCAGGCTGCAGTATCTGCGACACTCTCACCACCACCTCACATCCGCTCCAGCATCAGGCGGAATCCCGGAGACGGTTCGCGCATCTTCACTGCTAGTAAGTAACAGATCCTTCTTCCGGTCACTGGCGGACAGGTGAAGCCGCCAGTGAATTTGCAACAATGCCGTGTGGAGATTAAGTTTCTTCCAGCTGCGCGCTGAACGTTCCATCGTCTTCCGCAGCCTTCTCTATCACTGCACTCCGCCAAGCCTCATGTCCAAACTCCCTCAACTGCGACACTTCATAAAGCCCATCACAACTCACTCTCTCAGCCTTTCCCTTCTCCAGACTCAAATCAAATCACAACCAAAATCATACACTTCTCCCAAAAGTCTTTGTTCGAGACTTTACCTTTAATTCCCTTTCCTCTCTCACATTAATCCTCATATCCTCATATTCCTCCAGTCACAATGGCTCCAGCCATCGGTATCGATCTAGGTACAACCTACTCATGTGTCGGCGTCTACCGAGACGACCGAATCGAGATCATCGCCAATGACCAGGGTAACCGAACCACTCCTTCGTTCGTCGCCTTTACAGACACCGAGCGTCTGATTGGTGATGCCGCGAAGAACCAAGTCGCCATGAACCCCCACAACACTGTCTTCGATGCGAAGCGGTTGATTGGGCGGAAGTTCAGTGACCCTGAGGTCCAGGCCGATATCAAGCACTTCCCATTCAAGGTCATCGACAAGGGCGGCAAGCCTGTCATCGAGGTGGAGTTCAAGGGCGAGACCAAACAATTCACCCCAGAAGAGATCTCATCTATGGTCCTGACCAAGATGAGAGAGACTGCGGAAGCATACCTTGGTGGCACTGTCAACAGCGCTGTCATCACAGTCCCAGCATACTTCAACGACTCTCAACGTCAAGCCACCAAGGATGCTGGTCTCATTGCCGGTCTCAATGTCCTACGTATCATCAACGAACCCACTGCTGCCGCCATTGCCTACGGTCTGGACAAGAAGGCCGAGGGTGAGCGCAATGTCCTCATCTTCGATCTTGGTGGTGGTACTTTTGATGTTTCCCTCTTGACCATCGAAGAGGGTATCTTCGAAGTCAAGGCCACTGCTGGTGACACTCACTTGGGTGGTGAGGACTTCGATAACCGTCTGGTCAACCACTTTGTCCAAGAGTTCAAAAGAAAGCATAAGAAAGACCTGAGCACCAACCCGAGAGCTCTACGTCGTCTGAGAACTGCTTGCGAACGTGCCAAGCGCACTCTGTCTTCATCTGCCCAAACCTCTATTGAGATCGACTCCCTCTACGAGGGTATCGACTTCTACACCTCGATCACTCGGGCACGCTTCGAAGAGCTATGCCAGGATCTCTTCCGATCTACCATGGAGCCCGTCGAGCGCGTATTGCGCGACGCCAAGATCGACAAGTCCTCGGTTCACGAGATCGTCTTGGTCGGTGGTTCCACTCGTATTCCAAAGATCCAGAAGATGGTTTCGGACTTCTTCAACGGCAAGGAGCCCAACCGTTCGATCAACCCTGATGAGGCTGTCGCCTATGGTGCTGCAGTCCAAGCCGCCATCTTGTCCGGTGACACCTCATCCAAGTCCACTAACGACATTCTGCTCCTCGATGTTGCGCCATTGTCTCTCGGTATCGAGACTGCTGGAGGTGTCATGACTCCATTGATCAAGCGTAACACCACCATCCCCACCAAGAAGTCCGAGACCTTCTCGACCTTCTCCGACAACCAACCTGGTGTGCTCATCCAAGTCTACGAAGGTGAGCGTGCTCGTACCAAGGACAACAACCTTCTCGGCAAGTTCGAACTGTCTGGCATCCCACCTGCGCCACGTGGTGTTCCCCAGATTGAGGTCACCTTCGATCTTGATGCCAACGGTATCATGAACGTCTCCGCAGTCGAGAAGGGTACTGGCAAGTCCAACAAGATTACCATCACCAATGACAAGGGTCGTCTGTCCAAGGAAGAAATCGAGCGTATGCTGGCTGATGCCGAGAAGTACAAGGCCGAAGATGAGGCCGAGGCTGCTCGTATCTCTGCCAAGAACGGTCTTGAGTCCTACGCTTACTCGCTCAAGAACACTCTGTCCGACTCCAAGGTCGACGAGAAGCTCGATGCCTCCGACAAGGAGAAGCTCAAGTCAGAGATTGACAAGGTCATCTCTTGGCTCGACGAGAACCAGACTGCCACCAAGGAGGAGTACGAATCTCAACAGAAGGAGCTTGAGGGTGTCGCCAACCCGATCATGATGAAGTTCTACGGTGCTGGTGGCGCTCCAGGTGGCATGCCCGGTGCTGGTGGTCCAGGTGGATTCCCAGGTGCCGGCGGTGCTCCAGGTGGCCAGGGTGGTGATGACGGCCCAACTGTCGAAGAGGTCGACTAAACGACTTCAACGACCGCACACTACGAAACAAAAGCAACTGAGCGATTGTTTTCTCGTGTCCATCCAGAAATTGGCGTTGGCGTTATCCCAAGGGCAACGGGTGATGATACCTTGCATGGCATAGATTCTTCTGCATCATGGATTTCTTTGCTGGGTCATGAGTTCAGTTGATATGGTTCTCTGCCATGAAATCCAGAGAACAACTAGTCATGAGGCTTAGAATAGCTTTCAATGATATGAATTCATAAAATAATCTGTCTTTGTAAATCCGCAATCTTCCCTTTGAATACTTTTTATATTCTGAATTTGTTCTTGAGGACACTTGGACTCACTTAAACAACGGCAGCTTACAATTTACCACTTAAAATATACCATACTGCCCGCTGACATTTTCGAAGCTGAAATATGCTGTGCGATACATATTGGCATAGTTGCAATAATTATAATGCTAACAGGGTGGGCGACACCCTTCTTTGAACACCCATCCCGACGGAACGTACCGCCAGGGTTCAAGGAATGGTCCGCACATTGTGCTCGCGTCGTACCAAAGCACTACTTCGCGTGTGGATCTGGGCAGTCGGGGCACGGGTCTCACTCCATCCAATTACAGACTCTAATCAACCCGAAAGGGCGAAAGCCAGCAATAATCCTGGCGGACGACTTGATTGTTTATTTTCGTGGATTGCGCCGAGGAGTCCTGGTGGGTCGAGGTTCAAGAACGAGGACATGAGATGCAGAGAGCACTCATCCAGAACTCCTCTCGAGCACAAAAAAATGATGAGCCAGAGGGCATACTTCTCACGATTCAGAGGGGAAATCACCGGCACAAGCAACTATCAGTATTCCCTATCTCAACATAGCTAGCTAACTTAAAACAATAGTAGAATGTGGAATTTTGGCTTTATCCGGGAATTTCTTGCCCCCTCGGAGTTCTGTGCTGAGCCCCTCCAAACTGCCCCTCATGTCGCGTACATTTCCGCTGTGGCCCGAGATGTTGCAATCGCGGAGTCCATATAAGAAGTCGGATGACTGCCCCTCCAAAAAAGCTATCTTTTGTTTCTTCTGAACCTTGCCATCAAAGCAAAGCTATCAGTCAGTTTCTTGCCTCAGCATCCCCTAGACAAACCCTCCAAATCCACAAACTTTTGTAGTCATCCTCTACCGCATCTGGTTGTCCCCAGCGCTAATCTTCTCCAGGTCCAAATCGATCGAAAGCACCAAGTAAAACTCACTCAAAAAGATGGAGGGCATCATGTCATCCCGTCGCTCGGTTAAGAGATATCACGGTCAAGGTACTTTTCGACACTGCGGAGTGTCTGAGCATGAACCGGTGTTCGCATCTTCCTGCTAGAAGTCTCGCCATCCAACCATCTGTCTGCGGAATGGAGATGGCGGGTCTAGATTGTGGAAGTGCGTTCTGAGATCATACGGTTGAACTTGACTCTGGATAATACCAGCGGAAGGATCATGCTATTCTCCCTCTTTCCCCAGGTTGCCCACCGGACAACTATCCTAACGAACCTACAGGACTCTCAACATGTCGCCACCAATCGCCACGTACAACGAATTCGACGGCGGCTTCACTGCCACCAAAGAGCTGAAGGGAGCTCCTGAGACCAAGAAATTGACCCTCAATGCCAACGGCAATGCCACCCACACCAAACTCCTCGATGAGTTTGGCGGCAAATGGGATGCCTTCAAGTTCGCACCCATCCGCGAGTCCCAGGTCTCTCGAGCCATGACTCGCCGCTACTTTGCCGACCTTGACCGGTACGCCGAATCGGACGTCGTCATTGTCGGTGCAGGCTCTTGTGGATTGTCCACTGCCTACACTCTAGCAAAGGCCCGTCCGGACCTCAAGATCGCCATCATCGAGGCGTCCGTCTCTCCCGGCGGTGGTTGCTGGCTGGGCGGTCAACTCTTCTCGGCCATGGTCTTGCGGAAGCCGGCCGAGGAGTTCTTGAACGACATTGGCGTCCCTTACGAAGATGAGGGCAACTACGTCGTCGTCAAGCACGCCGCGTTGTTCATGAGCACCTTGATGAGCAAGGTCTTGGCCATGCCCAATGTCAAGCTCTTCAACGCCACCTGCGTCGAGGATCTCGTCACTCGTCCATCCGCAGATGGTGGAGTCCGCGTGGTTGGTGTGGTCACCAACTGGACTCTTGTCACTCTGCACCATGACAACCACAGCTGCATGGATCCCAAGTAAGTTGTGGTCATGAATGTTACTGTGCGTTTATTACCTGTACTGACGATTTGTTCCTTGTAGCACCATCAATGCTCCACTGGTCATCAGCACCACCGGCCACGACGGTCCATTTGGAGCATTCTGTGCCAAGCGTCTCGTCAGCATGAACGCCATTGAGAAATTGGGTGGTATGCGTGCTCTGGACATGAACCGCGCAGAGGATGCCATTGTCAAGGGTACCCGTGAGGTATCTCCTGGTTTGATCATGGGAGGCATGGAACTCAGTGAGCTCGACGGAGCCAACCGTATGGGACCTACCTTTGGAGCCATGGTTCTGAGTGGTGTCAAGGCTGCTGAGGAGGCTCTGAAGGTCTTTGAGACCAGAAAGGCCGAGTGCGCCGAGTAGAACAGGATACTTTCCCATGACTAGGTGGAAATGAACTGGCAATGCCAGCTCCGTCGCTCTTTTACCACATGCCAAGCCAGGATAGCCATATGTAACAAGGCTCGAATCACTACAACACATATTATCTTTCGTTTACGCTCATAACGCACATACATATACATATGTACACAGTAGCTACACAGTAGCTACACAGACACCTATTAGGTGCCGGTCTGTCCCAGAACACATATTCCTGCAGATGCGGTATCCGAACCACATGCTTCCCAGAGGTGAAGCTGGTACCGGCAGAGCAGAGCCTCGTCCGAGTTATTATCCGATTGGAAAAAGTGGGACCGAGTGCACCTCGCTTAATAAGCAACATGCCAACTTGAACATCACATTGTGTCACTGGTCAACTACAGTCAAGTTGCTTGCTCAACTTCCCGCTGATGCTTGTTCAACTGTACATTAAGAATTCTTCTTTGATAGATCCCCTTCACGAGTGTCCTGCATCGTTCATTAGACCGTTCTCTTCATCATTCATGGCGGTTTAGGATATTTGGATCGGGAAACAAGCATCAGCCAGCATGGCCAAAAATTCCAGGCATTCCGAGCAAACACCACTACTTTCATCAGCATCCGCGTCCGCGTCCACATCCACATCCGATAATTTACCGATACTCGACGAAGAATCCAGGTCAGAAGAACTTAATGGGGGGCGACCATTCCAAGCAACGGCCGGAAGCCGAAAACTATCTTTTGTCAGAGGCACCTTGATATGTGTATCAGTTTGGACCCTGATATTCATCCTGACGAGCAACGTATCTCTGATCACGACGGTGCAATCGCCTATTGCCATCGACCTCAGAGCATCGACCGAAGTCAGCTGGTTCACGTCAACATATTTGATCGCCATTACCAGCATTACACCAATCGCCGGGCGAATTTCCGCCATCTTCGGGCCGCGGGTGTACTTGCTGGCCTCGATTGTCATCCAGACATGTGGTCTTTTGGCCACGTCTCAAGCTCGATCGCTTTCGACGTTCCTGCTCGGACGAGCAGTGACAGGTATAGGCAGCGCGGCCGTGACGCCGGTTGCACTGATCCTTGTTCGCGAACTCACGAGCGAGCGAAGACGAGGGCTGTTTTTCGGATGCATCAACACGGGATACACGGCCGGAGTCGCCTGTGGCGCAATCATTGCCGGGGCTTTGGAACCGTTGGTCGGGTGGCGAGCGATCTTCTGGCTCCAGATCCCGTTTTCACTGGCGGCAGGGATAGTGGCGTTCTTTACAATCCCGGGGACTCCCCTCTCTGGCGGACGGGAAGAAGCCGACGGCGCGACCACGACCAGCAAACAGCAATCATTGACTCAAAAACTATCGCAAATCGACTACTTCGGAATCATCACGCTCATCTCATCCGTCGTGCTGCTACTCTACAGCTTGTCTTCACCCAAAGTGGAACCAACACCTATTGTCCTATCAGTGGTATCATTGATTCTGTTCGTGCTGGTCGAGGCGAAATGGGCCCAAGAACCAATCGTTCCAACGACAGTCCTACGATCACGAGGAAACTTACTCACGGGGATTGCGACCGTCGGCGTCATGACGGCCCGCTGGGGCGTGTTGTTCTACACGCCCACATACGTCCTCGTGCTTCGCGGCTGGGCCCAATCCAGCGCCGGATTGACGTTGATCCCGACGAATCTGGGGTTTGGCCTAGGCGGCCTGCTGGCCGGATGGCTGCACATCCGTCGGTCCGGATCGTTCTACGTCTCGACGCTGCTCACATTCGGACTTTTTAGTCTATCCATGTTTGCCGTGTCGTGGATCTCGACTCCAGACTCAAACATCTATTTGTATTTGGCAGTCTTGTTCTTCAATGGACTGCTCGTCGGTGCATTGCTGAATTACTCGCTCGCCCATGTTCTGCATCTCACTCATCCGGCCACACATATCATTGTGATCCCGTTGAACGCCATGTTTCGCAGCCTCTCGGGCTCGTTTGGCTCGTCTGTATCTGGTGGATTGTTCCTGCGGACTTTACAGCGGACTCTGCGGGAAGAGTTTGCGAAGCGTGGAATCACGTCGGGCAAAACACATCTGATCAGACAGCTGATTGGGTCGCCTATTCTTGTGCAAAGATTGACTGGCGTCGACCGCGAAGTCGCCTTGATCGGCTACGAAACCGCCCTCAAGACAATGTACCTTGCTGGTGGCATTTTGGCGGTTGCAATGTTGTTTGTTCAAGCTGGTGCTGGATGGACTGCTCCGGCTGCTAGTCGTGTCAAGGAAGAGTCCGGACAACAACAGCGGCAGGATACTGGCATCGTTGTTGGTACTGAGTCAGACGATACTACGGCCCTAGAGACCGCTGTTGCAGTTGCATCTGCGGCGCCCTCCCCGGCGCAGCAGCACCGCCGCATCACATGATTTTTGAGTCCAATTAAAGACATATATGTTTGAAGTTGCCAAATTTCTGTCGCCCGTCGTGGTAGGTTCGGTGGCCTAGTTGGGATTTCGTCCATTCGTCCACACAAGCCCTCGGATGCTTAAAAACCATTAATTAGAGGATTTCGATCTTCTGCCTTGGGTGGCTTCACTTGTTTCCTTTAGGGGCCGTCTTCTAACAGTCCTAGCGATTGGGGGACCATACCTAATAAATACGATCTACTGTTTTTTTTCCCCCTGGTTCATGGTTCAAGTCATGGGTGGTGTCGGTCTTTTTTTTTTTTTTTTTTTT